TGTGGTGGCTCCATCTTGTCAGATTGAGGTGTTGAATTGGAGCTTTGCTTCGTGCCAGAGTCGGGAGCTCAAGGACAGGAGACAAGTCCTTTGGCCTTACGGATGTCAGCTGGGAGAAAGCATTGAGCTTTCCCAGGTGGCCAGCTCCATGCAGGAGGCCTTGTTGCCCCGAGTTGCAGGTTTTTTTCTGGAGACGGCTTTCGCAGCATCGCCTCAAAGCTGCTTGCACTTGCAGTTCGCCTCTTTGGGGACTCGGCTGCCTCAATCCGTGCAGCTCACACCACGCACTGCGCGGACTCCTCGGGCAACTGAAGATCAGCCTCCCGGCTGAGAATGGGCTGCCGTTCTGGTGCTCACTTGCTGTTTCTCTGCCCGGCCATCACGCCTCTGCTCAGGAATTCCTGGACTCTCCGGCAGCAGAAGTGGAAGGGTATTAAGGCACGTGATGATTGACAGAACGGCAGGCTTCAGATGATGTTCATTGGATGCACCGACTTGCGTTTCATTACCGCAAGTGTCCCCGACATCTGCACGCCCAGACATAGTGGCCACTGATCCAAGCTTCGGCATCGCCTGTGCTGCATGTCCATTGTGGGCTGAAAGCTAGCAGCAGCAGTAGAAAGCTGCAAGCAGTAGACAACAGCCTTGTGCATTTGTAGGGTTCTTATTGCTTGTTCGCAGAGCGACGACATGAGGTGAGTTGTTTATGGTGCACGTGTTGCATGTATTTTTGGGTTTATCAGAGGATACAGCCAAAAGAAACTATAGTTACTTCACGTCAACTTAGCAAGCCTTCTGCAGGATTGATTTTGAAGCCGACAGAATTTGTGCTGCAGCTGTACGTTTTCCTTAATTCAGTTCTGCCTGCGACAGCAATGTGCCGGAGTTCCGTGCAATTCTTGCTGAGGGTGTGTCTTCTAAGCGGCCGCACTCAATCAGTTGCTGCAGATCCGACCTGGACAGTGAAAGAGTTTTGTGCAAGACTGCAGCGTCTTCTGAAGCTCGGCATTGGTAGCCTTGTCACTACGAATAGCATCGCTCCTCGCCACAAGAAAGACTTACTTTCGTTCGTCAAACCCACTTTCCTGGTTGTGTCAGCCGTTTTGGTGCCAGGTGCTGGAACCCACAAGCACTCTTGCTGATGCGGGATTGCAAGATGGTGATCTTGTCACCGCGCTTGTGCGGCAAGCTTCGCTTGCATCAGCGAGATTTTCTGCGTCCTTCGCGTTGATTCGGGCGGATGGCTCGGTGGTAACTTGGGGCAGTTCATGCATTGAGGACTGTCAGAGGAGCGTGCCGTTCGCGGAGTTGCAAGATGTGCACCAGATACGAGCCTCTGACGATGCCTTTGCAGCCATTCTGCGGGACGGATGCGTGGTTACATGGGGAATCTCGAAGCACGGAGGTGATAGCAGTGCTGTACAGCACCAACTGCGAGATGTCCAAGAGATCCAGGCATCCAAGTATGCTTTTGCAGCGATTCTCGGGAATGGAAACGTCGTTACCTGGGGTTCGCCGAGCTACGGCGGTGACAGCAGTTCAGTCCAAGCCCAGCTTCGCGACGTGGAGCAAGTTCAAGCGACCGGTGGTGCGTTTGCAGCACTTACAAGAGACAGTCGTGTTGTGACCTGGGGCTCTGCGATTTACGGTGCGGATAGCAGTGCAGTCCAGGAGAAGCTGCGAAACGTCAAAGAGATTCGGGCTACGGCTTTCGCATTCGCTGCTCTTCTTCACAACGGGGAAGTGGTGACATGGGGAGCTCCAATCTTTGGTGGCGACAGCAGCAAGGTCCAGGACGACCTCCGCAACGTTAGGGCGATTTCCGCTTCCAATCATGCCTTCGCCGCCATTCGAGAGGATGGTCACGTGGTCACCTGGGGTGGTGCTGCATATGGCGGGGATAGCAGCCAGGTTCAGAACGAGCTCAGGGATGTGCAGGATGTTCAAGCTTGTGGCTTTGCATTTGCCGCGCTTCTCCGCAACAGGCGTGTTGTAACTTGGGGTTCTGCTGCCTACGGCGGAGATTCCAGCAGCGTGCAAGAGCAGCTGGCAGACGTGAGAGAAATCCATGCCTCAAATTACGCCTTTGCAGCAGTTCTGGGGACTGGCCGTGTGGTGACTTGGGGGAGTGCGAACCATGGCGGAGACAGCAGTGCTGTCCAAGATCAGCTGAGAGAGGCGAGCATTTAATGAAGGGCTGGCGAAACCATGTCATAGTGTGAACGAGTAGTTGGTGCTTGAGAGTCTGCATTGCAGGTACAGCAGATTGAAGCCTCCTGTGGTGCCTTCGCTGCCCTGGTCGGTGGAGTACAGCTTGTCACGTGGGGAAATGCAGCCTGCGGCGGAGACAGCGGAGGGGTTCAGCGACTGGTCATGGCGAGTTGATTTCAAGATGCAGGCGCTGATGCTAGATTAGATCGCCAAAAAGCATCGGAACATGAAGGGGTGAGCAGCAGTGGGAGCAAATCAGGTGTGTCGTGTCCCCTGAAGGCAGGTCACCCGTGACGCTCAAGTGTGCACGCCTGGCCTCGCTTATCACGGGGAGAAGCCTTGCGGAGCTCCGACATTTCAATTGAAAATGCTTGTCTCTCCATTTGTCGCTGCTTCGCCCTCACCAGCCGCCGGCCGCCGGCAGCTTCGCAACGCGGCCAATGCTGGGCTTATGCCTATGTCCTGAGTTCAATCGTCGTTGCTGGTGGGGTTTGCGTTTGGCCGAAGCTGCCTCTTTTCATAACTGCCTTGCAGCATCTTGTCAATGTCGTACCATTGTAAGACTCATGGAACTTTTGGGATGAGGCAAGGTGGGCGTCGTTGCATAAGACGAGCTCTCCTGCTCTGTTTTATAATGCTCTATTTGTTCCTGCTCCTGGACGTCCCGGGGGTGTTTCGTTTGAAGGGTTGAGAACTATATCAGCCCGAAGGTTTCCAGCGATCCCAGTCATGTTGCTGCGACCTTAGCAGATGGCTGGAGGTCACATTTCACAACTACTGGTAGCCTGCGCTCAGCGCGGACAGCCACAGTAGTCCAAGCGTCAGTGTGCCTTCTTTTTCAAGTTTCGGCATCCTGGCCCTGAAGCGCGCTACTGGCAAAGGCCCCTTCCTTGGCCTCGAAGCCACTGTTTCTCAAGCTGCGCAAACAAAAAAACACCTTTTGCGGTTGCAGACGTTGCACTTGTGGTTGCGTTCACTCGATGTGGAATGGCAAGTGTCCAGGCGCAATTGGCAGCGAAAGCAGAAGTGCAACGTGCGCAGCAGCGGGTGAAGCCTCTAACGCAACTTGGCGAGTATACGACTGAACATCATGAAGCCAGCCTCAAGGTTTCTTTGCGAGTAGCGTCTACAGCCAGATGAGCCAACTCAAAGTCCCCTGCCAATGCGAGCTTTCAGAAGCTGTTTCAGTTCAATTCCTTCAAGGCTCCTTGGCGGGGGCGAGAAGCCCCACCTGCCGCCCTTGCCGCCGACTCTACGCTCGGCAGACCTCCAAACCAAGGAATTTGTTGGCATGAGACTTCCAAACAACTTAATATGTCTAACCTGTTGAGAGATGCTTCAGATTTGTTGCTTTCTAGGATCAGAAGCGCTGTGCCCACCGTATATTGCCCTTTAACACCTTCTCAGTGAAGCCTACTCGACAGGACGTCGAGCAAATACAATCCGCTTACCACTGGAGGCAGCGTCTCTTTGCAAGTGTCCAGTTGTTTCTGGTGTGGTGATTCTGATTGAGAAATGCCGAACGATACGATTCGCGAACTCGAGTGCTGGGATTTCGGGCCATGTCTCGGCACAGCTTCTCTTATGTGTCCTCTCAATTAACCTCCGACCTTCCCTCCGTCCAAGGGGTTTCCATTTCAATTCGTGTCCGAGGATGACACGGTCCAGCGGATGACCTGGTTTTGTAAACACAGCGCCACGACGTTTCCACGTGCTGACGGGCTGACCTGGACGGTGGACATTGACTATTCCGCGCCTGCATGCTCCAAATGTTCGAATCCCACCAAGTACAAGCCCTTGCGGTCACGAGCTGCCACACGAGCCGAGCAGCAGGTCCCAGCAGCAAGCTACGGCATGTGCATCGCATGTGCACTGGCGTGACAGACAGATTGACATGGGCCCTGGTCAACGCTGCTGCTGCTGCTGCATCTGCATGGTGCCAGCTTCTGCCGTAGCGCTACACCACCACGAAACTGCGCTGACAGCGTTAACAGTTGAAATGCCTGCCTCGATCCCGCGGCCTGCCCACATTTTCGGAGTGGACCAGGAAAGAGGGGACATGTCACGCCTGACCACACCCCCGCAATATCATGTAACGGCCTCAAGCCTCGCCGAGTGGGCAGGGATAGTTCTCAGCAGGCGGAGGACAGTGCTGGGGTGCTGGAAAGCGTTTCAGAAGTTTGTGCCAACTTGACCGAGGCAGGCCCTGATCACGGCTTGATGTCTAGTGCAGGCCAGTTCAGATCCGCGAGCACTGCTTTGCCTCGGACCAGCCTGGTAGAACCTTGGGAACATATGCAGGGCCCTCAATGCTTCTGTCAAGCATCATTGATCATGGGCATTTCTTGCTTGAGCACTCCTCTTGCTTTCTGATGGGCATGAACCAAGAAGTCCACCGACATGGTAAGATGCAGGTGCACTCGAGCGTACAGCTTGCAGCAAGTGGTAGCTGCTAACAGGTCAACACCCTGAGCTTCAACTTGGCGCCACAGACACTGCAGGCATGACCTGTGTAAGCGGAATAGCGACAACGAGCCCAGTCGTCAGAGTTCTCATTCCGGAAGAAATGATGGCTTGAAGGGAGTGGGTGAGTGTGTCATGGCTCAAGCTTCATTCAGCACGGTTGCACCAGCCCACAGGTTGGTTTCCGCATATCCCAGAACAAGCGTTGCTTTTGAGCAGCAGACTGGGTCCATCGAAGGAAGCATGATTCGAATGAAAACATGCTCGCCTGTTCGAACCCCAACCCCAAGCCATACTTGGTGCTCGTTGTATCAGTGCGAATTCCAATGTGGCCTGCATTTGTGCCTTTGCTGCTGGGCTTCCTGCCGGTTTCCATCGCGGCATTGGAGCGACTTGCTCCATGGCGACACTGAGGGGTTACACATGTTTTTCCGAGAGAGTAGCCGAGCAGTTATGAAATTGGACATGTGCACGGGACAGTGTTTTGAATTCACATCCGTCGTGGACTGTAAGCCGGGAGGTCTTGGTTTCGCGCCACGGCGAACGGCAACGGTTGTGGAAAGACCAGGTCACGCAAGCAGAGGACAAGGCCTGAAAACGATGTACAGATTCATATATGTTCGTTGATGCAAGCTCGCTGCGCCTTTTGCCTTCTCTGTCATGAATGAGGCTGGCGAAGGCGGGCCACGCCTGACGGCCAAAGGCGCTAAGGCCTCGTTTTGGACATGTCATCTGCTTGTTCCTTTGTTGCGTCCCCTCTCCACTGCGAAGCGTGTGTCTGTCAGGAACTGGTTGATGTCGGCGGATCTCTGCGGCAGCGCTGCTCGGATGAAGGAGATGGTGGCAGGGGCGGGTGCGGAAGCTTTGGCCGATTGTTGCTTCAGACTTGACATTCAAGCGTGGGCGGCCGGAGCCTGCTTGAGCGTCCGAGGCTACATGCATCCGAGCTGTTCGCAAGCGCGCTGCTTGGAAGGACAAGGGACCGAGTTCGAGCCATCTGCATGTGTTCTTGGAGTGTACTGCAGGAAGCATCGGAAATGGCACCTATGTGCCTGCAGAGGCCAGGTAGCGATCTTACCACCTTGAACAGACTTGAAGCTCCATCGCTCTGGCACGAATGGAGGTGCGTGCGGAGAGCAGTGGCTTGGCCCGAACCCTCGGCTCCGCATACGCTCTCCACGAGGGTGGCTTGGACTTGGACAGAAAGGCGTGGCTGATTGTTTTTGATCGTGTCGCTTCGACTCAGGACTTCTGCCGCAGGGCTCTGTCCCAGGTGTCTCGGATGGACGTGCTGCAGGCTGTCAGTGTAGCTCGAGTGAAGCGCGTGTTGTGACTGATGAGGTGGCGGCTTGGCAGGTTCTGTGGTGGTGCCAATTCCGGTCTACAGTCGGCCCAAAAGCGAAGACTTCATCCTACGCGGCTACACGATGTGTTCGTCACAGGAGAGAAGTGTTGAAAACTGGTACTCCAGCGAGCAATTCCGGAACAAGGCAGAAGAGACCGTGGAGCTCCGAAGCCGGGTCGCATCTGCCTTGGGGCGCACAAACGTCACCGAGGATGATGGCACTGGTGCTCCCCTCCCTGACTGGTGGAATACCTACGATGAGTTGGTGATTGCGGCTCAAGCCGGAAGTCCGGTTGTAAATTCGTCGGACATGGAAGAGGCCGAGGAGCTCGCAGCTTGGCTTGAAGCCATGAAATTCAGCAAGAAGGTGGCGGGTAATCGCTGCGGAGGACCTCTCCTGCATGTGATTGGCGAGCGTTTGGATTCCTCCAAGTACCCTGAACTGCGGCTACTGCATTACAGTGCACACTATGCGACAATGCTTTGCCTCCTTACGGCTTTAGGTATTTCTGCAAGTTCAGAAACGTCCCAGGACAGTTGGCTGACTACGGAGCTTTTGGGTTTGAGCAGTGTGCTCGCTTTTGAAGTTTCCTCAGCCGAAGAACCTATGGTTCGATTGCATTATTGGCCGGGGACTGACAGCTCTGATGACACATGGCGAAGCTTGGATTTGCCTTGTGCTGGTCTCGGCACCGCGGCCGCCGGGGGCTGCACGGTGTCACAGTTCAAGGCCTGGGCCACGACCCACGGTCTGCCTACGTTGAGGGCTTGGTGTCGTGCATGTGAGAATTTCGAGCCCGAGCGTCGACTCTGCTCGATGACCGCGCCGACCCAAGAAGACGATTCGGTGCCTTCGCAGTGGGACCTTCCAGCGATTGCCTTTGTTTTCCTTGGAGTTGGAATGTCTGCGTTCCTGGCTGTCGGTTGCTACACCTTCCGTCGGAGCTTCTCTGCATGCTTTTCTGTGGATGAGGAAAGACGAAGCATGGTAAACCATAACGGAGCTACAATTGGTGCCTGCAGTCCGGCGCCTTCCTTGTAAGAGCGGCAGCGTCTCTTTGTTTCACGATGATGGTAGTTCGTATTAGTTGTTATAGAATTCGAGACCCTAGAGCGGTCTCAGAGATTGAAGCTCAGTGCCGATGAAACGATGAGTTTTGCAACCCGGCGACACCTAGAGGTGAAGAAGCCTTTAAAGCCTTTCATGTTTCCACTCGAAGGGAGCCAAGCCGCTTCAGATTCGACTCGCGGCCGGGAACTTCACGGCCCAGGGAGCAGTTTGGCCCGGCACCCGGTGCCGCTACAGATCAGATACACAGATACACCAGCTTCAGCAACGGCGTAGCACCGGGTCCCCGATTCTATCGCCCGCGTTTCTCTGGCAAGGTGTTACATCCTTGAAGATTCCTTTGTTCAGTGCCGTGGTGTGGTCATCGGCACCTGTCCGAAGACCCATGATCCTGAGAACGGCAGGACGGCCCTGAATTGAAGGCAAGGAATGCGGTTTGCTCAATTTTTGCGCCAGCTTGCTGCCAGGAACATTCGTATTTGTCGCCTGCCGGTGGAGGCTTGGTGACTGCTGCCTTTGGAGTGAGGGGTGCAGTGATGGTTGAAAGCAATAGCACGCAAAACAGAGGTTTTCTTGCTTGGGCACAAGTGTGGCAACAGCATGGGCCACACAATCTGTGAGGCACGCCCGCGCCGCGGCCTTCAGTTTGCTGCGCTCTCGAGGGAGGCCTACGATGTTGGTGGCAGATTGCTCAGACGTGCGTCGAAGATACTGCATGCAAGAGATGCATTCCATTCATTTAGTAAGGTCACATCACCTACACTTCCAGCCGGGTAGCCTTGACAGTCACACCAGATGGCTGGATATGTGGCCACTCCACGCGTGAGATGGAAGGCGCCATCGTTCTTTGACAGCATGGAATGCTATTGTGGTGTGTCAGACAGCAACCTGCAACTTTGAAGGGGCAGTTGACTTGAACTGCTTACCTGTGGTTTCTTCAAGACATTTCAAGACCAGATCATGCCTCCGCCTGAACTTAAGGATCTCTCCGCTATTCGCTTTTGCAAGCAAGGCGGCATCTCTCTTACGGACGAGGCGCGTGTTTTCCTTGTAGTCGTTTGCCATGAGTGGACCTACAACCTCAGGTGACGCTGCATACTGTGGATGTTCGCGGTTCGCGCCTGGTTTGTCTTCAAGGACACCTGTCAGAGTGCTTCTATGTCGAGATCTCAGAGTCATCCCTTCTGTAAATATTAGGGGCCGTGCGCCACACCGGGGGCAGTCAGGTGTTGCAATCCAAGCGGCCTCTGGCCATGCTCCCAGAGAGCTGCCGGCCGAAGGAGGCGACGAATCTGTGTATCAGAAACCGCTTCAATGATCCAACGCTTCGGACGCACCTCCTTCTCACAGGTGTTACATTTCGTCGCGCACCCAGTCGCCCAAAGGTCGGAAAAAATGTGTCTCGCGGGCACACACACTCTTGCTTGGGAGAGACCGGAATGGAAAGACTTCGTATTGATAGGTAAACGGCAGCCCTCGGGCGCATCACGGCAGCAGTGCTTTGTTCAATCGCGCCTTAGGTGACCCCTGGCTCTGGACCTGGAGCCTTCCACCTTATTCAGGTTCGGCCTACACAAGGCCCGGCCTGCCTCTGGGCAGCCTGTCAGCCCTTCTCATGCTGCAATGCTGCACAGGCTCCGGCATCGGCGGTGATCTAATGTGGCCGCTTCGCTGGAGTCAGGTTTTCGCACATGCTGAAGCATGCAGTCAGAAAGGAGATAAGCCCGTCGTATGTGTATGTGGCGGGATGCCTTCGAAGATTTCCGCCCCGCTAAGGAAAGATGGTGTTTGGAATCACGACCAAGTCCATCTCACGGGGATTATGCAACCTGCCATATTGAAACCGTTTGAAACCTCTCGCCGGGGGGTTTATCAAAGCTTCGGCTGTACACTGTTCAATCTTCCAGGTATGAGGTCAGTGCAGATGCTTTGTCACTCTCGTTCCTCGATGCTTCCTGGTCACAAGCATCTTGGCAGTGGTTTGCCATAGGCCTCTGGCCTTCCTGCTGCTGAAACCACACTCCTGAAGGGGCATCTGCGCTGCTCAGGAGATCTTGAGGATCTTTGTGGCTGAGTTTCAGAAGTTCCTGATGGCAAAGCGTCTGGGCTAAAACTGGCCCGTATCATCTGCGGTCGTTGATGAGCTGTCGTGCGATGGCTGCCCTCCTAGGTTTGGCAGCATCGACGATGCATGGGATGAGGCTTCTTGGATATTGCTCAGAGATGCGAGCGGCTCGTCTAACGACCCGGCTTCCAGGCTTTCGATCTGAACGGTCTCGGCGTGGTGAACTTCACGCAGCTCGGGGCCTGGTGGAAAAGAAGCGCTTGCGAGGCAGTGCAGTGTGTGAGGGTGTGTTTTTTAGTCCCGTCGTCAGGTTCAGTGTCGGCTGCAAGAAAGCTGGCTATGTTGGCAATGCCACACGGTTGTGGGCGGCAATCAATGACGCCCCCCTGTCGGCACCAAGATGTTTCGTCAAGCAGAAGACAGCCATCCTTGGTTATGTCCTTGCTTTGTACACCGTGGCCTAGGATCACGGCGATGTGATCTGCCTCGATCAGCTTGCCAGGAGCCTCCGACAATGTTTTATCGAGGGCAAGTGGGTCACACTCGCAAGGCAACGTGATGAGGAAAATTCGGGCATCGAAAACTGAGGAATTACCTAGAACCGGAGCCTTCGGACCAGCTGGACATGGGTCGTCGCTCGGTAGACACCCTCTTTGCTGCAACGCATGCCCGACATCACCAGCACCGCTGCGGGGCACTGTTTTCAGGTTCTAGCTTAGCAGCAAGTGCGGTGATGTGACCCAGGCAATGGTGAGGATGCGCCGGCGCTGGAGAATGGAGCTGGCTGATAGCGGCAACCGCCTCACCAGCAAGCCAAGCTCCTTAACGGCGTGCTTTTAATCGATTGGAGTTTGCGGTGCCGCCACGTTGCTCAAGTCGACCGGAAATCATGAAGAGCATCAAGAGCACAGAAACAGAGTGCTTCGTGTTGAACGCGGGACGTGGTAGTGTGGCAGCGCCTGGGGCCGAGCCCTGGCGTGGGGCCCTGGCGTGGCCCTGGCGGCCCTGGCGTGCCAGGGCGGTGTTCTGCGGCTAAACACCTCGCAGCCCGTGCCCGCCACTGCCTTGCGGGCCGAATGCGGCGCCTGACTTAGCATCAGTACCACGGATTATCTGCTCCGAGGTACTGAGTGCTTGTTGGTCGTTTCCGAAGCCATCCTGAAAAGGGCTTCTTCACGCGCGCCGCCCCCCCTCCCTCCCATTTCTTTGTGGTTGGAGTGTGGGGTCCGTCTTCCTCCTTTGGGGTGGTTGTAGGGTTTAGGCTAATTTGAGTTTTGGGTGTGGGGTTTACCGCCCAGCGGGCCCCACCCTCCAGCTGCAGCTCCAACGGCCACAACCTTCCCCTGCACATGCCAGCCCTGCCTCTGCCAGACCATACAATTTCCGGGGGTGGGGGGAAGGGAACGCCAGACGCCTGAGCATATAGGCCGCTGCAGGTGCGGATTGCCAGACCCACTTCGACACCCTGGAGGTGCCGAAGAGCCATGCTGCTGCCAGATGCTTCCGCCAGGCGTGCTTGTCCCATGTCGGTTGAACTCGGCAAGTAAGCCTCGGCATGAGTTGGAGGCTGCGAGCAGCTGGAAGCCAGAAGGAATCTTGTATGAGTTGTGGTCGTGATCGTGATTGAACGCCGCGTGCGTGTGACCTATATAGGTGCCTGTGCAACTAGTAAGTGCTATGCAGGGCTATGCGTGTCAGATTGATCAGGTTTGTGTTTCTTTTCTAGTATGCCGCGTTATGGACCTCTGTGGATTTGGTTTTTCAGCAACAACTAAGTCTCAGGAATGGATGCCACAGACATCCTGCAGGGCATGACTGGCCCCGCTTCGGCAGATGGGATCACACAGGAATGCGCTGTTGCAGCACGAACACGGCAAACGATTGTCGTTCGCTGGGCAGTCGTGATGCTCTTGAACTGCTGAGGCGGCGATTTTCGCCGAAGAGCGCTGCATTGGATGCAGCAATGCCAGACAAGGCCTGGTGCCGCATGTGTTTGGGCAGTCTTATGGTACACAGCAAGCATGCGTTCAAGAGCATGTATCTGCGGGTTCCAGGCACGGGCGCGTGTTCTGGATCATGAAACTGAAAGCCGTCAAGCTGAACTATCAGATTTCCAACATTCTGGAAGTGATGCAACTTTGTGTGCCTTGGGCTTGCCTTTTGGAGGTGGCAGGTGGCTTCCTTGCTCCGTTCTACCTTTACCAGGGGCTCAGTTCGGGTACACTCCAACTACCCCAAGACCTGCTCCGCACTGGGTGTTATGGGAACCCCGACACCAACGTGCTGCCTTTTCGTTTGGCAGTGGCTGTTGATCAACATGCCGAGTTCCAGCAGGCCGTGAACTTGGGAGCCGAAGCTGCCCGAGAGTTGCGGAAGACTTGGCTGATCCATTTCCAAGAGAAAGGTCTCCATCCGATTATTTACACAGCCTTGGAACAGCCCAGGCTGCCAAGACAAAGGCACCATTCAAGAGCCGGCCTGGACGAAGGCCTCTCACAGGGTGCCGCTGTGCTGTTCGCAGGTGATTGGCGATTTGATGAAGGAGTGGTTGCCAGCATACAGCGGCATTTGGTGAGGCCGCTCCAGGCTAGGGTCTTCGCGGTACTCAGCTGGCGAAGACAGCGACGTGGGTGGGCAGAACGCCGTGCTATGAAAAAGCTCGTGCCATCGCTGACCGACTTCCTATGGGTCTTGGACGACTCTGAAGAGGACCTTCGCCGGAAGATCCAGCCCAGTGCCCTGCAACGTTACCAGCGGATGGGTGGGCGGGCTCTGGCCCCTCTCGGGAAGCACAGCCAAGGAGGGTCATTGCACAGCCTGGTCAAGTTGCAAAAAGTCTTGGATTTGACAGAAGCCCACGAGACGCGACGAGGGTTCCGTTTCCGATGGCTTATCTACAGCCGCCTGGATCTTGTCTGGGTCTCACATCATCCGCCGCTTAAATTATTGGATGAGAAGAGCATATGGACCGTGCCCCTGGCAGGCAAACTGCAGCAACAAACGAAGGGAAAGGCTCGAAGTGGACAAATTATCATGTGATCCTCACCTCCGTGCTATAGGCTTGCAGCTCTCAACAACCCTTTCTTCCGTGCTGTCGGCCAGGAACCAAAGACGTTTGCTGCTAACGACTGGCACGCAGTGGTTCCGCGACGGCTGGCCTTCGCCTACTTCAGGCGGTGGTTTCATGTGCCTTGGGCAGGTATACATATATATATATATATATATGTATATCAGCAGCATCTGTCTTGTGTGCGAGTTTGTGGGCGGATTGGGCCTCATGCATACTTGTGGACTCGGCTTCCGAAGGCTCTGAGGCTCTTGGGGTGAGGTCGAAGATGTGAATAGAACGGCGGAATGTGCAGAGGTTGCCAAGGGCGACGCCCCATGGCTGCCATCACTGGAGCCGGAGGAGCAGTCTGATGAGTCATAGGATCTGCTTCTTTATGTCCTCCCAGCACAATCAGGAGCTTTTGAGCTCCCTGTGTGAAGTCATGTGACTTGGTCCAAACTAAAGGTGTGACGGCAACGTGTTCGTGTTTCTTCGCAGACAAGTCTCAACTAGGTCTTCGCATACTGCGTTTTGGGGAAAGACAGTGGCAGGACTTTCAGGTGAAGGCTAGGCATGCCCACATCGGTGCTGAGGAGTGTGCCAGTGCGTACTTTCGACCCGGTGTTCACTTTGACGAACTGTCGACGCTGGCGTTCCTTGGCTAGAATTCGGATGTTCGTTCGAGACATCCGCATCCCAGCATTTTCGTGTCAGCCGCGCAGCTGCCTTCTAGGCCTCGCATAGGGGCGGAAGGAAGCCACTGAGGATTCTGATGTCAACCTGTCTCTGTTGATCTGGTTGTTGCTCGGGTGGCTGCTGTGATGTTGCGATGCTGGTATTTGGTTCTCCGCCTCGGTGTTTCGTTTGTTCCCGGGCAAGCTCATTTTTGTTCGCACCTGGGGCTGCTGCGACCTGAAAGTCTTCACCATGTTGAAGCACAGTGAAATATCAGTCGTCAAGGGCTCTCGCTGCGGCAGAGATAAGCGCTCTCCCAGTCCAGCATGCTGACAACAATTCAGCACACCTTATCCAGAGGCTGCCAGTTCCAGGGCTGGGTTCCCTCGAACGGCCGGCTGCGGTGGCCGGAGCAAGCAGCGACCCTTGGCTGCAGTGGATCTTACGCAAATCTAGAGGAGTCTTGACCTTTGTCCACATGGCAGGATCCTGCTCCAAGCTGCCAGTGACCTGCGGCTTGGTGCGGCTACCTGGGCTCGAGTCGACTCAGGTGGTCTGGCGATCGTGCGACACGTGCGAGACGTGCGACCTGAGGAAAAGAGGCCTGAGCTGTAAGGCTCACTGGTTGTCGGTTTGAACAAAGAGAGTGCGTGGATACCAAGTTTAAGATCTTCGAGAAACTGAATGGGAGGTATAGCTTTGATTGCTTCGCAAGACCAGATTTCGGAGACGAAGTTGACTCACTGTCGACAACAGGGAAGCCAGAATTGCTATCAGTGTTCAGATGCTTCTAGTAGAAGGCCAGTACGTGGCACTGGCAGTCACGGTTCAACATGCGAACATGATATTCTGACTTTGCCCTATATGATTTCTTGGCCTGACTCCGTGGCAAGCATTGAAGGGCTCACCGACTTTAGTCCCACTCGTGTGCATGGACTAAGGTCCTGGCGCCAGTGGATGTGATTGGTGTAGCCTCTGGCCAGCAGCCATCCCTGAGCGACCATTGGGGTTATCGCATGCGGAAGTCTGCGTGTTCTGCTTTCAACTTACCTTTGGTTTTTTCCGCATGCAGATCCTGCCTTGCATGGCAGTCATATAGACTTCCACCGGACACTCTGCTGATCTGCAAAATCTCCAAGAGACATTGCAGCTTCAGGCGCAGCACACGGGAGCTGTTCCAAAAGTTTTCGATCCAGTAAAGAAGGGTGCACTGGCATCTGCGTTTCACCCTCGTTTCTGCCAGCTTAGTGCTGGCTGGTGGATGGTCCAAGTGAAACGTTCCTGCTCCAAGACAGGGACATGCTAGCGATCCCTCCAAATGGAGGCAGGATTTTGGTGGTGGATGTTTCCAGATCGAATAGGCTGGGGCTGAGGTCGGATGAGCATTTATTAGAGAAGGTATATGATAGAACGCGGACTTGATTTATGACTTATGAGGTATGCGATGGACGTGGATAATGGAGCAGCAGAAAAGCACATGCCGGTTCTTGACTGTTCCACGTGCCTAGTTCAGCGGGAGACCCCGGAGATGCACCCCGCACCCTTGCCCAAAATGTCGCTGCTGGTCAACGCCCCGTGAAAGAGAGAGAGAGAGAGAGAGAGAGAAAGGGCGGGAGGACTGCTCCCGCCCCAAGCCCCTAGCAAAGCAAAGAGAGAGAGGCCCTGTAGATCTAAGCCCAGCAGAAAGAAAGAGAGGCCCTGTCCTCCGCAACGGTCGGGGGCGCTTGAGCGCGCGGTGTGGGGGGTAACACCCCTACACCATAGCCCTGGCGAAAGAAAGAGGCCAGGACCGTGTTGGAGAAGAGAGAAGCAGCCGAGCCCATCCCTACAGCTTCACCAATTCTCACCGAACTTATCCAAATTCTGCACGGTCGGTGCACCGCAGTCGCAGAGGTCCAACTGCTGCATGCCCTAGCTATCCTCACTGGTCCACCAGGAGAACAAGTCCTCCATAAATTGCAAGGCTGACATAGGCCGACCACGAGCAGATTCGGCGACATGTAGACGGAATCGAGCAGCAAATGGCGTGCCGCGAGTGCTCCTCCAAGCTTGGCTTTGCAAGCCAGTGTTGAAGCTGTAAGATCTTCGCTCAGATCTTCAAATCTGCAGGCCACATCCGTACCAAGGCTCGGATGCAGGCAGCCCTGGACGCCGATGAAGTAACCGAGCTTCGTTTTGTGTGAGGCTCAGTGCCGTGACTTAAAGATTCCCACCATGAGTGCAGCGTCATGTGTGTTTTGCGCTTCATGGCTTGTGAAAAACTTTTGGGCTCGTGGAAAGCAAAAAGGGCGCAGAGACGTGCTTCCACCGAAATGCATCACCGAGCAGCCGCACATTTTCTGCATGTCCCTGAAAGGCCGAAGAGGCAACGCCAGGAATTCTCTGCCTTTGTCTTCGGATCCGAGGTGAGCTCTCGGAGGAACCACGAAGCTTTGACCACTCTGCTGGCCACCGGGGCCGGGTCTGCGAGGGCGTCCACGAATCCGCGTGGGAGTCTTCTTCGGTTGTCAGCCATCGGTTTCCAGAGTCAGGAGCTGGGGCAGCTGGACCCATTGGAGGAGTTGCAGGGCTCGTCCGGGCCGTGGGTGGCGGGCCCATGGCGTGTACTCCCCAGCCAGGCCCTGCAGATGGAGGGACCTGATCCGGACGTGGATCCGCTGGAGGACGATCTCTGGGATCGTGGCTCTGGCGGTTCCGAGCACGTCGACCACCATCACCAACATGCCGTTGAGCACTTGGAGCATCATCCCCACGAGCCCCACGATGATACAATGACGGACTTTGGAGTTGCCTTGATCTCATCGGGGACCACCATATTCCTTGCCTTTATGAGTGCTATCTTTGCCATGAGGCTGTTTCGGGAAATGATGCGACCACCCGCCCAACAGATGCAAGGCATGAATGCTGGTGCGGACGGCGATGCTCCTGGAGTCCTGCAGCTGGACATCCCTGGCGTTCAGCCTTTCCGGCCATTCTCGGGCCAGGGCTACCGTCTCGTTATGGAGCCAGATAGCAAGGCTTCCGGGGTTCCTAGCTCGGAGGTCACTCAAAGGACCAGGGCTGATGCCGACAAAGAGAAAGACACTCCTCGCAGCTTGTCACCTGCTTCTGTGGTTTCCGTTGGGGCGCAGCCCAGCACTGTCTTGTCACCAGGGCCGAGGCAACAGCTGCCGCAGTTTGGAGCAGACGAGGCACCCGAGGTGACGGCACCGCCCTAGCCGCAGGATGCCCGAGTAATGCAGTGCAAGCAGCCAAGCGATGGCTGGAACACTTGCAGGAAGCATCTGAAGCGACCCAGAAGACGTGAGGGTGCACGAGGCTGCTGAAAAGGAGACTGGGTGCAAGTTCCGTGACGTAGTGCTTCGGGCTCGTGAACTTGATTTATGTTGCCTTGACCGCTTTAACTTTAGATGAGGGACCGCCGCTCCAGCATTAGATGCTTTGGAACCTCCAGGTCGTGCCCCGGGCAGCGGCGGATTCTTGGGCATCCAGGCACCTGCTGTGGCCCTTCTCAATGTGCATTCATGTCGTGTTGTACGGTGTAGGAATTCAGGGAGTGTTCCATCTCGGAGCGGTGTGACTCGTGTAATCCATTTCTCAGGTTTCAGGCATTCAGCAGCGAACATTGCAAGGTCGTTCCTGGCCCTGCCACTCCGGTGTCCCTGTTGCTATCTCAAGAGCACGGGTTGTCCAGAGCTGGCCCCGGCCCATGCATAATGTGCTGAGTAGTGACCGCAGATGCTTGCTTGTTTGGGAGCCAGAACGACATGCTTCTTAGCATCAGCTTCGGAGTGTAATCGTGCCGATCGGGAAGCGATTCTTGCCATACCCTCAGATTGGCACCGTGGAGTCGAATGCCAAGCTTGCGACCTTGCTCCATATTTATGAGTGTATAAGTGTCAGCTAAATCATGAGGACCTAACGCAATGGGCGATGCAGCCCGCACCAGAGCAGCTCTGAACTTTGTTTGCAGCGCGCTGCACAGAGCCGGTGTGCACTATGTTGATGCGGAATGCCTTCGCCTGGCGAAGCATGCCGACGCGTCTGTGGGCCCTGCCATGTGGGCACTTGTAGCTGACCTGCTAGAGTTTTTACAAGTCAGCACGGAGAGTTGGACTCCGATTCTGCGAGAATCCCCCATGGAGTTGTCTGCGCTGGACAAAGACGTTGTGGTCTTTAGACTTATGCTTTTGGGATACCCTAGGGCCGATCATCTCATCGACACCAGGGAGTTGCTGCTTGCAGTGGGTTATTTGTTAAGCACGTCCCAGCTTTTGACGGCAGCCCGTCGCGTGAAGAGCCGCCATCCATTGCCACCGTATCCCGACGAAATCGCTTGCTCGGAGCGGCCATCTCCAATTGGTCGACCCGCAGCGGATGGCGATGGACTCTGTCATATTCTTCAGCTCCATGGTCGGTGGCGTGCAGAGATGAGACGGTTGGAGCAGCTGGAGTCTCACCGTCTCATGTTGCTGAAGCAAATGCAAGAACTGTCGTCCAGCAGGCTTCAGACGCACAAGGATAAGGACAGGACGAGGAAGTTTCTCCAGTCGCCACCAACGCACTATGAATTATTTGTGCTGGAGCGGTCCTTGCAAGAGCACCTGGAAGACTTGCAGCAATACATCAGCAATGTGCAGGCCAACAAGGTCCGGGGGGCTTGACATGTGTTGACCAGATTTCCGAGTGCTTTAGCGTTCTGTATGCTTCCATTTGTTCCTCCCCCACACTCGCCATCATTGTTGCTTCGATTTGGGTGGTTGTTCTGGTGATGATGGATCCGTGGTGCTGCCGGCAGCCGTCGTCGTCTCGTCGTGGTCGTCGTGGGCTGTCTATAGTATTTTCGAGTTTGGGCGGCTGTCCCACGCAGACCACTACTGGGGCTAGAGTTTGTTTGCAATGTATATCTTGTGGTGGCAAGGACTCCTTCTTGATGATGTGGTTCGCATGTACTTTTACATGTTTGCTGGCCAGATGTCCTTGACGTGATGGCACTGGCCACGCAGTAGAAATGGAAAATATGGAAATGTCGTGCCTGCAGTGCAACTTGTCGCCGTCGGCAGTAATTAGGGGTGTAGTCGGTGCACTTAGTGATATGGTCTGGGTCATGCTTGCGTTGAGACCGTTGCGCTTGGGAGGACGAAGAGCTCTTCTGGCGCTGGATGGGGAGTGTGTTTCGAGCCGCCGGCGCAGAAGGCATTGCGGCAGACAACCCTAGCCACGAGATCAGCCACACCATGCAGAATGAGGCTGTTTTGAACAGCCTACAAAGCTTTCGAGAGTCGGCAACTGCGCTGAGAAAAGCTCAAGCCGAACCTCTTCGCCCTGCACCGCGTGACACTCGACACGGGGTGTGCAAAGTTGGAAGCCTGCGTGACCACTGGGATGCCTTGCACAAGTCTCTTTCGGGTGACACTCAACGGCAGCTAAAGCCAGAGCTTCGAGATTTGGGAATTGCCTTCGATGCTGCATTCCCGGCTGTTTGGAACGAAAACACGGAGAAAGCAGAAAGCACGAGCATGCAGCATGTGGTCCACCGGCCATCGAGGCTCCCAACCTTCCTGGTCAGGGAATCACGAGATGGGTTTGGGAAGCTGGGCACGGCAGCAGCAGGCGTTCAAGAGCACGTGCATACGATGCGCACGCGCTACACATCTACATTGCAGGAGCACGGGGAGCTTCTTGAGGAAGCAGTTAAGGAGCTTCATGGTGCACTGGCGATGCTTGAAGACTTGCGAGTGCTTGCAGTGGGAAAATGGCAACGGAAAGGGGACAAACCTTGGCCACGGCCATGCTGCCGCCATGCTGCCGCCGCTGCCTTGCGAGGCCGGAGGCTTGGGCCCCGCGTCTTCGGGGCTTGGACCTCCCGTGCCCGGTTGAGTCGCCATGGCCTTAGACTATCTTAGACTCTTCGCTTTTGCTCGGAGTCTCCATGTTGGCTGGAAAAGCGGAGACTCGAAGGTGTGCCGGATGCTTCCGGCTGCGTGTGGAGGCTCCATGAACATGACTTCGGTCTTTCATCATAGCGCTTGCTGCTTGAGCCTTAGCCAGCATCTTTCTTTGCAAGGCCTCGTCGGCGCCACTGGCGAAGCGAATTCACAGAACCAGGCGCGGATGAAGTTCCACACATTGCCCGGGGCTGGGACTGTCATCACCGGCCCGCGACGCTCGGAGCCTGGGCCAGGGCCATGGACGACGGACGATCCATGACGAACCTCCGTAGGTATCCAACATTGTTCAGGCCTGTGGTAATCTCGCTCTCAGTTTTCTTTTATGACGTTTTTAGCCCTTGATTTCTAATCCTCCAATGCCTCTTTCATGTGTCGATGTTGGCCGCCGCCTGTGGCAGCAGCAAGGTTTCGTAAGGAAGCCTACTCGCGACAGTCGTGCTGCAACGGCAACTGTCGCTGATGATTCAGCGAGGTATCGCTGCTGGATGCCAGGCTGCCCTGTGCAGGTCCTCCTGAGTTCTCGTTGACCGTTCAGAAAGCACTCGCCATCTCGAACAGGTCGTCGTGTCCCTTCACATGGCCGCATGGGATGGCGATGGTGACGAGGCGAAGCATGCGACTTCTGCCATAGCCGCAAGAGTTTCATGTGACCCGATCGACAAGGCTGGCAGAATCAAGGGAGCTATCGGATGGAGTCCGAATGGCCTGGAGATACCTCGTCTAGAGTCTAGTTGTGCCCACCTGTCTTGAGATAGCATGATCGACCTTCTGGACAGCACATGAAAGATACGGTGCGTTCACTCTTACAGCACGTCAGAAGGAGCTGAGATGGGGGAGCGAGGGTGATAACTATTGGACACAGCCGTATGCTCAAATCATCCCCACCTCAAACGACTGACCCAGCTTGTAAGATCTGCCCAAGACAGGGTTCATATGTTGCGGCTTCTGCTTGCATTAGATGGTGCAGGCAGACAGCTTGTGAGAGATCGCGGCAGAAGGAGCAATCCTTGTTCGAGCACACTTAACAGACATAAAGCTGCAGATCATGATACATTAGCGTCGCGCTTGCAATACGTCTAGAATCTGGTATCTAGACAGCCAAGATCAGCCTTTTTCGCCGGTCTTCCACCGCCCTCTCTGAAAAGCAAGCTCAGGCACACGGTCAATACCTTGGAAATAATGCAGATGCTCGGTCCCGTTGGCCAACTGTAGTTTGCACACCTCTGCTCCAGTCCACATCTCAGCAGACAGGAGAAGCAAAACAGAGCAGGATTCGACAAATCGCCGCCTCGGAGTCGAAGTCGATCGAGCTTTCGGAGCTTTGGCTTTGCGCGACTGCCGCAGGCCAACCCCGTGAAGTTGGGCCCAAAAGTGTCCAGATCTCAGGACTGGGGACCCCAGACATGCCTGTATCTTCCATTTACAGAACGGGGCTTTACGTGCACCGGATGCCTTCCCAGAATTTGGCAACCTTGAGCTGCAATCCTGGCTGACCTCTGCTGCTTCGAAGCAAACATCTGAGGTGCTCGCGTAAACTCGACTGGGTAGATTCCACGGAGAGGGTGCGGCACCCAGCCAGGGACATGTCGAGTCAGCCGCGCTAGAAGGCCTCGGAGAGCTGCAAAGCGCTTCTGCACCCCCCGACCGCACGCCGGCACGGCCGCTTCAGTGCACGCTCCACCCATCGGCTCCAGACTTCTTCTCTAGACGCCAAAGTGTTCGCATTTTTAGCAATGGAGTCTTTCGACATTGAAAAGCCCATGGATGGCGGCAAGGAGAGAGTTCTGCCGAGGGCCAGCATGGTCTTCGGCATCAGCTTGTGTGCTGCCTCGCTGGCATTCGTGGCTTTGGGGCCAGACTCAGTGGGGCTGTCGGGGCTGTTGCTAGCTCTCAAAACAGGACAATCTTCTTCTCCGGCGCCGCTCCTCGGCGACGGCACTGCAGTGGATTGGTGGTTTGCCTTCAAGCCGACCACGGATGCATTTCCAAAGTGCTCCAGCAGTATAAGCTGCATGTTCGGCGGCAGTAAGGAGTCATACAATGGCTGGGGCTTGCAGTACATCCTTTCCCATGGTAGCAAGGGCGCAACATCTGCAATGCAGCTTCACACCGACTGCTTGGGAAATGGGGAAGACCCCGTAGCGAAGACCTTTGAACAGGTATATTCTGGCGGAGCCGCCAACTATGTCATATGGAACGACCAGTTCTACGACGACCCAGTGCTCAACATCCAGCCACCGTGCGTGAAATATTGTGCAGGTCCGTGGGGCCACAGCAAGGGGGTCATGGCTTGGGGTGAGGATGGCACTGGCTTCGTGATGCAGGTAACCACGCCCGATTGGCCAGGGTCTGGCTCTTCCAAAAAGCCGCGCAGCAAGCAGGGCAACACTCTGGGATGTGTGGAGGATGACAACATCAAAGTTGCGCAGCACTTTTTCGCATTGCGCCTGGCAACATCGGATGACACGAAGACTGTGCTGCAGGCACTGCAGCGGGCCTCGGTTGCAACAGACCCAGGCAACGACCAGCTGGTTAAGCTCACAAGCGGTCCGGCCGAGCTGTCCAGCTTGGCCAAGCAACTGGGCCGGCAGGTCTTGGATAACCTCACGCCGTTCTCCGGGACCCTCAGTGTCAAGACCACCAGTCAGGCAGCACTGGCAAAACAGGAAGATAGCATTCTCGAGCAGTAGGTTCTGCGGGTTCACTTCCGACAGCCTCTAGGTTGAAGTGAGCTGTTAAAGGCCTTACAGTGACGCCCGAGGTGCGACTGATTGCGAAGCCGTCTGGCTTACATGTGCCGCCCTGGCACATGGTCTCCTCATTGCTGGGATCCCCGTTGCGCACGGCTTCCTGGTGGGGGAAGCCAGAGATCAACTCCACGAAGGATGGCTTTGTCCCAGGTTGCTGGAATAAGAACCTGAAATCTCCAAAGGAAGTGCAGGTGGCACTCAGCGGCCAGTGGGAAGGCAAAACCTTCAGTCTCGAAGGACGCCCAACTACTGATGGCAATCATGCGAAGCTCGCACACAGCCTATCTGGGTCGAAGCTGACTGTCCTTGCAGACATGAACCAGGAAGGAAGCTTGAATGGAAACTCTGGCGGTGAAGACAGCTGTGAGATTTCCCAGAACGGTCGCGGCGGCCTCTTCTTCGTGGTAGAAGATGATGTGCTCCACAGCGGGCTGTCGGAGCTGCTCAAGGGTTCCACTGCGGCCTATGCTGGTGGATCGCCGAGCCCAAGTCCGTCTCCATCCCCGTCTCCCCCGTCTCCATCCCCGTCTCCCCCGTCTCCATCTCCGTCTTGTGGTGGCAAAGGTAAGTCCTGGGCTTCCTGTCGCCAAACCGGCTGCACGTACGTGCACAAGGAAGATGCGAAAGCTTGTGGCGTCCAAGGCTATGGGTGCTACCCGAGTGCCAGCCTTTCGGCCACCTGCCCCAAGGCAATGTGGGCGTGAGGTCCGGGCTCTTCAAGCTACCAGTTGCTCGGACTTGCTGAGCAACTGGGAGCTCACAACCAGGTTACGATTTTGCACGAGTTTTCCGGCCGAGTGGCCTGGCAAGAAAATGGCAAGCTCATTTGTCAGTCTATTGCCTCGGCAATCTCATGTAAGCCTCTTCTGGCTGGACAGAGGTGGCGGGCCACGGTAGTGATCAATAGTAGCAATACTGAGCACTGGATGCGATGTCGGAGCAACACTCCTTTCCGGAAGTTTGGCTGTCATCTCCCAACTCTGTGCTTTTTGGGGGCGTCAGCAGCCACTGTCATGCCGTGCAAGCTGTTCTCGAATTCTGCTGAAGGAACTACTCAATGCTGTTCAACAGCTGCTGCCTCCCCCAGATGTTAGTGTCTATTGGAGCTACCGTGCAATGGCCCGGTTACACCCCGCGTGTGTGAGGTCCCTGTAGGGAGAGTGCTGAGCCGGTGTACACTTTATGGTTGTCAAAGTTTAGATCTTTCGCGGGGAAGCTTCGAAAGCTTGTGGGTCAGAGCGAGTAGCGCCCGAGCTTGACTGAAGCTGCAGGGCTCTGTTGTGCTTGAGGGGCACCACAGCCAGCAGCATCAAACATCGCTTGTGACTGCTGGACACAACATGGTTGCCTTGCAGGGTGCGTTTGCATGGGCCACACATCGCCTGCAATTCAAATGCCACGAATCGAATTGACAGCGGAAGGCTGTTGCGCAAGACCAGCGTCCGGAGAGCTTGTGCCGACCCTAGGAAGGAGATGCGAGGAGTGCCATGTAGATGGCAACTTGGCCCCCAACAGAGTGCAATCCCGTCAGGCTAGACTCTTCGCTGTAGCTGTAATGCACGCCGCGGTTCATGATTAAGTGACACACGTTTACACATGCCGGAAGATGCGCAGCAAGGACTGTCACGGGAAGCATCTGACTGTCTTGCATTCTGCATGTGCTCGCAACGGTGTCCGAGGCCTGTGACAACTCTGTGCGCAGGGCAAGAGAGAACCGCACTCCGCATGCATGAATGCTGCGAATCTATGCCGCTCCAACAGGTTTTGGCCCAGATATAGGGAGGGGTGTCTTTCTTACCATCATGACTTGGCGCTTACTTCAGGCCGGGGAAGCGGGCTTTGAGCAAGCTTGCCGAGATTGCAAAGCCGTCCTGAAGTCAGCGCTAGTTGTGAGTTTCCACATGTTCCAGGAGAGCTGAAACCCCTTGCATTGGCACTGTATATGTGGTACCGCGCGTTGCCGGCATTTGCTGTCATGTCAGAGATTTGGCTCAACGTCTGTTGCCTAGAGCCGACCGCTACTGCAAGGATGAGAGTCTTCGGGATGTCGGGCATGAAGCTTCCACATGAATGTGGGTTGGAATCGCCGAGAGAGTCCCCGTCGACCACAGATTGTCCAGCGGACACCAGGAGCAGCGAAGGCAGCTCTCCAGCTTACAGCAATGATGACGGCTGCAGCGGGAACCATTTCAGCCGCTCGGACATACCATTGCGCTTTAATCATGCCCAGCCATCTCTCCCACCCGGATATCCAGCTCCTCCCGGCTTGGGGCTGGTGGCTGATGCTGCCCCGGCATTCCGGCAAGGATCAGGCATTGGCGGACAGCCGAACCGTGCATGGATGGTTTCAGATGTTGCTATTGTGCCACCATGTACGGATGTGCCGAAGGATGTTCTTGCTGGCGTCGCTAATATGGGCTTGGCAGCAGAAGCGCATGGCTCTGGTGCCGTCGGGCCTGGGCAGTCTTTGCCGGTGCCAGCAGCACGTGGGACGAGCCATTGTGATGTGTCACTGCAAAAGCGGATCAACAAGGACCGGGCTTCATGGATCTGATCTGTATGTCAGCAGATGCCTGAGCTCGTGCAGGACCTGACGACAGCCGCCAAGTCTGAGAACGAAGATGCTGTCTCCGAGGCCCCCTGAGTGGACGAAAGCCTGCTTTGATTGATGATACACATAGTCCGTGGGTTGCCTCTAGAACCAAAGGCTCGGCTGGTCTGTACAAAGACGGTGGGTGGCAGGTTCTTCGAACTGCCGCACTTCATCTTCACCAGCTGAACAGTGTGAACCTGTCGACTGCCGTCCACCGCCTGGCACGAGCATGCGAAGGTTCCAAAGCACAAGCGAATCGCGTCAAGACGGAGCCTAGGCGGTGAGACAGATAGCAAGTGCATCCTTGTGTGAGTTCATGTCCTTGCATGCAAGCCTGCAGCAAAACGCTTCTCCACCCGCCCGCACCGAGGATCCGATATTCCTCCTCATGCTCGAGGCGGGAGTGTTTCGTTCTCGTACGTGAGCTTTATCGAAAAGCTCGGCCCCTTTGCAGGTGGCCGAGCACAAGGCCGAGTGCTGCGCGTGGGATCTAAAGTGCATCTTCCGAGCACTTTAATAGACACGCTTATAGAGCTTTTTCGGCTGTGGCGGATATGTTGGGGGCTGGAGGCTTCATTGGCACCCGACATGGCCTATATATCATGGCCTGCAGTGGGCCAGCATGAGCATCACTGGTCCCCATCATGCCTCAACCTGTAAACACCGCAGAGCGCTGGACCATGACGGCATGGCCGGATTTGCGGTGCAGGGCTGGCACCCAGCGCCTCGACGAGGCATTGCCCGTGAGAAAAAGGAGAAAGCGCGAGAAGCGCGGAGAACGCCGTGCCGGCGAACAATGGGAAGAGCCCGCAAACGCGACACACACGCTCGAACAACAGGAAGCCGCGAACAGCACCAAAACCGCAATACCACAGTAGGAACCATAGGAGTAATAGTAATCCTTGTAGTCATCAAAGTCATAATAAAGGTTTGAGTATAGCAATCGAAACTGTAATTGCGATAATTTTGTGTTTTTCGATTCTTCTTCTTTGTTTTTCGCGATGCTTTTGCGGTTTTTGTGTTTTTCGACTTCTGCGTCCCATAGACCCCTTCATAAATCCTAAGTCCGTCTATAAAGCTTTCCCTGTCTATACACTCTTGCATAAACCCCTCTGCAGACCCCTTCACCAATTGCTTCCTTCAAGTACTTCACCAACACGCTTCCCCCATGTCCTGGCGTGATTCAAGAACTGCCGGCGAGATTCAGAGATGCGACCACAAAGCTTCCACATAAACTTGCGGGATCCAGGAGTGCGGCCAACTGGCAGGCTTTACCGAGAGGGTTGTCAATTCAGCAGAATGCTTCCCCTGTATGTGCCGGCGGGGTTCAGGAGCACGGCCAAAGTGCGACCCATGTACCGGCGGGATCAAGCATGGGTCGTGAGCTCTGCAGCACGACTTCGCCTGCCCCGTGCTTTTGCAGATATTAACTTAGATCACAAGATAAACCAAGACCAGAGCCGGCCTCAAGAACAAATAAAGTCCCAACCAACCTCACGAAATCAAACGTCTTGCAACTTCACGCAATGCAATGTCGCTGCACAACCTCACATCAGCCGCATCACTGCAACATGCCATCCAAACAGTGTCGTCATATAATGTCATCCAAGGATCACATCGACGGCCAAAACTCTTCAGCATGTTTTGCGGAAAAACGCATCGAAACACAGCCCCAGCTTAACACCCTCAACTCGGCACCCCACGATTCCGGCAGAGGGTGATGTCGGCGGCGATAGCGCAAGTGGACGCATCATAAGACCCTTCAAATTGCCGAATGGAGATGGTACGACAGGAAGAGCTCCTACTTTGCGCTCGCCCCCGGGCGATTGTAGCATGCGAAAACTCAGCACATTGACATGGCAATGATTTGTAGCCCCTCTTGCAGAGTTCATGTGTGAGCTACACTGCATCTGCATCCGGATTCAATGCCAGGCCCAGCTGGAGTTACATGGCCAAGCGGACAGCATGCCTAGCAATTGCTGCACCATCGTCACCTGGTCTTGTGCCGTGCTGCGCTTCTTCCGGCCGAGCCTTTTCACAGTCCTGGCCCGGGTGGCTGCACGAAATCTCCAGGCTGGGCAAGAGCGGGTGGGCTCTGCATGCCCGACAGCTTGCCAAGCAACGTGTCCTGCGTACAGGATTGCCAGTGCTATGAAATCACGAACCTCTTGTGGAGCTTCGCAGAGCTGTGCAAACGGCAGCCGACGATGGCTGAAGACATGGCCGAAACCATCCAGGTTGGGCTGGGGCGCTGTGGATAAATGGATATAGGCCGCCTATATAGGCCGTCAAGCTGGTATTACACCATGCAGGAGTTAGTGGAGGCAACCGCGAGCTCCTTCCTTCATCGCAGACCGAAGGCAAATGTACAGCCGTCGGTCATCTCGCGGAGATTCGGAAGCATCGAAATCCTTCTGCAGCGCAGGCCTGGAAGATCCAAGTCCTGGTCTCGGCATTGGTGTCGCTGACATGCATTCCATGCAAGGAGTGGGGCATCTTTACCCCAAAATGATATTCACCAGAAAAGCCACATGTCGTCTGCATCCTTCGAGTACTTTTCGGTGAGGACTTCTGTGCCAAGTGGTTCATTATCAGTCTGGTGCAGGCCCTGGTTCGCTGAGCCCCATGCGTGCTCTGTGCTTGCGATCAGTGCCTGTCTGTGTGTGGAGGAGCTGGCAGAAAGAAGCGAAGAGGCCCAGGACACCAACCTTCTGCCTGTGGTGATGGCCTTCGACACCTTGCGCACTAGGCACTTGCAGGCGGCCGGGATGGGCAGAGGGCTGTGGGCCTGTGGGCGGGCTCAAGTGTCTTACAAAGACCCCGGCGGTGATACTCGGTGCATGGCCCCTATGGTGTTGATACATGACACCCGATTCTGGGTTGTGCGTTCTTCAAGCTTGCGCTCCGCAGGTCTTCCGTGACATCTGCAATGCCATGAGCAGACGATATCCCGATTTTGTCACGCGATACATGTACGGCGGCGCGCGCCAGAATGGAAAGGCGAAAAAGCTCTCGAAGCGGCCAAAGGCCCACGGTTGAGTGAGTTTTACTTCGTGCTGCGCTGCTGCGCTCCTGCGCTTGCATTTCATTTAAAGAGGCCCCCTGGGCTCTGGCCATGGCTTCAGGTGCTCCAGTGCGAATAAATCTGCCCATCAAAGCAGTTGCCATTGCCTGCCTGGTTTGCCTGGGCTGCCTTGTGTCCAAGGGCTCGGCCCTCTCCGCTGCAAAAACAATGCGGTTGGGATGCGAGGTGCCCTCATGTGCCTTTTCACCCAGCAATTCATGCAGAGACATAGACATCCAAAGCGCAGTAGTATGCTGATCATGCTGCTCTAAGGTCCTCTGGCAAGCAGCAAGATCAAATGCGGTTCCGTCGAAACCTGTGCAGAGCAGGGGGGCAGAGCTTCTCGCGATGTGCTCGTTGACAGCTGGCAGCTGGCGCCCTCAAGAGCTGTAGTTCTCCTGTCTTAAGTCTATCAGTTGCAGACACGACGAGTTTCAAGATTTTTGAGTCTTCAGAACTCGAGGATGCTGGGCCTGCAGTTTTTAAATTCACATCAATCCACCGGATGTCTCTTGTCCAAGCTACGATGCGCGTACGGTCGAAATCCAAATTCGCAAATGAAATCAACTGGTCGCCCGGCACAGAACGGGGGTGGCCAAGAATTTCTGGCTGGGCTGTGGCATACAACGCACCAGAAACTCCAAACTAGAGACCTGGAGGTTTCCAGAGGTGACTTCTACTTTGTATGCAGGTGGTCCGCATGCTCACAGCCCAACATCGTCTTTTTCACAGCTTTGAGTGAGGAGCAGTGGGCTACGTTGTGTTACGGAAGCAAACATGCTTCATCGCCCTTTTGCCTGGCAATCAAACTGCTAATCCCTTAACTAGTATCGCGCCTTCAGCCTGGCATCGTTACAATCCCTGTCGCAGATTGCGGCAGCTGCCTCAATGGTAGCTGTCCTCGGCATGCTCAGCAGCTTGGCCATGCACAGGCAAATCGTTTCGCAGAGAGATTTGCGGCACCGAGCCAGCGAGTCAAGGCACTAGCTTCGCGCTTCCGGGCCCACCCCGGGGCGTTGTGCGCCCTGCAAGCCTCCACAGCGACAGAGAGCGAAGGACGCCCTTCGGCTTGATTGGCCAGGACTCCCCTGACATCCTGTGATAGCAACGCAGCTTCCAAGGTCCTCCTTCGCTTCGTCGGGCGCTGCAGTGCTGGGTCTTGTGGCTTTGGGCGCCACCTCACTCCGGTCGGGACGGGATCGGGCATAGGACCTTTCGACGTGTGCCTTCGGTTCTGCAGGTCGCGGGCTGCACGAGCTGCAGAGCCTTCGCAGCCCACCCCAGGGGTGCCTCCAGACCCTTGATTCAAGACTTGCAGTAGATTCGGCTCCTTGTGTTTGCTTGCCAGTTTTCTGTTGACATGTGAGTGAGCCCACCTGGCCGGTTGCAACGACGGGATGATGTCTGCGAGGTCCGCATGCCTATGGTGTCTACTGGCACCGGCGCCATTGACGTGATGTCCAAGCTTCTGCAGGATCGAGTCCTGATGCTGAACGGCCAGGCACGTTGGCAGCAGCTTTGCAGAAGAACCAGCTTACTGCTGCACGTGTAGTCAGGTGAACGATGAAATGGCCAACGTCCTAGTAGCCCAGATCCTGTACCTAGCAAACCAGGACGATTCCAGCTGCGAGGGTGAGTTACCCTGATATCCCTGATCCACCGATACCACTGTTACCTGGTTAGAGGATTCCGAGAAAGACATTACGATCTACATCAACTCTCCAGGCAGAGACCAGAAACGAGGACCTGTTCAGAGCTCTTAACGAGCTTTCGTTTCCGCAGGTGGGTCGGTCTCTGCTGGCATGGCCATCTTCGATGCCATGCAGTTCGTCCCCTGTGCGGACCCTGCACCAGCGCAGTGCACCCACACCCTTGGCGTGTTGTCTGGAAACCAGGCGACGTGTCCACCGTCTGCTACGGCATGGCTGCCTCTATGGGGGCCTTTTTGCTCGGAGCAGGAAGCCCCGATTGAACAAAACTGGAGCACTCTTCCATTTACGACATCTGTTTCGCTGCATTGTGTGATTTCGTTGTCCCGTATCCCTGCACCTTCAAGGGACAAAGGGCAAGCGGCGCTCGCTGCCAAACGCTCGCATCATGCTGCCTGGCCAGTTTAAATTGTTGCTTTCACGACCGTGTCTTGCTCCATGTTTCTCCCTTTTACACAGCTTGTCCAATTCCTCTTTCAATGCCTCGGAGCACGCAGCACAGTTACATACAATAATGGAAGGCTTGGTTTCCTGCGCTGTTTGGTTTTGTTCTAACTGGTCAGAGCACGAACCAGCATGAAGCAGACTGGTCTGCGCCATGTTTAGGGCCTGCTTCAAGATGTGCAGAATGACGGTCCCCATGCAAGCATGGGGCAGGCAAACTCCTTGAGAATGCGTTCTTTAGTGTTTGAGGATTCACCAGCCACTGGGTGGTGCTGGCGGCCAGGCGGCAGACATTGAGATCCAGGCAGCCGCACATGCAGCATGCTCTGCCACGAAGTCCGAGAAGACAATGCTGCCTAAACTGAACCTGCAGTCCTGTGATGTTTCGTGAGCCAACAAGCCTGATGACAGGCGAAGGAGATCTTGTTCCTGCGTGAGATTTTGAACACGCACCTTGAAAGCTTCCAAACTGTTTGTGGGGCGGGTCGGCTTTTTTGTATTAATCTGACCGGCTGAGAGCCTTGCTTAGGTATTTGTCAGACTTCACCGGCAAGCCGCTGGACACTGTGGCCGAAGACTGTGACCGTTGCTTGGCGATTCCTGCAGGTGCTGCAGCCTTTCTGGAAGAGTCCGAAGATTGAGGTGATTATTACATGACTCCGGAGGAGGCCTCAGAGCCGCCTGGCTGCAACAGACAGGTACAGACAGGTTCGAAGAAGTTCGGAGTGCAGCACGTGGACAACGGGGCGCAGTCTGCAGTTCCGAGGTACGGTATCATTGACGAGGCATGGCGCCCGGAATGCGGAGGGAGAAGGGAGAGTGCCAGTGAGACGCCCTTTGCTACCTCTGAGGTCATCGAGACGAAGAGTTGGCCCAGGCTGAAGAAGCCCACGAAGCCCGAGCTGGTCACCGGCCTCCGGCTCAGCGTAGCGGAGAAGAGAGGAGCTCTCAGCTCTCTGCCTCCCTTCACTCCCTTCACTCCCTTCACATTCTTGCGGTTCAGGTGGCAAGAGCTGAGCTTCGAACCAAAGGTTCGCAAGCGTTGCAGGCTGACATCTCTCAAGGATCCTACCACAAGCTCGAAGACAGTTGGCCAGTTGAGAGCATGAGGCCACCAGTGTGTCAAGTAGGAAGGAGGCTTACTAAGACACCTTCTGTTTCCTCTTGCATGGTGTGCCGCAGCCTTACGTTGCGGGAAGCTGACTTCATGACCTATGTATGGCAGAAGGTGTCTTAGGTGGTAGGCTGTCGTTGCCAAGTGGTGACACCAGATGTCGTTATATCGCCTAGTCGCTATGAGCCTTGCGGCTCATTCTGTGCAAAGGCTGAGTGTTGCTGTCCGATGCTGTCCGCGCTTCTGATTAAGTGGAAATGGCACGTGCCCTAAGAATCCCTGCAGGTACTGCGCTGTTTCCGCGCAGGTATCCTGCAGAGGCCTGCTTTGGGAGGTTCAAGCTGCCGCAGGTGTCTGCGTCGTCTACTGCCGCTGCGAGCTTCCATGCGCAATCGATTGACACCCTCCGTCGCATTTCGACGTTTGCCATGCAGGGAAGATAGCTGTCGAGTTCCTGCTTTCTGTTGAGATTCAGACGTCCAGCATGCAGCTGCAGCTTGTGTCTGCTGCAGCTGACTTTCTTCTATGTGCCCTCGTGATGTCGAACAGCATGGGAAGGCTTTGGGAGCAGGATGTATGGTGGCAGCTTCGGCTTGGAGATGAGATGCTTCGTGGGCAAGGTTTTCCGACACACGAGGAATGGACCTATACCAGCGGCCATGTGCCGTTTCACAACCACTGGTGGCTGTTTGCTCTGCCCTTCTCTGTGTTGTATCATCTGGGTGGTGTGCCCGCTCTGGTCTCGTTGCGTGGCGTACTGTGTGGAGTCTTAGCCAAGCTGCAGATGATGCTCTGTGCGGGGCCGGAGCGTTGGCTGCTGGCTGCGATTTCATTTCGGACCGGCTTCAGTAAGTTCGTGTAGCTTAGGCCCTACTTTATTCTGGCATGGAAGCAGTTCACAGGATCTCCAAGCACCGACTCCAATGTCGACCAGAGCTCGTGTCCCTTGTCCTTTTCGCTTCGCTGCCTGTGCTGTACCGCGCTGTTGCCCGAGCAGACGCAGGCCGAGAGAAGCTGAAGAGAAGCGTTGCTCCCTGGAAGAAAAGTGTAAAACTGACGTGTTCCGGCAGTTGGGCAATGATGAGGTCGAGTTTTCCGCATCTTTCGGTCCGATGCAAATCGGAGAGATGCCACCCGTAGACAACAAGTCACGAAGGCTAGCTCTGTCGAACTTACGGGAGTTGTCGACACCATTCACTTGGGTAGTTGGGAACTAGCTGAAAATACCTTTTCTGGTCCATGCTCAGTTGAGGGGGGGTTGGCCAGCCCTCCCCCGAGCCACCAGGCAAATACTAATAAGGAGGGGGGTCCCCCACCCTCAAGGTGGCAGGAGCGGGGTACAAGGTGAGAGCCTCCCCCCCACCTTCAGGTGCATCTGCTTACACAACATGGCAGCTTGCATTTTTGTCTTTACCCGGCCGAGTGCATCTACATAGCACAAGGACAGTTCGAAGCTGCTCGGAGACGGCCGAGTTATTGCTTCTGCAGGGACATTCCGGAAGTCAATGAGGTCGCCAAGGTACTACGCAAGGGTGTATCTGTATGTGTAAAGCAGAGTCATCTTGTTGAACCTTCATGGCAATACATATGTGCTTGCATCCACACTGCCGAGCATGCACACAATAACGACGAGCTCTATCGGCTCTGCCTCTTTTTGTTGCCTTAGCTTTCGTGGCCTCTTCTCTGTTGAAAAGTCGCCGCATCATGTGTCCTGCAACAAGTTTGGCGACAATCCACCTTCTGCCGGATTTGAGGTGTTTTGGCCGAAGGAGGTCTTGTGGATGTACGCCTGCGTGGTTGCTGCGGCGAACGTCCACTTTGGTGTGGTGCCCTGGCCGGCCTTCCGGCTGCACCGAATGCTTGCGCCTCAGCCGTCCCTGCAGAAGCACAGTGGTCAGGTTTTATGCTGCGGAGCGCTGCTGGCCGACGACCTCTTCAACCCCGGCGCCCCTGCGTCCACCACCTGCTCCTGGCTGCGGGGCGTGAATCTAACACCATTTCTGCGCGCAGTACCGGTGCTGCTGCTTCCGTGCCTAGGGTCCCATCGAGCAGTCTTGGAACAGGGCTTCCGTGTTTCCATGTTCGAGACTAAGAACCTAACATTATTGGATCGGGGCTTCAGAGTTCCATGATCGAGAGCTCAGAAGAAGCCCTAATACTGCCCGTGGACAGCAGCCAGCAAGGCGAGAGGGAAACAGAAAGTAGATTATAACTTGACCTGAGGTGCTTCAGCCCGCAACCGCTGGCCGGGCTGCATTATATCCTCCACCACCGGCCTGGGAAATATGCAGCCACAAAGCAGTTGACGAACCCAGAGCATCGTTGTTTCCTGGAGGAGTGGGAGGATTTCTACGTGGACCTGCCACCATGGAGCCGTGTCGATGGGTCCCAACTTCACCGGCTGCTCTTTGGCCAATCTCCCTTGAAGCATGTGGCCTGGATCTGCGTTTACTTTGGTCTTGCCTTCTTAGTAGTGGTGCTGTGGCTTCTTCGAAGCAGGCAGGATAGAGCTGTCGGTCTAGCATCGCCGGTCGTTACTCTGCCGGCCCTTGGAATCATGACGTTCTTGGTGTACGACCGGACACGAACAGTTGTTTGGCCGGCTTGTTTCCTGACAGCGATGCTGGGCAGGACTAGGAGCTCCTCGTCCTTGGCATCCGCTCCTTCCCCCCAGGGCGTTGCTGGAGTTTTTGGAAGCCTGATCTTGTTTCTGACGTCCGTCTATCTCATTCTGGGTGACTTTGAAGAGCCATCTTTCAAGCTGATGACTATGAATTGGCCAGTGCGGTCTGCTGAGTTCGTGCGCAGCCACAATCTTACAGGGAACATCTATCACACCATAACTTTTGGCGGGTACTTGCTGTATTGGTTGCCAAACAAGCATTTCGCAGACACGCGGGAATATTGCTTCCAACACCTGGACGAGCTGTACAAAAGCGTTTATCTGGACCATGACCGGCTCCACCGCGACATTTTGCAAAAGCATCAGGTGAACATCTACGTCGCCCTGATCCCGCAAACCAGGCGACTACCCATGGGAGGTTTCGAGGACGTCGCTGATAGGTTCCTTCCCAAGCCTGCCTGGGCGAGAGTTTTTTTTGACCACGTGAGTGAAGTGTTTCTCAGGCGCTCGGTTCCCGAGTTTAAAACTCTCATTGCAAAGCGGGAGGTCTACCTCAATCCTGCCTTTCCCCCTGATTACCATGTCCGCGTCCTCCTCGGAAGAGATGCAGGGAATCCCAAGCGATTGAAGCGAGACTTGGAGGCGTGCTTGGCCAGGGGGGAGCTTTACTGTGAGTTGATCGAGGCTCTCCGAACCTCTACAACTGAGGGCACCGCAACAGTTTCCTCGTGGCTGCGACGTCTAGAGGCCAAGGATCCACAGGACCTCAAGAACGAAAGGCGGCTGACCCGTGAGTATTGTGAATCTGTGAAGATTCACCTTGGCAGGCAGTTGAACGGCACGCGCACGAGATAGAGAATTGCGAGACCTGCGTGAGTGCAGGGAGAGATATGGAGGGGCTTGAAGACTTGCGCTGATGACAATCCTGCACCTCGCTGGCATTGCCAAGTGATGAGAATCCAGCAGTCCAGCACCGAGCCGAGCTGGTCCATGCGGAGAGAGTGCGTTCCCGGCTACGACGTCTCCTGCGTCGAGTGTGAATGCTGGCTGGTCCATGCGGAGGGTCTGCCTGCGTCGAGTGAGATCAATTGGAACAGGCGGGAGGCGTGGGCGCTTCACAAGAAGAATGCCGCTTCTAATGTGCCCCACGCGCTTGAGTGTCCTCTCACCGAAGGCATTCAGCACACCTCTGCAGCACTTCGGTGGCCGCTTCTTTCCGGATAAAGGCTCTTGTCGAAGTGACCAGAATAGGTAACTGCTGTTCCTGTTGCGCAGGCGCGAAAAACAAGTGTTCAGCAAGTGAAGGGTTGAGGGGTTGTCGGATCTACCCAACGCAGCAGCAGGGAGAAGCACCCCGACCATAGCCAGCTTCTGTACAGCGACAGGACTGGCAGGACTGATCCTGAGGCCTTTGCCTCAGCTGCCCACATGACTTTCAGTCCAGTACTGCAGCGGGCTTGTTTTGAGGCCCTTCTTCTTGTCTCCAGTTCGGCGCGAGTTGTGCGACTTCTCCTGCAGCCTGGCTGCGCGGTTGGTGAAGCGCCATTGGCAGGCTTCTGCAAGCGTGCTTTGGCTGACCGGATGACTGGACTGTTTTTCAAGAGGCGGTCTTCAAACGCTGGAGTCTGGTGTCCTGCGATGAGCCAACCAGGTCCCAATGTCTCGAGCGTTTCCAGCTCTTCAACTGCCTGCACATTGTCAGAGTGGCCTCAGGCCGGAAGATGTCCAGCAACCTCTCCTGAGCTCAGCAGGCCACAGCCTCCGTTCCTTGCACATGTAGGATGAAATAGGTGATTCAACAACTATTCAACCTCATCATGCTTCAGGCCGGCAATCCAGCCGCGATAGTTTCGCAGGTCACCGCGCGCAAGGAACAGCTCAGACCCTTTGTTTGTGCATTTCGAAAGGTTGGGTGGATTCCGTGCACAAAGCTTCCGACCTAACAGTCTGCAGCGTGACTGCAGGAACAGCAGATGCAGGGGCGACTCCTGCAGGTAAGCGCTGAAACCAAATCAGATGTTGGCAGATGTGTTGCAGTGTTGATCGTTGATCGTTTCTCCTGCCGCAGGTGCGACTGGCGCAGCGGCAGACTCGTGCGGCACCCAATCCGAAGCGACACAGCTTCTTTGGTCATGGTGGAGCTTGCTTCAAGACGAATGTGCCGACGTACGCAAGGACGTTAAACCTGGAGCCCGACGAGACTCCTTGTGCCACTCCGGCTGATGCAGAGGTGGTTCTACCAGGAGTACTCACGAAGAACTCATGTGGTAGTCCAAATCATTCCAAATCTTTTTGCACGGGATGCCACCAGAAAGTCTCTTTCGCGGAGGTGTTTGTTCAGCCTTCGTTGGCGAAGGGCATGCCGTTCCACAACGGCTTCCTCTACAAACTAGGCCGGCCGTACTAACAGATCACCAGCAAGACAGTGGAGCTAGTGACAGCAGCTAGTGTTTGTCGCAATTGGGCGACATCGTCTGTTGAGTGTGGATCACTCCGGGAAATGGCATGAATTACTTCGCCAGGCGATGGGCTTCTGAACACGGGCTGGAACTTGCGCTACTTTCTCCTGATAGGTTCGGCCACGGTTCACCAAGTGCAACACAGCCTCAGAGTCAACCCCGTTCGAAACCGCAGGTCAGACGCTGCAGTACTATCGAAGCCAGCACGAAGCAAAACCGCGCGATGCCATCTCCTTGAGCGGCTCGGCTGTAAGACTGTCTATCATCGGATCGTGCTAGATGACGTCGCTGGCGAGACGCCTCTGTAGCCGACATGCCAATATGCAACTCAAAAGTTAAGCTGCATCGAAGGCGGCGTGTCGGTGGAGTGGTCCCATGATGCCAGCCGACCCTTTACTTTCATCGTGAGCAAGAGCACCTTGCCTTTCTTCGGGGCGTCGCGGATTCATCTGCTCCGTTAGCTCGATGCCGGAAGAGTTTCATTTGGGCACTTGGACGGTCGCTGAGGTGGTCAGCGCTCCTTCTGCCTGTCGGGCTGCACGGAACGCGAGGCTTGCGAGTGGGTGGAGCGCATCCAGGCACACGTGGGGGCCATGATTTCCATGTGTTCGCATAGGCTGTGTCCAGTATGTACGGCATTTAGGCCGAGGGGGCTAGACCATCGAAGGAAACCACAATCGCCCACCCCAATGAGCTCACCTCTAGCAAAGTTGGCAAAGTATGAAGGCCGCGAGTGCTGCAGCTGAGCGACCGCTGACAACCCCTGCAGGAACAAGGCGAAGTCTTCAGCGATTGTTTTAACGGGTTCAAAGTCTTACATGCTGCTGCAACCTCAGACGTGTCAGGCTTCTCGGTGTGCTTCCGCAACCAGGCGTGGGACGCTGAGCACGGTGGTCGGTGTTCGTGGACACGCAGCATGCTGAGATTTTAGAGACGGTTGCTCTGGTGCCAAGGAGCTTCCCGAGCCCGTGGAAACAGGCGCCACTACCTGGCAGGAGCCGTTGGCATTTGTGCAGGTGCATTGCTTTTTCGGATGTTGCGGCTAACATGGGAGGAGGCAGCCATGGCCAGATGCACACAGGACACCCAGCGGACTTGTGCTCTGCGCTTCGCTGCCGAGGTGACACAAGTCCGCACTGTCATTCAACAGCCCGGTCTGAATATTGCTTGGAATTCTTTTTCGAAGCAGAGGGCGGTGGAGGGTTCCCACCCTGTCACGGGGAAAGCATCGCAAGAAGTGCGGTCCGCAATGAAGCACAGGCCCGAATTTTGACTCAAAGCAAGCTGCACTTAGACGAGTTTCTTTAAGGCTTTAAGGCTTCTTGCTTTTGTGAGATGCTCGGCACGGGCTTTTGTTTGGCCTGCATCCTTCGTCTCGTGATTTGCTGTCCAGTGTGCAGGGCCGCAAAATCCTGAACTGCTCCAGGAGCTGTCACGACTTCTTAACGGAGCAGACTTTCAATTGTCTGGTTCCTGGCCGACAGGGTGTGGAAGCCAATCCGGAGTCCACCGGGCGTCCCGTGATGAGGCGTGAGTTGCGTCACGGAGTTCGAATTCTGCAGCGCCGCCGCGCTCCCAGCTGATTACACTGGCACGTTGATAGAAAACACAGAGCTGCATCGGACTTCTCTTCGTGCATGACTGAGGCTCTGCAGGCCATCGAGGTGCCTGCGACTTAGACGTGGAAGTTGAGTGCAACTGTTTTGCTGTTTCGGTCTTGCGTGGGACAACTTCTAATCAACTTCTACATACGCCAGAGGCAAAGTTCGCCGCCTTGGACCTTGGCAGGCTCTGGCAGGGCCGAATCATCCAGGATGACTTGGAGCTCGACTTTGACACACCATGACAGATCGGTTGAGCACCTTGCGCTTTGCTCCATCACTCGTCCTGCTGCATTTGGTCGCAGGTTGGGGAGCCTTTTCTCCACAGCGGTGCTCGTAATTGGCTTTTTTGCCACAAGGTGGCGCGGCTGTAGCCCGTAGTGTAGGTAAGTTGCTCGAAGATGCGTTTTGTCCGGCATTGCCGTTGCCACTTCATAGTACGTGTCGTCGCTGTGACTGTGCACGAGCTCTGAGCTTTGGGTTGGCGGGTGGGGCTGGCAAGCAAGCTTGCATTTAAGATTGATCAAGGGGTGGTTCCTCTGGGTTTCACTGGTAAGCTTGCTCGGTTCTGGCCGAAGTGGAGATGAACAGCCCTTTCTAGCCGCAAGGTGCTTCGCGAGTTCGTTGGCCGGGCAGCCCGGTCGGTTTGAGGTTCGAGACGTCCGTCGCATGTTTCGACGAGACTCCAGCATCGGAGACGGCAGTGCTGCAAAGATTTGCAATGTGAACTTTCCCAAGATTCGATCGCGACACCGCAACAGCTGATGCAAGGAATCCAGAAGTTCAAGAGAACATTTTGCGTGCGGCATGCGTCCAGATGCGTCCTTTGCTTCCGGGCTTGAGGCCAGCTTTCTCATGCTGCTACCCCTCGCGCTGGTGCTGTACTCCTCCTCGTTGGGGCGAGGCTGCTTGGTGTCAGTAGACCTTCGGAGCAGTCGCAGAAAGTACAGTTCGTGCTTTGTCGAAGTGTCGCAGGTGCAGAGCTCCCCGTCTTGGCTGCTGCAGTGCGTGTTTCCGGCACTGGAGAGGAGGTCCGCGAGGCTCGCCGAGGGGTACGGAGGCCGAAAGGGCCAAGATGCAACTGATTCTGTTACGCTTCCATGGAAGCCCATGGAAGATCTTGTTGCCAATTGGCTCTTCAAACAAGCTTGGAGTTTGCGCACAAGGTTGCATGCATGACTATCGTGCACAAGAGCCCATTCGACTGACGGCCGGGGCCTGCGGAGCCTTCTTGCGGTGTTGTGCGAAAACCTCATGGCGGTGGAAGCTGAAGAAGTCCATGCGGAGCTGGAACATGGGGATAAGCAGCCGCTCGGGTGCACGATAGTGGCAGAGACGCGGACAGGGTGTTTTCGTTGGTGCGTTTTCCTTGCGTTTTTTTGGATGATGCCGTCTCTTGCGATGCGGGCTTGCGATGCGGGAGCAAACGAAAGGTGTCGTTTCTGCCTTGGTGGCGATGCCGACGACACGGCCTTCGTGGCCCCTTGCAGCTGCCGTGGCCGCTAAGTGGCCTTCAGACCCCTTCTAAGGTTAGTTCAGTTCCGTTTTGATCCAGCCACACGTCGTTGCGTGTGAACCCAGGCGGCCAGCGCTGGGTGCATTTGGAGTGCTTGCGGCGCTGGCAACGCTCTATTCTAGTCACACAACCCACCCATCCAGCTTTCTACCACGAGGACGCAGACAGGTCTCAGCATGAGGATGGTTTCATGTAGATAGCATAGTGGATCCGCGGGCTCTGTTCAACCAGTTTTGCCTCGTTTATCCAATGGAATTGAAAAGCGCACGTTGATGCCGCATTCTGCCAACAGGATCGCCGGATGACCCATTGCAGTGTTTGCACGCAGCGCTTTTCGTGTCCGCTTCCTTCGCGCCACGACATGATGATGAGCTTCACGGGTGCAGAACTGGCAGCCTTGGTCCAGGAACCGAGTATTCGAACTTGGTTTGTGGATTTCTTCCCTCTTAAGATATTTATGTGAAGCGTGACCAGGAGCGATGCCTCGTTTGCTCATCCGAGTCATGGTCGGCTGCCCTCAGGGCGCGGATCCATGCAGGCTTGGATCGCACAAGCATCTCGAACCTGGTGCACTGGTGCCGGGGGGTGTACTTAATCTACTATTGTGGAGCCAAGCAGCTGGTTCTGAGCATTCCCGACGAAGCGAACCGAACAGCAGTTCTTCAAAATCTGGACGGTTCCGGGCACATTGAGGTACAGGGCCGACAATATCATGTGCTGAGTGACGGACCCCTGTCCCACCTTCCGCCAGAAGCATTCAGATCCGGGGAAAGCAGTGAAGAAGCCATTTCAGCACCTTCTTCGAGGAGAGGGGCTGCTTGGGTCCGAGCCGTCAGTGATCAAGCTCATTCGAGCCGATCCCGCGCATCGCGCTTGTTCGCAGCCCTGACTTCGGTCCAGCTGCCTGTGGATGTAACGCTTCAGCGAATTGGTCCTGCTGGAGATGCTAGTGACGACAGCATTCGAGCGGTTAATTTGAGCAATCGTATCTCGTCGGACGACCTGCCCAGCGCGGTGCAAGCAAGGATGCGAACAATTGCGCGAGCGGCTAGGCTTTCTGGAAGTCCATCTTTGCAGTTGGAGCATTATCTCGGCGGCCCATGCGCTGCCTTCCAATGTCACGTTTTTCTCCCAGTCGGGGAGCCTGATGGTGTCCTGCCGCCCCTGCCTTCGGGATTCAAGCTGCTCGGCGATCTTCATGTTGCCGTGGGCACCGATCTTGTCGCTGCCCTGCGTGCCTTAGACAGTGTTCGTGGCTGGTCAGGCTGTACGGACAGGCCAGAAGAGGCTCTGGAAGAAGGGCCTCCAAGAAAGGCGCGAAGGATTGGCCAAGAAGGCGAGGCAAACGATGATGGCGATGGCCACCTGAGGCCCCTCCAGGCAGACGACTCAGATTTGGAGGAGGCAATAGACACAGACGAGGAGCAATCTGCTGACCCGTTCGATTTCTGGGGGGGGAATGCTGGCGAGCTTGCGGCCACGCCTCCGCCTGATGACTCCTCGGAAGATGAGGCCGTTGCTGTTTCCGCTTTGGATGCCGCTGATATGGTTGTCGGTATGGCGGCCGAACACATTCTAAGAGGGGCAGCTGATCATGTAGAACAGAATCACGACCCCTCGCAGCCACCGCAACTTGAAAGGGAGGCGGTCGCTACGAGGCCTCTGAAGGTGTTCTGGGGTGAGGCGCGATGGCAGCGAACACAGCTGCTTGGGGAACTGGCAAGGGGAGACTGGGGCTTGTGCCAAGCGAGAGCGGGAGACCTCTTCGAAGCTGCTCGGTCCTTGTGGCCGCAGCTCCATCGAGATCAGCGACCGGTGGTGGCACCGCGTAGTGAGATGACGCGGGCCGAGACCGCAGATGCTGTCGAGCGCGAGCGTCTACTCGATCTCCACTTGCAAGCACGCCGCAGGGGTGCACCCAGGCCAGAGGAGCCTGAACCTGAGTGAATCAGGCGCATGCCCGGCGTTTCCAAAAGTGCAGGAGAAGCTCAAAAGATCATGAACTAGAGCAGTCCAGTCAACACTCGACCAGCCCGAGAAGCTCGTTTCAGGCCCTTGTGGACAGCTGGCGGCTGCAGGAGTGGCTGCCTGGTCATGCCTATGCCAGGACGCTGTCGCAGCAGCCTTGGCAAGGGACAGGGTTTCTGTGCGCAAGAGGCAGGTGAATATTGTTTTTGCCGGGAATGAAGATCTATTCTCAGCCGAAAGTGTAACTCTATAAGCCTCCCCCTGCCAGAGCTTCTGCATCCGCTCAATGTCCAGGCTTCTGCCAAGTCGCGATGAGGCTTGGCATTTTCTCTTTCACTTTCACCTTCAGCCGTAGCCGTGCCATGTCAGTGTGAGGTAGTTCAACTGGCATTCCACGGGCCTTTCGGCCGTGAGCTCGGGAGCACCAAGTCTTCTTCACTCTCGCCGGCCTTTTCTGTGTTTATAGATGTTTATAGTTTTTTCCCTCATCCTGTTAGTCCTGTGTCTGGGAAATGTTTCAGCCGCCCGTCGTGCCCCCAATGTGAACTTTGACACCGTCGCTCGTGTGCATCTTCCCGTTGACTGTCTTGTCTCGGACGTGGCGGTGAAAGGAGACAGGGCTCGAATTGCATTCCCTGCGACAGCCTTCAGGCTGGACCTTCAAGCTGGACCTCCGAAGAAGGCGACCAACAGCGACAGCCAATGGGTTCGGTAGTTCGGAGGCTAAGGCGGCTCATGAGCAGGTGGAGTCGCAACGACCGCGGGGGCGGGGCCGGAGCCCTTCAGCGGTTCAGAGAGCTTTGACGGAGGCGCGCATCGCAGCTGAGGCTGGCCCTGCACGCCTTCTGCTTTGTGTTGAGGAGCCTGGGAGCCCGAGGGAGACGCCCCTGGGGCACCTTTCAGAGAGCTCTCGCAGCTCGCCGCTTGCCAGCGCCAAGGCCTCCTCCCTCGGACAGGCTAAGGGACGTGCAGGGCTTCGAAGGCCACATGCCGCACTGCGTCCATCACTGATTTTTCCGATATCTATTTAATCTATTTTCAACGCTTTATAGGGGTGCATGGCAGCAGCGTCGCCGTATGTAGCGGCGTAGGGGCTCTCTTCAGGCTTTGCAGTCCAACAGCAAGCGGAGGGCTCATGCAGCGAGCCGAGACAGCTGCGAAGTGAGCCACGCTTGCGTTTCCTTGGGTCAGTCCAGGTCTCGTTTGGTGGTTGTGTGCGCTACCCCTGATGCCGTGGGCACCGATGAAGGCTTGTTTATTCGGAACATCACTGCATTGACATGCATAAGTTTCGTCAAGCTTCTTCAAAAGAGGCGCTTGATGTCACCTGCCCGTTGGTTTCGAAGGTGCAGGAGGAACTGGCTGTGCAGCGTGTGTCGACGCTGGCAGCAGGCTCAGCACACGGAGAGCTGCGGGGCTACACTGGACACTCGTGACTCGCACGGTGTGGAGGAGAGCGATTGGCATTCTGAGGCTGGCTTACGGGAGTGGTGCCAGCTCTCTGCGGCGAGGTGGGTGCAAATCATGTGTGTGTGTGTGTTTGGTGCGCGCGCGCGTGTGTGTGTGTGTGTGTGTGTGTGAATCCTCCGTCCGTATGCTGGAAAGACCTGCAGGAATGTCAACGCCCCGAGCACGAAGACGCAGCCGAGTAGGCTAGAGCCAGAAGTCTTGGGACAATGCAAGAGCACGCAGACGGGGCCCCTGTGCAGGATGCAGCGGAGCTTTAGTGGAAGCCTGGGGTCGCTGGGACCCTGGCTAGCCAGCCTAGTTTAAGTGGCCGGAAGATTCTGAAAGTTCTGCCACTTGGCGCAGCATCCCAATAGCCAATAGCAGTGGAAGACCAGATAGGGCGGAATGGGCAGTTGTTGAAGTCCTACCTGCAGCGGTGCTCTAAGGAGTGTAGCCGAGTCTGCACAGATGGAGTCCTCGTCAGGACTGGTGGCATGCTCAAAGACAGCTTGCAGCTCCAGGCCCGGAGAGCTTGGGGTTGACTTGGATCCCAGAGGCTAGGAGCCTTTTCAGGAAAGCTTGTCTGAGTTGTCGTTTACGGATACACTTGTGTAATCTTGTGTAGTAGTGACGCAATGGCTAAAGGCGGGGGATTGATGCAGAGGCAGGATCCCTCCACAAGCTTCCATTGCATCGTACAGGTTGGGGCCCCCTCAAATTTTCCCTCGCCCCCGCCCTCCAAGCAACATGGGTCAACATGACGCAATTGCAGGAATCGCGTCATTGCGATTGTGCAGTTCGTGTATTAAGGTTGCTGGACCTGTTCATTGTCGTGTTATGTATGTTTAAACTGGTTTAGTGCATCGACCTGACAGGATTCTATCAAGCACCGCAGCGTGCATTTGTTGATATCTGATGTTTGTTGTCTGCTACGCATATTACGGGTGTCAACCTGGCAGATTCAAGCACCGCGGTACGACTTGCCTCTGTCTTTGCGCAGCCGAGAGCGTCTACATGCTTGCGCCCACTCCCCCGAGCATGCGCGCAACAGCGCACATCTACTCTGCTTGGTTTGTTTGCTCTACTGTAACTTTCGTGGTCCTCTTCTCAAGGGAACTCGACCCCCGATCACAGAAGATCGCATGAGGAGCACCGGTGAGCCGCAGGTGCTTCCGCAGATGCTGCGTCCCTTCCGCCGGGCGGCGTCAGGCGCCGGAAGTGCAATGAGTGGAAGCAGTTGAATCAGTGGGCCAGTCTTGAAATTGATATTGAGTTGTTTTACCATGTTGTACCTCTGTAGAAATTTTGGCCAATTTCTTGATCTGTGAAAATTTCAGGATGGTTGGGTTGGTTGTTTCAGGTGCTCTGCACGCACCCGGAGAAATGGAGCGATCTGCTATGTCGCGAGCTTATCAGTCTTGTAATCTGTAGTGCCGTTTGGATGTGCAGGGCTGATTGGCTGAGGTCTGCAGAGATTCTGCAGAGGTCTGCATCTCGGAAAGTTCTGGAGCGGATGTTTGCAAATAGACTTTCTCAGACATGCCGAGAGCTGTCGAATCTGCCGAAGGATGCTGTGGGAAGCAGCTTGGGGTGGGCGAGAGGTGCCCAACAGTGGAGCAAGTTGAGCCTTCGGGCCAGTTGATGACTCTGGTGACAAGTTCTTTTCATGGTCAATGCTTGTACTGAACCGTAGGCACGCTTGTCATCCAGACCCAATGGGCTGTTGCCGCAGGCATGGGCATGTCATGTGGTGGGCATGTGGATCCGTGCGACTGCACACCTCAGCGCAGCGAATGGCATTCAACCTTGAGGCTGGAGGAGACTTTGCGCAGCGCTACTCATCGCGCTGGGCTTTTGCTTCCAAGTTCTTGACGGGCGCAGGCAGGATGTGGCAGGATGCCTTGCTTGATCAAGTAATTCAGAGAGCTCTTTCCGTGTGTAATTGCTAAGTTGCGGTGCTGTGCTGCTTCTTGGATTTGCGGCGTCTCGAAACTGGGAGTCGGACATGTCAGGATCCTTGGACCAGGCACGGGACCGGCTGCTTCTCGTCATCACCTTCATGGCACCTCAGCTGCAGTGTGCCGAGGGAGCATGGTGGTGGCAGTAGCAGTGTTGCTTAGACATCAGTCCGGGGAACATGTCAACAAGCTGCTCGCATCTGCCGAACTTATCACAAGGTTGCTGGTTTGCATCTGGCCGCGGCTGGTTATCCCTACCTGCCGTGGGTGGTGCATCAGACGCGTTTGGACAAGTCTGTCGGTCTGCGGTGTCTTTGCTGGGCCGGAGAATGTTTTGCTAGGACCTGGGCTGCTGCTCTGGAAGGCCAGAACTCCTCATCAAACTCTATTGTAAAGGTGTGCTGATCTATGAGCTCATTCGATAGATTCGATAGCTTCGGATCTTTTTGACCTGAGCAGGCAGTCTGCAGTCCTGCCAGATGATTGCACGGCCTCCCTGGATGCTCGGAGCTTGGAGATGTGAAGATCTGCATTTCTTGCAGCATGTGTGGGATGTTGCATCATAGGTCGACTGTCAAGCGGCTCATGGACTTCAAGTGCCTCGGCGAGCAGCATTCGAGGCGTGTCATCAACAGTGTGACCCGACGTGCAGAGCAATCCGGCAGACAGGTGACAGGGCGAAGCGGCTGTGGATTTCGAGTCTACGGTGCAGACGAGGTCTTTCGGTGGGCCAGCCTTGGATGAAAAAAGGTTCGTCGATTTCTTGCCATACCAGGTGTCGTGCGCAGTCCAGCTTCCCGGAAGTTTCTGCTTCACGGACAAGGGCTTCACAACTGTACCGTGGATGCAACAAGGAGTTTCAACGCCCTGCAGTCATTCATAGTCATTCCATCTGTTGCTCAACGCCAAACAGTCGAACATAGAGAGAGGCCTCGGCAGACCCCGGGTGCAGCTCCATCGTTCGGTGTGGAAGGTGTTTGACTGACCTTGGGGCTCGGTAGGCCAAAGTGGCTAAAACAAACATACAATGACCGAATTCCCAAAAACACCCATCCAGATGCGCCAGGAATAGAGCCAGTCTTGAAACTGTTCTTTGATGGCGCGACTGTTCTAGCCTTCATCTGCATGCTGCCCACGTAGACATACGTGCACACAAAAGCTGGACTGTCTGGCTCTGCGGAGTGTTGCTCGTTTTCCGGCTCAGGTCGAGTTTGCCTCGCCCGGAAGGCGTGTTGGGGAGCGGTGAACTATGTGCTACCAATTCTTGCCATGCATACAGAGCCGAAGATTCAACCGCATCCGCTGCTTGTGCATAGTGTCTTTGCCCTCCAGCGCTGCATCGTCGGTGCGCTTCACTCGGCCGACGCTCCGAGTGAAGCCAAGGTCTGGGCCTCCGCACTCGCAGAGTGGAAGCTTACTGAAGGCATTTTGGGGCACTTGCACTGTCCTCTGAGTTGCTGGACGTTTGGACCTGGCTCCATCTACGAATGGCTAGGCTTGGTACATGCCACTCGAGTTTGTGTTGAGATGTTGCTTTGGCTTTGATGGCAAGGCACGGCACGCTTCTTCGATGATTCGTCAGGGTTGGAGGCTCGGGGACTTTCTGGATGGGAGGTGGCAATGCCCTGTGCCAAGCGCATTCAGACTTTCCAGTCGATGAGTCCATATGGTTCCGATGAGCTTGCCATGCTTCTGAAGCCTTCCTCAGAGCTGAGATTCAGCAATGCGTTTTTCTCCTCGTGTTGCAGTGTGCTCTGGTCTTCGACGCCGAATCGAGCGGATCCGAGGACGATTTCTGTGGCTCAGAGACTTCCCTTTCTCGTGCTGGATAAGCTCATGAAATGGATGCTTACTTTGATGCAGGATAGCCTTCGAGGTTCACTCCGAAATGCAGCTGGCAGTCAGGCCGTGAGTGACACTGGGCATTTGCGAGCTTTGAGGGGTTCCCTGTCACGATGTGTCCGGCGCGCCAGCGGTTGTGCACACGAAGTCTGCAGACGTTCTTTCTCGATTCACTCCGGAAGTCGGCCGTTGCTCCATTTGCGCACTGAGCCAGTGTCGGGCTGCATTCTAGGCATGTCGATCGGCTCTTGCCAGCTTTGGTTTTTCCAGACTGATCGTTCTCGGCTGAGCGAAGTTCCTGGAGGTTACTGTCTTGCTAGAACTCGGCTCCTGAGTTGGCAGAAAACACCTGCTCGAGAAAACGAGAGTTAAAGCCAGGGCTGAGGGCCCCGAAATTTGTCTCCAAAGGACGTGGGACGGAGATCTGGAGAGCCGGAGTGCCATAGCAGACTGCGAGCCAACCAGTCGGCCCGAAACACGGAACTGACGGAAGGTCGCGGAGATCACGGGCAGCTGGCTTGGCCCGCTGGTAGCGGACGGCGAGGCACGCTGCATTCTGACCTGCTGTGCAACGGAAACAGACAGAACGCAAGGCACACAGTGCAGTGCATGTACTTGTTCCAAGCAAGCACGAAGGTGCTTTGGAAGGGCCCTTCCGTGCAGCCCCTCTGAGAGCGGAGCCGCTGCGCCAACGTTGTTTTAGTGTTTCTGCTCGTGCTCAGGACAGCTGCCATTGCTTCGAAAATCAGCGCCTGCCCTGAGGTAGAGTTCACAGGTCTGGAGAGAACAAAGAAAGATGTACCAAGCCAATGAAAGTCGAAGAATGAGTCAAAATGAGCTCAGAGGCGGTTCCGCTCGCCCGGCTCCCCCTCCCCTCCGCTCCCCTCCCCTCCCTCAGTCTAGCATTTGCACTCGAGCAGCTGAGGCGAGGTTTCGGGGGTTTTGAGGATCCCCCATTACACTATACATTACATTACGTCAGATTACATTACAAGGCGTTTGGGAGACATACCAGCAGATTCAGAATGCAGTCTCAAAGACGGAATGCAATCCTGTGCTCATTCCGACACTCTTCAGGCAAAGTTCCTTTCCAGTGCAGTTCAGCTGTCTCCAAAAGCTTTTGCAGCAGTCACGAATATTGAAGGACGGTCTTCGCGCGAGAGTGCACGCACACATGTGTCCTGTCCAAGCTCCAACTGGCCCAAGCAGTTCCACAGAGTCTAGGGAGCTGGACAGGTAGAGCAGTTTGTCCCAGCTCACACTACCCCTCGAAAGTACAATGGCAGACGGAAAGGCCTCAATATTTCTGAGCTTGTGTAGCCTTCTGGAAGCAGATGCAGCCATGCGCCACAAGAAATTCCTTCGTTCGCATGGCACGCCCTTCAGATGAAGGAGGCCGTCCATCATTGATGTTAAGGGATGTGCGACGATCTGTGCGCAACACTGACGAGTTTGCGTGTTTCATCGTTGTTGTCATTCTCTGGGCTTCAGTTTCTGGCCAGGCCAGGCAATTACAAAGCTATCACCTTCTTGCACAGGGGTTGACTTTGCGTAAAGCCACAAACCATGAACCCGAGGTTAGCTTCGTACATGTGAGTAGAAGTGCAGTATGGCAGAGGATGGAGCTGGAAGCGCCCTGTGGCGCAGTGCAGCTCTCCGCTTCCTGGCAGCACGAGCCATGCCGAGCTGCCGGGGGCTGCTAGACCAAGAAGCAAGCAAAGGAACCAACGAAAGAACAACGAATGGGACTCGTCGCTGAGGGCCACGCCTTGGGGCGCGGTGCCAGCGGGCGCGTTTTCCTGGGCTCCTGCGAAGCGCTGGGCCCGGGGCGGGAGAGCGTAGCAGTGAAGGCGCGGTGGGCACATTCCGAGACGGTGCTGTAGGAACATGTGATGTATCATCCGGGGAGCCTGCGGTTTTTTGCATGCCCGCCCCACGACGTATACATCCTGGGACAATCAGTCCCTCTTCGCAGGGTCTATCAGAACAAATGTCATTTGTGGGTGGTGTCACGGCTGTCCCGTGCTGATGCTTACACTTCACCGAGCTAGCCCCGAGGAGCACGAGTCTAAGAATCGCAGTCACATGTCCACGTGTTTCGATTCTCATGCTCTCTGGTGTGAGGTTGTCCGTGGGATTGGCAGAGACCGTCACGCTGCTGGTGCATGGCGTCGGGAGCCGTGGTGTGCTATGATGGCCTGTCGTGATTTGTCATGATTCCGCTGGCATGCAAAGATCTTGTCGTAGGTGTGAGGCAGATGAGATCACGAAGCACATGCATTCCCAGCTTGCCGAATGCTTGCTCACACACAACTGCGAATGGATGCGAACCATTTTCAGCTGCCGAAGGAGCTCCGGGTCGTAAGACCCCTGCTGACGAAGCCTCATCGCAACATCCTGGTGGGAGCAGAGCAGTGCCAAATCATGGCACACTGACAGTACTGCATGTCAGCAGTGTCAACTCACGGGATGTTGTCCCGAATCCAGGCCTACCATGCTGCCTTCCGGTTTACTGGTTCGCCAATCTGCCAGCCGGGGGCTGGGGGCGAAATTCTGCTGGAGCCAGGCGAGGGACTGCAAAGCGAAGCTTGGAAACAGCCACAAATATCAACAGCAGGAAATGATTTCGGACACTTACGACGCACTTGTGGAGAACCATGAGAACCTCATGCACATTTGATTCGGGCTGTGTCATCTTGTGTTAGGCTTCTGATATGTTGGCTACAGGCGTCGTGGAAACGAGAGAGCGGTGAAGCGATCGCATCTGCACCCTGTGGCTACGGCTCAAGTTCGTGTTTGACACTGAACCCAGACCACAGAACTTCGATCAGACACGGCTCAAACAGTCGAAAGAAGTTTGGGAAGTGCGAAGTTTTGCATTGATATCCAGTCCAAAGTCTAGTTTGTCCAACAATCTGCCGTTCCTACAGAAATGATGTTCACCATCTGGGCTTTCGTTGTGCAAATCTGGAGGGAGCGTGTGATAGGCTGAGGTAGTCTCCGCGACCGTGCGAAACATATTTCTTACGCGGACATTTGCCACCGTTGCTCCCAAGTCCGCAAAGTGGATCGTCGACCGGTGATGAAGTCACACGCCCCCTGCCAAATGCAGGGGCAGTCAATACATTCATACATCCATGCATCCATGCATACATACATACATGCTGCACAGATGCAAACAGGCACACATGCATCAGTTCATACATACCCACACACATACATACCTTACATACCTACATAGCTACACACCTACGTACCTATGTACATAATGACATACATACATAGATACATACATACACACATACTTATTGTATATGTATATATGATATGTATATGTGGATATATATATATATATATGTACATGTTTCATCTCTAGGTTCTAGATATGTAATGCTGGTTTGCAGCTGGCACAGGTTGTCAGACAGCATTCCCTGGTGTGTTGCTCGTGGACTCGTTCTTTGGTGATACGATGCCACCGGCTTCCCTTCCGACGGCCCAATGTCACGCATTCCACGGATCTGTGTTTAGCAAGAAAGCTTGTGGATTGCTACCAGACTTGTGTAGTTGAATCGTTTGCAGAGAACTATAAGGTGACTCGGAAGTTGAAAGTTCGAATCCAGGGCAGGGCTAAAGTGTGGGAACTGTGAACGGGGCACAGCGACAACATGTTGTCTTGTCGTTTCCTGCCCTCCGACTTCAGAAAGCATGGAAACATTCCGAAAGGCGATGGTGTCCTGGTGATGGAAAGAGCCATGCGCTCGCCACTGCCTGTGGGCTTACGCCCAGAGGCCTGGAGATGTGACCGCTTTTGCGGCAAAGCGGTACGGCGTCTGTCCTGTGGAGGGCGACGGCACCTGGGAAGCCGAACGAGGTTGGCGACTTCAGCAGGCAATGATGGAGTGCGTAGAGCTTTGTTTTCCCAAGTTCTGAACCTGAAAGACCAGGCTGCCTGGGCAGCAAGAGTTCTCGTCTCCGGTGCCAATGCATTGCACTGGCTTCACCAGGCGAATCGAAGCGCTCACCCGGAGAAAGACTGATAAATCTTGTCAAGCGCAGCCGTCTATCAGGTCATTCGCACCATCCATCGAGATCTCAAGCTGGAGAATCTGCTGATCTCCGAGGACGGTGTCCTGTCTTGATCAAGAACCGCTCGAGTCTGGATGCTAGCACGATGCTGTTTTCAGTGAGTTTCGGTCTGTGACACTATGTGTGGCTGAGGCGTCTTGAAGCTCGCTGATTTTTCGGCTGCCAAGACGCAGCTGCATTCTCAGTTGCCAGGGCTGAGCTTCCCTCTGTCTCTAAGCGATCTCAGGCTCTATGACCTGCAGGTGTGGCAGATTTGCGATGCGAGAGCACAGCCCCGCATTCATGCTCCTTCACTCGAGCAGGTGGCGGGCACGCGGCAAGGTATCGGAACTACAGGCGGGGTGCCGGCGTCCCGTTAAGAGGATTTTGAGAGCCGTTGCCTGCTGACAGGTTCCATGGCCCCGGAGCTCTATTTCAAAAGCACTGGGTACACCTCGGCCGTGGACCTCTGGTCATTGGGCTGTGCTGTGGTGGATGCCTTCAACGGCTCTTTGCCCTACGATATGGCGTTTCGGCTGCATGGCGAGTCTTCTGCGCCGTTGGACATGAACCTATCACCAGAGGTGCGGTTCAATATGTCAGTGTAATGCTTTGGGCTTTAGAGCCGCTCGAGAAATGTTGAGTTTGATTGGGCTTGCAGCCCGATATGGATCGACTGAGCTGGCTCCGTGCTGCTAAAATTCATGCAGAGCTGCAATGGCAGGGCCGGAAAGAGATGGGGTTCGGATAGATGTGGTGTCCTCATCGCGGGATCCGGTGCTGAGCTGACTACGAGCTGACTAGTCGTAGATTGTGTGCCGAAACCGCAAATTGATTCGACCGAACCGTTGAGTTATCCAATCGGTTTGGGCATCCTTTCAAACTGTTGTCCCCAAGGATTCCTTTCTTGCAGTTGTCACCCTCGGACAGCTGAAGCCACCCTCCGGCTCGGCATTGCGGCTTTGCCACGCTACTTGGCTTCGATACGATGGCTGTGACTGCGGGCGGAGTCGCGAGACGAGAGGACAGCGTTGCAGACCCCGGCTCCAAGCTGGCAGATTCAGTCCGACGGCTTCAGGACGTGCCAAGGGATCGGGGAAGGTGAGGACCTACCCCCACAGGCCCCGACAGGTTTATGTGTCTCTCAACAAGCGCTGTGCCGTCAGAGTCCGAAGTGTTCGATGCTGGTCTTCTCATGAAGGTGCCAACCCAGAAACCCACTTCAACTTTCAAAGACATCCAAGACTACATGACTACGTAGTGGTAGCTCATGCAATGCTTGACACTGCTTCTGCATCTGGCATTTCAGGTTTTATTCGGACTTTACGTCGAGGTCATATTTCCGCCGCGCTCTTGCTGACTAGGCATGGAGGTGGTTGTTGACCGCTGCTCCTCGGCGCCTGCGAAGCGCCCCAGAACCGCCTGGAAGCTGCAAGCGTCGAGAACCGTAATCGACTTGGACCTGGAGCCAGGACTTCGAGCTCTGCCGGGAGAGACAGACGAGGCCTTTGCGAGCCGTTTGCAAACCCTTGCACAAGAGGAGGCGGAGTTGGAACATCGCCGTTTGGCGGACGACTCTGCTCTTGCTCACAGCTTGCACCAAGCCTGGCTACAGGAAAGCGAGCGGGCGCCGCACACGCATTTTCGCTATGCTGCGGGAAGGAATGCAGCCTCGACGCTTGTGGGACTCCCTCCATGGGCACAGCCCATGATCCCTGAAGTGCACGAGCTGTCTTCACACAGACTTAATCTACAAGACGTGGACATCCTTGGCACGAACCGGGAGCCCTTTCTTCATCTTCGAAACGTTGATGGGCAACAAGGCCTTCTGCTTGCTGGGCGTGTGCTCAATGAGCTTCGTTGTCAAGGCCTTCGTCTCTCCCTGCCAGAGGGCCGAGTCCGGAACGGCATAGTTGTTCGCCGGCATGCGGAGCGTCGTTCGGCGGACCCATGGAGTACGGGAATAAGAGTTCTGCATGACCTTGCCGAGACCATTCGCATCGATCTTTGTCGAGCCTACGCAGCGCAGGTCCCGGAGTTGCGCCGTCCACACAGAGGTTGGAGCGACACGGAGGTGATGGTGTCCGGTCCAAAGTTTAAGCTGAATCGTCACACAGACCTCCAACCTGCAGGGTCGTTACTCTTCATTTTCAGCATTGGTCTCGCCAGCAGTAGCCAAGCATGGCCTGGAGGCGTGCTAAAGGAGGCATGTCTGCAAAGCGGGGACCTGATGATCTTGGACGGTCGGCGCACTGCTCATGCCGTGCCACGGCTGGTGCCTCGCAGCAGTCCCTTCCCAAAGTGTCCATGGCTTGCCAATCGGCGACTCGTGGTTCTTGTGCGGGAGCGTCCTGTTGGCTAGAAGTTGCGAATCAGCACGGAAAAGAGACGATGTGAGCAGAGCCGTTGCTTGAGTAGCAAGGCAGAGGAATCTTGAATGCAAGGGGCATAACACAGCAGCCGCCGAGCCGGATTCACTTCAAGGTTTGATGGGTCCATGGCCAACCAAATGATTCTCCCTCCGTGGTAAACGGTTTCAATCATCTGCATGCCTTTGCGCGGCGACTGTTTTTCTGCGGTTATGGGATTTCGCATGCCGCCATCTACCACGGATAAGCCAGAGCAGATACGATGAACTTCTTGTATTCTTGATGCAGTCTGCAAGTGCACTTATCAAGTGAGGAGATGAAGAAGGCCCCACGCGTAGCGTGCTCTTGCAGTTGCCCACTTTCTGCCTTTTGCTACCGCTTGCTGCTGCTGCAGTTGCTGCAGTTGCTGCAGTTGCTGCTGCTTCTGCTTCGCCCAGTGACCTTCCTACTACCTACAAGAGAGGCGAGGAGTATCCGTCAGAAGCCTAGCAAAACCACCGAACATGAATGACAGGAGCCAGAACAGCTGCTCTTGAACAGGGCTTGCCAGCTTATGTTGTTGGATTAGACACTCGCGTGAAGAATAGGGTGCTGCATACGCAGAACGGGACGGGCTGAAGGTGGTCAAAGGTGTCGGTTTCGTTCGAGACCGACCATGTTCAACCAACCATGTCGGTCAGTGTGCGAGGAGAGCATCCATCGCCGAATCCTGGACTGGTTCCCCCAGGACCCGCATTGCAAACGAGGTCAGTCGAAGAGAAAGTTTGGATTCTGTGATGCTCCGGCAGCTGTTGCAACCATTATGAAAATTTGACGGCCTTTCTGGCTGTTGAATTGTTGTCCGACATACCAAACAAAGCCCACCAAATGTCGTTGCGAGGATGATCATATCTGCCGAGACTTGAGCGCAGTGCTTCTGAAGCTCCTCGTTCCAGCCACTCGACTGCATGTAGATGAAGCTTAAAAAGCATTGTCCCTGATGGGGATCAGTTGCGTCGGGCTGCCGCACCTGTTCCCAGGTGCCGGACAGGCGGTTAACGGCACAGCAGCTGATGCCCGGCACAAGAGGGTGAGTAATCGATTAGTCTTGGGCATCGCCTCTTCGAACCCCGATCCGAAGCCGGAAGGGGCCCGGACCGTCCCGGAACCTTCTCGGATCGTCTGAAAAACGATAGTCCGATAGTCCCGAGGCGCAGGGGCCCTGGCCCTGGCCCCTGATGTTCGAGCCAAGGCTACAGCAGCCTGAGATGCGTCGCCTGGCTGAAGCCGCAGCCTGTCCGCTGGAATCTCGGGCTGCGATCGAGACCAGGAAGGGCCGGTGTCGCAAGTTCTTCACAGATGCGAGCTTTGTGCGAGAACTCCCAAGGATGTCCCAAGCACATCGGAGCCGGCTTTCTTGGAGGTGGGGTCCGGGGAGAACGGCCGCCCCTTTAGCCCCGCTCCGGCAAGCGAAAGGCCAGCTCGAGTTCAGAAAACCATAACCGTGGCGACCAGGATGTGGCTTGGGCAGAAATTTTGACAGAGGCGGGCCGAGTCGGGGATGAGCTGCTTTCTGGAATCAAGGCGGAACGCATCCAGGAAACACTGGCCTACTGTAGGGTAAGAAGAGAAGAGAGAAGAACACATTGGCCAGATCGCCTGTTCTACATACAAGCAGCGGTAAACCTCAAGCGAACCTTCTAGGGCACCTGAGTAGAAACAGTTGTCCGGCGGCCAGGCTACTGCTCAGGGCGGTCCAACTGCTGTGGCGCAGCCCGGTGTTGACCTAGAACAGAGCTGCGAGCTTTTTGGCAGTTGGTCCTCTGGGGGATGTAGCATGTTGCAGGACGTGTGGAGTTACGATTTTGCCGGATGGTTGGTGGATAAGTACGCCCATAGTCTGTGGGAGTTACCCGAAGCCTTGCATGCCGAGTGCGAGAGCCTGACAGCCAGCATCCCGGCCCCGAGACTGCATCGTGGGATGGGTTGGCCGTGCACCGTGCAGTGCTAAAGTTCGCTTCGATTGTACCGTGCAGGGGGTTGCAAGCTCGGACATCGAAAACGACCCCCCGGGCATCAACACACTCTTCATGACATCGAAAGATGACATCGACAACCACTTCATCCCGTCCCGTCCAGTCCGGTCCGTCGCGTCCTGTCCCGTCTCGACATCGAAAACATTCGAAAACCTTCGGGCGGGACATCATAAAAGCCAAATCTGTCTTTCGTTGTCCATGGGTGATATCATAGTCATAGTCATCGACCTCCGAAGGGCGGCTTGATTTGGGGAAGCAACGGCTCAAGATGCAGAGCCGAGGCAGATGATGCATCAGGCTTTGGAACGAGTCGATTCAGTACAGGAGCAGCGGCCGGAGCCAACCCAACTCCAAGTGCTGCGAAGGGCTAAAGGGACGTGGGACGGCTGCAGGATTTGGATTTGCTGCGTGAAGATGTTTTCCGAGCTCTTCTCGCAGAGGCCGCCGGGAGATGACGCGTTTCGGGGTTCTCGTGAAGTTTCGCACAGGATCCTGCAAGCCCGGAGCTGCTCCAGATGTGACTCCGACGTGGCTTAGCCAGTGCAGCAAAGCTGCGTATCGTCAAAGTGGTGCCAGGTTCTTGCAGCTCCCATGCTTTGAGGTCGCAGACGGCGGCACGGCTGCAATGCCTCTCATATTACAGAACGGACCAGCTACTTGCTCAAGACTTGGAGGTTCCACAAAGTCTTTGCCTGGATGGGCTCGCCCTACCCAGGCCGGGTAGCTTGAATGAGAGTTTGTTACGCGCCGATCCGCGCTGCCACCAGGACGCACTCTGCCAGCTGTGGAGGGTGGCTCAGCCTCAATTGTTGTGCGGGCAATGCTGGGTGGAACAGTTTCAGTGACAGGCCGAAGACTTCCCGGACGCATCTACACTGGTCACGCAACTGCAGGCGCAGTCGAGCGCAGTCCAGGGCAGAGGGAGTGAGCGAATGCCTGTCGGCCAGGAGCACGGCGTGAGCTCGGCCAAGTTCTGGGCTCCCGGTCGCGCGGAGCGGCTTCTGGAGGAGCGCTGGGGCTGTGAACCGAGCGAGCCCGGGATGCAAGCTAAAAGCATCTAAATGTATCTAAATGCTGAGTTGTCGAAGGATCTGAAACACGGAACTTCCCTGTCACTCCGTGACGGTGCGAGTGACGTGGCTCAAGTGCGGCTCATGCTTCTGGAGTGGAGAAAGTCATCGGGACCTCCAGGTATAGCAGTCGCGGATAGAGTTCTGCGAATCGTGCACGAACTGCTTCTGGACGCAGCGAGCTCGGGAATCCTGATCACGTCTCGAGCTGGCCTTGGGGAATTGAAACAGAGCATGGGGAGCTCGAGAAGTGAAAGACCAAGTGCTGGAGATTCTACTGTATTTACCTCGAAACATGATCTTTAGAGCAATGCAAAGCAAGAGCCTGGGCAAAGATGCTCCTTGGGCTCAGGTGCGCCTTGCTACCGAAGAAGCAGATGAAGGGCTACAGAAGGAGCTCGGTCTCGGAAGGGCTCGCAGCTTGCCATTTGCCAACGCACGTGCATCCCTCGCCGAAGTGTCTGTGAGGATGGTGGTTCCAGGTATTTTTGCTTGCTGGCAACTCTTCTGAAGGTATGTTGTGAGACATGCGTCAGTGTGCAGTGCATGTCTGTGGGAGCTTGCCTCGTGCCGGCTTCCCAGGAAATGCACAGCATAGACTATCTGCCAGATGGAAAATCGTCCCTGTGAAAGCGCTTACTGACTCGTTGCACTCAATTGATTCAAGTGTCCCGGTGGATTTGGCCCAGGCTATTTCCTCACTTGCGCCAGCGCCCACCCACGGAGCTGCTGCTTGGATTGCACCAGCACCAGCCTCTGCGAGCATGGGTGTAACATGGTGAGCCTTCTCGCATTGGGCAGGTTCGACCCCAAAGATGGGAAGAGCTGGGCGGCGCGCATTGGTGATTTCATGGGTGGCGCACTCGCTCCAGTGCTGCCATCCTGGGAGGAGACTTGTTTTTGGCTCCATGCTGTTGCTTTCTGCTGCTAGCAAGAGCTCTTGTGCCAGGAAAGCCCAGATGACTGCAAGCCGCAGTTGTCAGTCGAACTGAGGCCGCCCCAGCGAACGCCTGTTTGGCGCCGATCAAGAGTCGACAGCAATTTGCTTGCTGAAACATTTATGCTTGTGTGGTGGGATTGCGCATCGGCAGCGTGCAAATGCAGGCAGTCAGAATACTTTCCCGGCCTTCTGCACCTTGGATTGCTTGACCCAGCTTATGTTTTTGAAAGCTATGCCACGTGCCATGTGCGGGTCCAAAGTCCCAAGCCCAGGACACGCTGTCACCGCTGGACTTTGCAGGCTCGGGCGCCTTCGGGGACGTCGGCCTTGGGCTTCGCCACAGAGGAGCGGACCGGCCCCCGAGCTGCCCGAGCTTTGAGAAGACGTGCTTGCCGTCGCGGACTCCTCTCTTGTCAGGAGCTGATGTCGTCGGGCGTTCGGCGAACAAGGTGCGCTTGACATGCGACGTGTGGTGCTTGCAAGAATTGGTTCTGGAATAAGAGACGAAGCGGGATAGATTTGGTCTGTGTCTGTGTCACATGAAACAGGGAAAAGTCAGGCTGCATCGTCGACGAGGTCACGCATACCATACAGTAGCTCACCAAACATGCCTAGAGAATTGAGTGGCCCGCCAACTTACGAGTAAACCTGACGGCGAACCTTGGCCTCTGACACCTGAGTCGGGGGGTGGACGGTGAAGCGTCACACACTGTTGTTTCCGATCCTTTCAGCACTGCAGGCACTGGGCCTGGCTCCCACAACCACGTGCGCAGGCGCGCGTGAGCAGCTTGCTATGGCAGTCTTTTATCTCCGGATGTCTCGTGAACAGATTCCTGATATTCAGATTTCTGGGAAGTTGGGCCGGTTGTAAAGGTTCAACGGCTCTGGCTCTGGCCTTGGCTTGGGTGGGTCGCGGGCATCTGCAAAGCCTGCTCGAGAGCCGAAAACGGGATTCAGCGTGCTCCTACATGAGTCTTTCTTGGAGGCCTTGGCGGCTCGGCGCGCACGACTACGGCTCAGCGGTGTCCGCTGCCAGGTAGTTAGTTGGTTCCCGGGTTGGTTGGAAAGCGAAATCACTTCTTGCAGGACTTGAGCAAGACCACCGCCGAGGAGCAAGGTCAGACGCTGCTCCACGCAGCCTGCCAGAGCAGGCGTCGCAGAAGAACTGCTGCACCTACTCGTACGCAAGCCTGTCTTGGCGCTATAAATCCGCAGCGGCGACAAAGGCATACCGCAAGTCAGCGGAGGCCTTGTAGATTCTAGATTTTTCTGTTCTTGGAAGGTACGCTGCTCGTCTCTTGCGTTTGGTCTCCGAAGCCTTACCGCATGCGAAGGCCTTTGGCAGTCTCGAGCGCATTGTTGATGGAGAGAGGTCGAGGTTGATGTCTCTTTAACTTTGGCGCCGCTATGTCGACGAGTTTGATGATCTTCTCAGGGGATCTGCATAGCCGAAGAAGTCCGCGGCGCTGCTGTGCTCCTAGTCTTGGGATTTCTTGGCCTGTGGAGGTCAACACTGGTGGCTCCTGGTCGGAGTTGCTCCCGCTTGATGTGTCTTGCCGAAAGTATGCTTTGCGAGGACGCTTCAGGGGCCGCTAAGGCCGCCAGGGCAGCCCAGAAGCCTCCACGGCCTGAGCCTGACTACACTCCCAAGGTGCGGGACCATTTGGGCCGCACGCCGTTGTGGCTTGCAGCCAGCAGGCCCGACACGAAAGCTGTCGGTGCCTTGGAAAGCGTCCAACCTAGGTTCCAATCCACAATTGGGCAGACCATCAGTAGCAACATCCGCTCAAAAACCCTCTTCAGTGGTTCGACAAGCGCTCGCGGAACCCTCGCTCGAACTACTGCAGGGTTGCACTTTTTGCATTTCGAAATGTTGCTTTGCTTGAGTTCCTTTCTAGGTCGAACAGCTGCTGAGCTTCCGCAGTGACCCAGAGGCCACACATGGCATGGATGCCCAGGGTCCACGGTCGCGGGCGGCTTTTGACTTTTGGCATGTATAGCTACAATAAGGGCACAACTTGCAGCTAAGTCCGTGATCGACGTGCATCTCTATACGAGTCCTTGCGTCCTTGTGCGTCGGGAGCATTCGGATTCAAGGGAAACTTCCCATAGCACAGAGGCAAAATTCCTTTGGCAGCACGGTGGCAAGCACAAGGTTAACCATGGCTGCACTTTGCCAATTGGTTCAACTGCCTGTGCGATTTTCCGAAGAGCAATGGCGCCCCTGTCAGCGAACGTTTCAAACGTTCCCCACATGCCGCTGGAGTTGGCAGTTGCGAGACCACATCCTGCTTTGTCGAAGTAAAACTGCACCCTGTGCGACGCCCTGTTGCAATCATTCGCAATCGAGGTCTGGTATGGTAGAGGATCCCAGACTACTGCCCGAGCCTCAGCTTACCGATGCAGTGCCAGACAATAGGGTCGATTGGAGATGAAGGTGCCACTTAAGCTAGAGGCAAACCCAACCCAATCACAAAGCACCAGTAGCTCTGTTGAGCTTTCGGCAGTCGTCCTTTAGCAATTCACCTGCGCATTAGTGAGCCAGGTCAAAATCGTGTCCAGGACTTGATCTGGTGTTTTCACAATAGTTATGAAACGGGAGGAGGGGCGGCGGGACCCCCAATCGCCAGCATGCAAATATGGCCCCAAGCAGGTGGCAGTGGTATTGTACAAAGTCGGAGGGGGGGTGGGGTGGCTCCTTCTCCCCTTTGGTCCCCCTCCGCCCCTCGCCCTTAAGGTCCATCCAACCCTGACCTTAAGGTCCATCTGTGGCAACTTGCATTTTGGGTTTTACTTGGCCGAGTGCGGTTGATGCAGCAGGTTTTAAGCCTCGTGGATTAGCTGAGATGCCACCAGGACAGTTCGAAGCTGCTCGTAGATGGCCGAGTTATTGCTTATGCAGGGACATTCCGGAAGGCAATAATGTTGGTCAAGGTGTACAGCAGAAGAATGCCATCATCTCGCAGGGTTGAAGCTTGATGGCGATACATATGTGCTTGGGTCCGCGCTCTTGAGCATGCACGGAACATCGACCAAGCTCTATCGACTCACCTGCCTTTTTGTCCTAGCTCTTGTGGCACTCTTCTCAAACTTTATCATCGGGCAGTGTCGTAGGTTATAACTTATAACTTATGCTAGTGATAAAGTTGGAAGGATATGCTCGTATGTTATGCATTTTGCATCCGCTCCAGTCTCATGTCGCAGCTTACGGCTTGTTTGTAATTGAGAAGGACCGCCCATCCCAATCGAAAGCAAGGAGATGTATCTCCGTTGTGTCGAAGTAGGCGAGTGAAGCTTTCAAGTTAAACCCACTTCGCATCAGAACTCGTGGTCGTAGATTTGGCTGAAGACCGAAGGGTCAAGGAAGGAGCTTGTGACGAAGGGCCTCGGGATTGGAGCGTTGGGGCTTGGAGCTCCAAACTCGGCGAAACGCAGAAAGCAGAGCACGAGATGAAATCAGGATATGACCTTCAGACGCTAGCCGCTAGCTGGCTGTTAGACATGATCCTTCCAGAGAGGGCTTGTCTGTAGTTATCGACGGCGTTCCGATTTGCTCAGGATGGACATGATCGAGACGGGGAGACGAGATTGGTGGCACCAGAGAGTGGAGTCATTAACCGCTTGGTCTGCGCTCCGGCGGCTTGGCTGAAGCCTGCAGGCTCTGCGGAAGTCCGAAGCCCAAGCTCAAGCTCTCTGCGGGTTTCTGCACTCTGCACAAGGTGGATTTCAATCATGAGCACCGTGCTGCTTGTGCTCGCTCTGAGCGCATTCTTTCTTTATGTTGTCAGCCGTGGTGTTCCGAAATCCAGCTCACGAACAGCACGAGCTTCTTGGCCAAAGTTGCACGCAGTCTTTGTAGCGCCAAGCTTCATGCTTCCTGCTTCCGGTGTCTTCCGGTATCTTCCGGTGTTCCAGGTCAGTGGCATGTCACGGGGGATGCAAGTGGTCCTGGCTATGACAATGCTCGTCGACTATTCTTGCACGGACCAGTACCAGCCAAACATCCCAGCCATGGCCAAGGTCTTCATGGTATCTCCGACTGAGATGGGCTTGACGATCCAGATCCATTTGCTATTCTGTGCTCTAGGGATGACGGTTGTGGGCCCGCTTTCTGACCGAATAGGCAGGAGGCCGGTCATACTGGCTTGCCAGCTGATGCAAGCAATCAGCACCGTCACCTGCATGTGTGCCTTGTCTGCTCTGGGTTGTTTACTTCTGCACATAAACCGCATGCAGAAGCTGCCTCAATTTCTCCCAGGCGCCTCCAACATCGGCTGGTTTATGGCCGGTCGAGCTATTCAAGGGTTAGCAGCCTCGGTCTACGTTGCGATTCTCGCAAGCATGCGAGACTGCTTTGACGATGCTGCCAGCAGGCAGCGCGCCATGGGTGGCATGATGTCTCTGATGCTCATAGGCCCGATCTTCGCCCCTGCTGTGGGAGGGTACCTGGCTGCCGAGTTTGGCTGGAGATGTCCCTTTGGTCTGTTAGCCGTTTTCGCCGTGGTTGTGGCATGCGTGAGCTACCACGTCATTCACGAGACCGCCCCTGCACATGAAGAAACCAACAACTTGGCCCCGGCCTCAGCGGTACAGTGAGCCAAGGAGGTACCAACGCACAAAAATACAGTTTACCTTTTGTGTTGGGTGGGTGAGATCTTGTAGTCGGAGTTTCGCAGGAACAGCTTGCTCCACGTCGGTTCTGTGTGAGTATGCTCCCTTCATGTGCACTACGATAGAATCCTAGTGCGAAGACATGGGACCTCCTCGGCACGTCCCTGCCCCACTTCTGGATGTTTCTCTAGACTCTAGATTGTACTTGCAAGCAGGCATGTTTGCCCATGTTTCAGTGTCTGTTGAGGTCAAAGATGTTTTTCGCACGCTGAGCTGTCGGAGACGGCTCCTAATTCTTCTATGCGTCGGAACCACCAAGAGTCTGTTCGATGTGGTGATATCGGCAAACGGTTACATATTGGAACTGCAATTTGGCCAAACGGTCAAGCAGACGGCAGGCTTTACGGCAATGTTCGCTGTGGCATGTACTTTGGGCTCTGTCGTGGCAGGCCAGCTGCACCAGGAGCCCACAGATGTGCTGCGTTTGTTCACACCGTTGATGGTGTTTTCTGCCGTGGCACTGGTTGTAGCCGGCATATCGGACAATATGTTTTGGTATCTTTCAAGCATCTCTTTTCTGCAGTTCGTCGTTTTTCCACCTATCATTGCGTACCATGCCGAGTTTACCAGGGACCTTGAGGACATTGCTGGCACTGCCACCAGCCTTGACCTATGTGCACAGTATTTTCTAAGCTCCCTGCTATCCATTGTGGGCCTCCATGCGGCAGCGAGTGGCGCAAACGCCATGCTGTTCGTCCTTGCCGGAACTGTGGTGGTGACCGAGATGTTCACGTGGTGTGGCATTGCAAACCCCGGCTCTTCGAAGTCCGAGTGCGAACCGCTGATAGCATACGAGTCTACTGCGACGAAGACGCTCTAAGAAGGCCACGTGGCACGAGGCTGCGGCACAGGTGGAGTCTATGGTCAGTGAATATTGCCATGCCGCCTGCCTGCCAATCAGGTGCAAGAAAAGACAGGTCGGAGTACGGCTTGCATGTCGGTCGCAGTCCTGCGCTGGTGAGCAAAAAAGTCTAAATGCTCTTAGTTGCCACATCTTGCTACAGGCGCATAGTTGTCCTGCAGGGCCAGGGCAGAACACAACTTGCCTGCCGGGTCCTCCAGTCACTCACACCACAGCGCAGGTGGTGGACGACCGTGGCCTTTCCCCTCTGGCAGTGGCGGCATCAACGCGCCGCTCGCAGTCACTCGCCACAGCCAATGCAGATCTTGTTCTGCCCCAAACGGACGGTGAGTAACACTTCCGGGTTCCTACAAAAAAGTGTGTACGAAGGATTTTTGGTCCGCGCGTGTATTTTGGGCCTATTACCTAACTGGCGGAAGAGCGGCAAACTACGAGGCGTCCTTGCAAGCAAGCCTGCAGCAAAAGGGCCTATAACCTGGCGTCCGAGGACTCTGGGCACTGTCCGCGTTCTCGTGGCCGCTGGAGCAGAGCCACTTGAAGTTTTAAAGAAGATGCCTGGCAGGAATTTCAGCCACGTCGTGCGGTCTCCTTGCCGTGCGTCGAGGTGGTCTTGCGGATGACCCATTCAAGCGCGCTGCTCAGGATGGACCGCCAGCAGACCGCTGGCGATCCCGTGGCCGGTGGGATCAAGAAGGCTTTGGTTCACGGGGCACTGTCCCTCGGTCGACACTTAGCCTATACACATCTATACACTGTATCTAGTCATGACATCCAGGGCAGACTTCACGGTCTAGGAGCGCTGGGCTGGACAGCTAGGAGCTGCCAGGAGTTGACGTAGAGACCGAGGGTGTCAGAGTCCTCAGAGGATGGTCGCAAATTGGCAAAGCGACATTCCGACCCCGTTCTGCAAGGAAAACGCCAGCCGCCCTTGAAACGGAGCCCCTGCCCAGCCCGGAAAGCCTTGGAAGAGCCGCACTTCGCTGAAGGGCGGGATCCATGTGGCACCGCCTGGAGAAGCTGATTTGCGAGGCCACCAAAAAGCCATCGTCGCTGCCTCATGCCTCGTCTGTGCACTCTCCTTTGCTTTAGGCTGGTGGCAAGGTGAGCAAGGAGGAGTTTGAGGAAGCGGGAAGACACTGTTCCTCAACGCGTGATCCCATTGTCTCGACATCGGCCGCTCGAAAATTGCATGCAAGAAAGACGCTGCAAGTCGCGAGTAGGAGATGCTTCAGCGCTGCCGCGTTGATGAGACTGCCGACGCCCCAGACGGCAGGAGTATCATTGACCAACTGCGAGCCGGCTAGGATTCTTGATCGGAGTCTGGTCAGGTGCCCAAGTTGCAGAGTTCCAGTTGGGCATTCAGCTAGAACATGCAGCAATGCGGCATAAGTGAAAGGATGGACAGGGGACACGAGACTAGACTGAAGTTTAGCTTGGGTGGGATGGGTAAATGTCAGATTACATCTGCAAGAGAGACAGGGGTCAGCCAGACGGAAGTCTTGCCTCCGAGATGGAGCATGCAGAGGAGTCGGTGGAATGTTCGTCTTGCGCCGAAGTGCTGGCACGGGAGTGCTTTTCTGGTTCGCAATGGAGGAAAGGCAAAGAAGCCCGCTGCAAGACCTGTATTCGAGCAGCGAAAGACCCGCCAGAGATCACGGACCCAAGATTGCAGGCATTCGTGGACGAGTGCCGTGCTGCCAAGGAGGAGTACAAGCAGTCCCAAACGGATGTCGTCAGCAGCATCAACAGCTGGATTCGGCTAGGGGGAGCTCTGCGCGAACCATCGCTCCCATTACAGGAGGCAGGCCACATGATATGTGCGGCCCTCGAACGGAATGTAACCCCGGCGCTGAGCGAGACCTTCCCTGCCGAAAGGCGCCTTGTTTTGAACTTGGACGACAAAGGCAGTGAGGCGGACTGGCCCAAAGCCTTGGACAGAGCTGTCAAATTTGCTCGGGACGCGCGGAAAGAGGACAGCCGTCCCATCTACGTTTTCTGCGCTCTGGGATGCAACCGTTCTGCAGTTGTTGTCATGGCCCTCCTTATGGCCATCGAAGAGATGGCACTGGCGGATGCATATCAGCTTGTTCGGGCGCAAAGGCCGTGTATCCGACCGAAGTACATGCGGGTGCTGGCAGAGTACGAGCTCCGGCTTGGCCGCAAGGAGAGCTCTCGGCCGGAATTCTTGGATGCCAATGCGCTTGACTCCAAGTCTTTCGGCGCCCTTTTCTAGGCCTGGCAGCCTGGCCCGGGCCCTTGCAACTTAGCAAGTTTCTGATGTGTCTTGCGCAGACGGGTCTGTGAAGGTTTTTTGTACAGTGTACAGGAAGGCCGTTGCAGCAAGTTCCGATGAGAAAGATTCATGACCCATGAAGTTTCTTCGTCCCTCCCGAGGTGTCCAAGTACTTGCTGCAAGCTTTGGAAGCAGCAAAGGACACAATGAAGCCCCTTTAGGCACCAAGAAGCAGGGCTGAGGTGAGGCTCCATAGGGTACGCGCTGAGCAAGGGTCCGACTACCAGTAGCATTCTTGACCACGAGCCCAGCTGCTTTCGCGCGTGCTGCTCCTGGAATGATGGGAGGACGACTGGACGAGTGATGAGATTTGGAAGCTCTTGACCGGGGCCCGGAACGGCTGCTGAAAGACATCAATTAGTTTCTCAGAAAAGACAGATTCACAATTTCTGATGTCTGACAGAGCGCAACTGAGTTCGTGGAGAGAGACAGAGCGCAGTCGCTCGAAGCATTACCACTGTCCCCGTCCGACAGGTCGACTGCAGAGAAGACCTCCCGCAGGAGAAAGAGTTCAGTAAAGGACCAGGTCGGAGTACACGTCGGATGCGGCTGGATGCGCCAGAATCTGGACCACGGTCAGGTGCACGCGTCGGGAGCGGAGGATGACTGGCGAAAGCGCCGGTGGCTCAGATCTGCCGTCCCCGTGTCGTGTTTTTCACTTCGGCGTATCGCTGCCTTCTGCATGTGGTGAGACCCGTACTACGAAATATTGCCAACGCTTCTTAGTCGACACTGGGCACGTCATGTTTGCCGCGTTGGATGCAGGTCGCGAGCGTTGCGACTTGCTGGGTTGCTTGAGGTGTCGTTTCCCCCGAGCCAGATGGTGACTCCGTTGATGTTGCTGCGACGAAAGCGCTGCAGGCAAGCCCGGTCAACAGAGCATGAAAGACCGGTGCCAAGCATGCCTTAAGCTTGCGCTTTTAAATTTGCTACTCAGCTTTCGGCGGTTGACTGCGCAGGTCTTCAGAGATTACATATTGCTTACTCGCTCGGAGGCTCTCCTTGCTTCAAGCGAACAGCCCCGGAAAGGCTGGGACCCGAAACGCGCAGGAGCAGCTTAGGCTCTAGAAGTGATCTTGGGGCATCTCCTGCTTGCCTCGAACTTTAGGCCACGTCGTTGCTCATCCGTCCTCGTGATTTGTAGCTGTGCCTGCAGGCTATCCGAAGCCCTCCGCCGAGGTGCGGATATCATGGGAGCTGCGCGAATCACATCTTTGCAGTGCAATGACCAATGCCGGGTTCTCAGTACGTTGTGTTACACTGGACCTGCAGGCATCTCCAACTTCGCCATTCTCCCTGAGCCCGACGCTCCGCACGCAAAACAACATGACGGGATTGAGGTTAGAGCATCGGGAATCCTGGAATGGATTTGGGTCACTTGCGAAGCCCAGCTGAGATCCATGCGTTTAGCAGGCAAATTCAGCCGGCCAGAGCTAGAGACTGTAGATGGGGCCATTCGGTTCATGTTTCAGGCTCGTAATATTTAATGTACACTGCCGCGAAATTTTTGCATTTCCGTGCCGAACTTTGCATGGTAGTCTTACGACTTATCGAAATCGCCGCAACGGCTCTATCATGCCATGTGCAGCTAAGGAAAACCGTGCGCACGGACAGTGACTGTGTGGAGACTGCCAGCTCTACAATTTCCAGCCCGAAGGCATCTTCTTGCCTTGTTCATGACTCCTCGAGAGGAAGGGACCATCTCAGCTCATGAAGCTATAGCATGCCGGTTCTCAGAAACTTAAAGGCCTGCTGAGTAGCTGGGAGCTTCTGAGAGTGAAAAAGCATGGTCCTGCTAGGCTGTGCTCAGCGGATCGCAGTCTGAGGACGCTGAACTCGCTTTCGTTTCGTCTGCATATGTCTGCATATTTCAATTTGCAAGTCTGCTCACGCTGCTCCACCCCTCCAGGACGCGCTTCGGCCAATTGCTCCCCGCCGCCCACCGCGGCCACGACGTCAGGTGGCTTGTTTAGTACGGCCCAGCTGAGTCAAGCAGCGAGAAATGCCGCTGCCGCTAGGACCAGCGGCATGATGAGCCACGGTCCCAGGGTGGTCCCAGGCTTCCTCGGCGACCGTTTCTATGAAAGGCATCTTCTGGCACATGTAGCTCTAGAGGCAGAGCACCAGTCAGGAAAGAGTGGTCTGAAACTGGACGGGGCGTCAAGTGACTACAAATCTGTTCACGAGCAAATAGTTGGCCAGGGCAACATCTATGCGGAGCTTTCGAGCGACAGCCCGCTCGACACCTGCCTCAACGATCGTAAGTTCTATGCACAACAAACTGTTGTCAATTTCAACTGCAGGCTGGCAAGTAGGGCTGTGTACGTTTGGATGCTTGTTCCTCTTCTGCGGGGTTCGGAGGATCGGAGGGTCTGTAAGAGCTCTGAGACATGGACCCCTCAGCATTTCGGGTTTGCATCATGTACAGCATGTTAACCGGAAAAGGCCGCAGCAATCACACCCATTGTCTTGCACACGTGGTGATACTTGGTGCTTCTCAGCGTCAGATGGTAAGGCTGTCCTTGGGTGCCAGCGCAGTGTTGTCGAGTGCTCAGATTTCAATAATTCTTCGGTGTGACATGATCTTGACCCGTGCAGTGCAGAAGCTGAGGCAAAGCGTCCGCCATGCATCTCCTGGTGCAGGAGCTGTTTCCCGTTCGCCGCGTGAGGTTTTGGCCCTGATTTCGAGATCCTGAGCCCTGCCTGCTGCGAGCCATGCGAGGTGAAGACCACCTCAGACCGTCGGGCGAAGTCGTCGTGCCGCGGTGCAAATTGGAGTGGTGGTCGAGAAACACATTTACGGTGTTGATGTTGGAGCAGCTCGCTAAACGCTAAAAACTCGTAACAACGGTGGGGTGGGCAAGTGCGAGAAAGGGCGGGGTGTCAACCACGTGCTGCCCTAAGGAACCTGGCTCAGGCTTTGCCGCCGAGGGAAGTAGCCTGCAGCTCAGGGGTCTCTTCTGTGTGGTCTTCGACGGCAGGGTTGGAAATTGTAAGGCACCTTTGAGTCACAGATTGCACGAGGTGAGGTCTTGTCAGTGTATCTATCCTTAGCTGCAGCTCAGGCAGCACCGGCGGAAACCACAGCCGGAGGGCACGACATGGGCTGCGTTGTGTGCACTTGCTAGCCACTTTTCGAGTCTACGAACTCCGAAGCGCAGCAGTTCCATAGAGCCAAAAGAGAAGACACCTAATCGGCCCCAAGCGCTTCTTGTGGCAAAGCTCGGTGAGTCAGAGCTCAGCTGCTATTCCAGGGCGTAGGGCAGTCGGCACTAGCTCGCCCTCATGCACAGGAAGATGCACACCTTCCGCGGTGTGCGGCCACGTTACCTAGACCACCTCCAAGGTGACATCTTGCCTGAAGGGCGGACGTGCACGCCCGGAAGAACCCATGAATGGCAGGAGAGACCCGGGACCTCGCCGCAGGCGCGCTGCGGCCTCCCCGGAAGAGCAGCCGAGGCTCGTCCCGTTGCGGCGTTGCGCGTGGGAATGGGGAGGGCCCGGCTCGGCGGGTCCGCCCGGCCCAGGGCCTGCGCGCACAGCAGCCCTGGACATGGCCTAAGACGCGGGCCACAGACGCACGGCCGACTGACGCGGCCGACGCGGCTCGGATGCAAGGGGAACTCAAATCCCTTTGCGCAGCGTTCATCGCTGCATGTACACAGTTAACGACCCTGGACCTGCTGTCCAAATTGACAGCATGTCTTTGCGTGTCCCTGTTCCCCTCCCGTATGAAGCCTCCAACGTTTTTGCACCTGCTTTATTCAAAAGGTTCGGTACACTTGAGTTTGGCCGTGCGGGATTGGCGGGACAGAGCCAGGCTGACTCACCCAGGGATGCCTGCGACGGTGGCAAATGGTGATTCTCACTTCTTGCATACTTGATCGGAGGTATTCCCGACTTCCGCCGCATCGGCAAAGTGTACATATGGATCTCAAGTCAGCAGCACCAGAAGAAATGCTCGCATGAGTCCTGATGAGCCAGGTGTCACGTGTACTGTTGTGCTGTGTCGTCGGTGGTGATTCCATGTAGCTACTGTAGCTAAAGTTAAGGCAAGCGGTAAACATATAGCTTGCGAGCAAGACCGAAAAACGCAGTCCCACATGTGTACCTGCGAATCACCCCGGCCTAGCACTCTTTTTGGGGCGGGGGTTTCTTGTGGAAAGGTGTGGACCCCGCGGGCGGCGGCACTAAGGGCTCTTGCCCGATGCCCCTCCCTTGTGCTAGAGCGACAGGTCCTCCAGTATTCTGGCTTAGCTGTTGTTGATTCTGATCCGACGATGGCGACGTCTCCTCCCGTCATGTGCCTGAGGTCATGCAATGTATATGTAACAGCTCGCTGGATTGCTGCATTTGCTATCGGCTTTGTTCCAGGGCTGCGCCTCTGTGCTGTTCATTGCCGCGGGAGTGTGCGTGTTTATTTACTGTACCTGATTGGTAGCGTGCGCACTCGCAGTGCTGGTACAGTGTTCCCTCGGCACATGCCACGCGCCTTTGGGTCGCCTTGGGTATGCCTTCTGTGCATGTAGCCTCGCCCCGGCCGCACGGTTCGCCCCCTTGCAACTCTTTGTGTCTGCCGGTTACTTGGTGTGTTCTTTGGCGCATACGAGCATAGGTATTATCGGTTGTTGACGTCTGGCTTGGCCTCCTGCCTGCTTTATCCCTGATCAAGGACTATGCCTCTCCGATTCTTGGCTTTGAAACATGTATCGTAGTATACTACACCGTGACCTGTCTGCACTAGCTAGTTTTTCCCCCACCTGAACTCCGGGACGGAGGGGGGCGATAACGCTTGCGGAGCCCTCCTGAGATGTTGAGAGAGGGACATGGGAGGTAGGCCGCACCGTAAGTGCTGGTCGACACTCACTCACTCACTCACGCACATGCGAATCCGGACCCAGTGCGGGTCGCTGTAATTAGATTCAGTTCTGGCCATGCCACAGAGACATTCCTCGGGACCCAGGCAGGCGGGTAGGATTGCTAGACCGGTCTTACGAAAGCGGCGGAGATGCCGTGCAAACAGAGCTTGTCATGTTGCTTGGGCTTCATAGTCAGACGCTGAATATGCTGAAATGTCGGCCCGCAAGCGTGTGGACTCCCGAGTGGAGTGAGGGCACCGGGGGCCCCTCCCCTTGCTGAGCGTTCAGCAATGGATCCGGCGGCACTCTTCGGCAATGCCAATGCGCCAGCTGCTTTTTTAATGAGTCTGCAGATATGACGTGACAACCTGGTTTACAAGGGTCGCATGGTCGTTCACCAGGTGTTTTGCAGCAGAAGTCGAGCAGGTGCACTATGTCAACGAAGAGTACGAGGAGGCTTTGAAGAACTACACAATGGCAGTGACGCTGGAGGCGGCAATGCAGCAAGTGCCAGTGCTGCGCACGAATCTTCTTTCTCGGCAGTCTGAAATGTAGTTTCTTGCTTCCGATCAGGACTGTGTGGTCTATCGAACGTGCCGTGCTGCGTGCTACCTGAAGCTTGGAAGGTAGCCGACTCGCCTCTGCATCGATGTGTCATCGACCGTCGTAGGATGTGCTGTCTCCAGTCTCCATTCGACGGTAGCACGGTCCTCATACCCACGCATCTCCCGGCTTTGCTTATCGCAAACTTTGATCGGCTCAAGTCCCGAACATCATGACGGTTGTTTGAACAAATGCTGCTTACACATAGCTGCCGTGCCAATGTGCCTTTGGCTGAATTATGCTGAATTGTCTTGTTCCGTCGAGCGAGAGTCGCCACTTTTCCTTTCACGCAGGCAGCTGACACATGCAGGTTTCGGTAATATGTCACCATGTGGTAATGTAGTGTGCGAGTGAGTGGGGGGGGGGGGGGGGGTCCGTTGCATTCTGGGATGTGGGGGTTGTGTGCGCATGTGTGTGTCTGCTTTCCCGTGTTATTCTCTGTCATAGCGTCCCTAGCCTCGAGTGAATTTGCATTCGAGGCTGAGGCAACCTAAGGAGTTTGTCTGCGGCGTGAAAATTGCAACACCGCGAGAAGTCATGGCAGCCCAGGTGCTGGTTTTAGTTTGCTGGCCTCTCCTGGCATGGTCAATTCGGTGCTGCTGGCGTGTTTACTCATTGTCAACATAGCAGGACCGCGGGCCCCGACTGCAGAAGCAACAGATTCCAGAGCCTTCGATTCAGAGCCCAGTCAGATTGTGGGGGCGGGGCGAACGCGGTGACAGGGACTCTTCCCTTGAGCTGGATGAGGTGTGGAGTGGAGTGGAGGCCCAACACTTGCAGTGATTTCTCCCTCCTTGCGGTGCTGATGCAATGTGCTGTAGCTTCACCACACCACTGGTCACCGGTGCTGAATCGTGAATCTTGCGGTATCTTCTTATTGGATCCTGTTGGATGATGCATGCGCCCAAGGATTCCTCGCTGGACGGCCTCGGATCAAGCCGTGACCTTGGTGTGCTGACGGCCTGCAGGGCGTTCTTCTTGCTTTGACCACATAATTACTCAGAAAGGGTTGCACGACCCATGTACTAATGAAGCGTGCGCATCTCTGCGACCGACTACAACATCCTTTGCAGCGACAAATCCCAGCTCAAAAAGAAGCAGACAAGCTAGTCAGCTCTTTTGTACTGACTCTTCGCCGTTGGCCTTCCAGGCACGGAGGCGGACAACTACGCTGACGGCACGGAGCCGCATGCTCGAAAGGGGTATCTCGAGCGGCAGGCGTCATGAACTGCTCGGACGGTGGTGTTCGCCAGATGCCATATCGCTCTGAACCTGCATTGTGAGAGGCACGCCAAAATCACAACGAACCTTAAGGGGGTAAGGGTGAAGGGGTTTGGGGACTATACTTTCTTAAATGATCTTAAATGGACCTGGTGACCTGGTGAAACCGAGATCAGGTCTTTGTTGGGAAGTTGAGGCCCCTACCCTCACTGCCCTGACCCCTAAGTGACAGATCGTTGCGCATTGGCTCATCTTTGCTTGGTGATGCCGAGGCCGGACGAGGTTACAGTGGATGACGTACAGGGAGGACATGATAGCTTCAACAACGGCGACAGCCAAAACCAGGCGCGACTCTTGCTTGGAGTCGCCAGGGAAGACACGGACAAGGAAGCCTAGACTCTTCTAGGATGCACTTCAGGGAGATGAAGCATATCGGACGGTGATGCCACCCTTCCTTCAGGCACCGAAGCCTGCAACGCACCAACACGCTCACGGCTGCCTGGCTGATTTGGCAACCTTAGGGTTTTCATGACATTTGAAGGGCCTTTGATGGGCCCTGGTTGCCCGAGTAGAGTGTCCTTCTCTCAGAGCAATCTGCAAGCACAAACGAATCCAGCGTTCCAGCAGGTTGGTGTTGAATGGTATTGCTAGTAAGCTAGTAAGGGCTGAGCTTGAAGCCGTAAGCAAAGTTCACCGCGCGACATCACGGCTGAACTTGCAGCTGAGGTAATGAGCACCGCTTCTCAGCTGCACAAGCAGAAAAATGCGATGCTCGATGCCTCGGTCGTGGCCTGCAGTCTTTGATGTGCACGACGAAGTCTCCTCGGTTTTGCTGAGGCTATGGCCAGCCCCATTACAAACATCCGCATAGCAAAATCCAGACGCAGCACGGACATGGGAAGTTGAAGACTGAACACACAAAGGCGCAGAAGGGGGAGGAGACGAATCTGTTCGCACTGGCTGCCAATGAGACATGCTGTGCCAAAGTCGCGCCATCGTGATGCCACCAGGACGAGGAGGAAGAGAAAGAGAAAGATGAAGAGAAGGAGGAAGGCGAGGTCGAAGCTGAGGCTGAGGAGGGCGAGGAGGGCGAAGAAGGCGGGACAATTGCAGCGGCGGGGAGGTGTGTGGGTGGGGGGGGGGGGGTATGTGCTCTCGCCTGCCCTGTGTTTCTAGGTGAAGAGCCTTGGGAGATGACATTCACTGACAAATTACTCTTGGAGATCGGCTGGCCGGGATCTCAAGACACGACGGGGGGGGGGGGGTTTGGTTGAGGGTATTGGCATAAGCCAACCGGGTCACTCCTTTCGTTTTCAGATTTTGGTGTAGCTTTGGGAGTTTATTGGCCTTGCTGAAGCAGAACTCTGCACCCGATCGCGGCTCAGTGGTGCAGAAGACTCGGACGAGCATCGCGACCTTTCGCTTTGCCTTTCTGACGGTACGACAGCCGTTTTCGCCCAGGCTCATCCTCTTCATTGTTCTGTGCATGATGCTGGTTTCGTTCATGAGTGTAATTTCGCAGCTGAGTGCCTTCTCTGCAAGCAGTATTGCGCTTTGACTGGGCACTGCTCTGTAGCTGACGTGGGGCATGCGCAGATTGAAGAATTAAGTCGGCAATCTACATCAGGCGATTCCTCGAAGGACGTTGACGACGGCATTGTGGAGCCTCCTGCACTAGCTCAGGGCGCCTACTGGTTTGACTGCCACATAATGGAGACTCGTTGGCACATGCTTATTTCGGGTCGCGATGTGTTCGCTATACATGTCTACCCGTACACTGCTCAGCTGCATCCGCGCTGCCCAAGGATCCTCTGGTTATTTTGACCGGGCTCGCTAACTTCGTGGTCTTTGCTGCTAAGACGGAGATGGAGTATGACGAGGAGGCCGGGCTGAGAGAAATCACGGACGTCACGGACGAGAGTGCCTGCGCTTTTGTTGGAGACTGTAGAGACCTCCGGTTCGTGGGTTTTGGCGTTAGTGGCTAGTGGTTACTTCGCTCCGAGAATCATCCTGGCTGCTCTGACAAGCTAAACGTGCCCTGGAGAAGTCTGGAGAGGCCACGAGCGGCTTCGGCTTCAAGCGCAAGCTGAAGACCTGGGTTCCAGAAACCAATGAGACTCAGCCGAAACCTTGCCGAGCCGTCCCTGCACCTTTCTACATTCTACCCAACACAGAATGTCGGTCGCTTCTACCACCTTATGTCGCACCGACATGCAGGATTCTCCAAGATGTCTTTCAAGGTCACATGGTCGAGGCTGAAGTCACTTTTGCCTCCTAGGCGATCCTACAGAAGATCGGTGTGGTTGTCTTATCGACGAGCTCCAGGGCAGGATGAAAGCGGCGATAGGGTTGCGACGCCAGGGAATGCCAAACCTAGGAGTGTGAGTGGGTTCGAGGTTGGAGACGTATAGCAGAGCCGAAGCTGTGTATCCCAAGGCCCAGGTTTTCAGGTTTGGCCCCAGGTTTACGCCGTGACTCTGTGCCTCTTAGGTTTGCTGTTGCGAGCCCTGTCGGCCCCAGCTCACCCCTGGTGGAAAGCTTATCGCTGCCCGGCTGCATGGACACTTCATGTCATATGGCAGGTGACTCTCTTCTCTGTGATCCTCGTTGCGGCTGCGTCTGCTCCGTCAAGTGGAAGCTGTTGGAGCAGTTTCCGCAATCGCTGCCGAGGAAGTGCAGCTCCGTTCATTGCACTGCTTATCAATGCCTATGCCTGGATCGACGTGATTGCCATGACGCCCTCTGTACTGGACTTCATTTTCCGCGATGATGCGCAACTTGGAGCACTGCTGTATCCACATTGCCGGTTGGAGTTTCAGAGATCCAAAAGCGAGGGGGAAATGCGTAGGAACGTCGACCCCGCCGCTCCGGGTAGCTCCACTCTCGACTTCCTCTGTGAGGTACTACAACATTCAGAGCCTCTGCCTTGTTCGCTTGGTGGAAATGGCAGTCCGCACGCCCAGTGCCACGGGCGCTGGCATCCGGGCTTTCATTGCTGTCTTCGATGAGGCACCATGCAGGGATGGTGACGGGTCACTGTGAGGGAAGCAATAACACGCAACGGCGCAACAGGCTGCGGCCATTTTGCATTCCATTCCAAGTGTATCGGCTATCGGCTTGTGACGCTCCTCAATTCACAAGGAACTGCAGCACCTGGGCGCAGGACGGCCCCCTCATTGGCACCATCTTCGCTTTCGGGGCAGTAGTGTGGGTCATGCTGCTTGGCAGAGCATGGTTAGGCTGCGGCTGGTGTTTGAAGATCCTGGTGCGGTCGTCGGTCCGAAGCCGGCAGAGGCTTCGTCGAGTGCTCGTGAAGTCGATCCAAAAATCTGATGAACTGAAAATCCTAAAGCAGCTAGCTGAATTGCGGGATCGGCACAACGTGACCTGTTTGAATCACCGGCTGAACAACGGCGAAACAAGAAGCAAAGAAAGACGGGGCTGTTTGTTAGACCAGATGCGGCGGCCAGAACCTCCGGTCCAAGCCTCTAAGAGAGTGTCGCGCAAACTTGGTACCTTCAGCCAGTGAGCCACGCTCCTGAATCCAGGTTTCCGAGTGTGTATGCATGCAAATGAAGCGAATCAACGCTCCCCGAGGTTTTCCGGTCTCTACATGGTCGCGAACCGCTGCCTGGCATCATGCAAGCGATGCGCACACGGAGCAAAGCAGGCTCTTCCGTTCCGAGGCACCAATGCGGCCTCGGTGTGGGAGGCGGCCACCTACGAGGGCGAGCCGTGGCAACGCTTCGAGTCGCTCCCGTCCTCGCTGCTGGGCGCTTGAAGAGTATGAAAAATCAGATGCCGATGGAAGCTGGAAAACAAAACCGCCGAAGGAAGGCCAAGTCCAGGTACATGAGTTCCTTACACTTTGAGGTTCAGGGGGCTTATTGGGGCTGTCCACGCACAACTTCACTGGCATTCTTGGATGATGTCTTTTTGAAGTGTCCTTTGTCTCTCCTTCGACCAAAGATAAGACAATATGGTCTCGCAATTGGTGCACGTGACTTTCAGGATGTTCTTCGCCCTGCTCAATCTGTGCAAGGACGTGGCTAATGAAGCATTCAGATGTCGATCGGCTGGCCCCAGCAGATGGTACTCGTAGAGCTGATGCAGGGTTTGAGCTATGCTTTTGTTTTCTTTGGATTCCCCGATCACCTCAAAGCACAATTTGCGATTGCTCTTGTTTTTACCAAGCCAGCCCTTCTATCAACTGAAAGGAGCACCCCTTGGCAGATGTCTTTGGTGATGAGGAAGAGCAGTTTGGTCTGGCGACTCCACGCAGCAACCCAGTCTCTGGACATGCTGTGACTGAGTGGCGATATGTGCCAGAAACCTTCCAGACCAGTCTATCTTAGGATCTTCCAGCGGGTCATCATTATTCTGGAGCCTGGGCAGCAAGTCACCAAAGATCTTGCTCCATAACCAAAAATTACCACTCGGATGGGTCAGTCATTCCACCGTTGGCATAAGGTCTGCATCATCGGAGTGCCCGTCTTCGGTGCACCTCAGCAGCACTTCCGGGGACCTCTTCTGACACGCCGTGCTGAGGCATGTAGGTGAGGCCGAAACCTCCGCATGCGGTTCTGATAGCCTGAAACAGTGTGCTTGGACTTGCAGGTGCCGACCGGAATCCTGGGTGCAAGCCTCATGAAGCACTGTGACTTGGAGGCTTCCTCGGGTTGGCTGCATGTAGTCCTTCAACAGCCTATATAGGCTAGTGTGTTGCTTTGTCGCAATGGTATCCTCACTCTCAGATCCGGCTGAAGTGCCCACAGGTTAAGCGACTGGAAGAGGCAAAGGCGAAGGCAGACACTCGTGCGCCCATCGCAGATGCACCCGCAGTTGGGCAGGCCGCCTGACATCCTTTACAATATTGACTACTTAGTTACGAGCTATTCATCTATCAGATGCTTGCTCTCTGAGACACAAGAACTTGGAGATCTGACAATCGCCGTTCTGAGGACGAGGCTTCGGCACTTGCCCCCGCTGCAGAAACCTTCGCTGAAGCACCTGCGGCAGAAGCTCCGCCCACTCTCGAAGGCAAGCACGTCCATGTGTGGCTTGAGCTGAACAGGCTCCTGGTTCACCGGCTCGAGGTCTGTACAATCCCGAGAGACTGCTGTCGCCACACAACTAGCCAACTTCGCTGCTGTCTCCGAGTGTGAGCATCGAGCCCTGAAAGTGTCTTAGTGTCTAATCGAGTCCACGTTTTTTTGCGGAGCGTGGCGGAGTCGTAAACAGCTGCATCATTCACCCATAGCCGGAGATGCAGCCTGCCTGTTTCAAGCAGGACGTGCGAGCCATATTCAAATCTGAGGTGGTTGATCTATACGCTGGTTTTCAGCTTCGGAAGCACCTTTCTGTAGCTTGCCAGGCACAGATACTTGTAACTTTCAGTGGCTGCTTCGCCGCTGAGTTTCGCCATCTTCGTCTTGCCACTCCGAGGTATTTCTTCTACACCTTGCATGAAGACACTGTCTTCCTTTTCATGCCAATCCCGGAGATTCCGAAAAAGGCACCGGAGATTCTGTATGCTGGGTGGCGTGATACATTTCAACCGCAGTCGCAATGCTCGGGTGCCCACAGACCAGATTCTACCCTTGCTTTTGGCCAAACGCACACTTTCCGCAGGTCCTGGCGCCAGTGGATGCAGCCACTTCAGTGCCTCGCCTGCCTCGCCTCAAATCGAAGAGTATTTCGTGGTAAAGCTGATGCATAAACGGCTAAGGCTGCAAGCACAGGCTAAGGTTTTCGCGGAAGCCTGCCGTTGCTTGATGCCTGTGAAGAAACCAGTGATGACTGATGCGTGACGCGACGGCTCGCGCTTCCGGTTGTTGACAACAAGGTCGTCTTCTTCCTCGAATTTGTGGCACGAATGTTGCTTGACTACATTGGGAAGTACTTCTACGGCTTGAGTCTGAGCTGGCAAACTATCGCTATACTCATGCAGGCTACAGTCTAAGCATAAGAGAGTGGAAGAGTCTCTTCCCGTGTGTTCTCACCAGCCGTGGCAAAGACCTGCCACAAAAGGCAGCCTAGCGTGAAATCGATGTTGAGACCGAGACCAGAACGCACGACGTAGTCGATTGCAGAGATTGTCGTAGCTGTCGCTTCCTACAGAGCAAGACCGGAATGCAAAGGAGCTACCAGCAGCTACCATGTGATTGCGTGAAGCCAGTCGTCAGTCGAAGCAGCTCCCGCTATGCATCCCCAATAGTGCGTAAGCCCATGCCCGCAAGACTTTCCGATGAGCAAGCGGCTCGCGCTCAGTTTCACTGGCGGATTGACTTACATCACAGGGATCCCCCTCCTGATCATTGATGCAGCTTGCCAGCAAGTCAGGTATGATTGTGTGGCGTGGATGGCTACGTGCAGCTGTAGTGTAGTCAGATAGCTGGGGCCGGCATACACCACGGACTCCTTGGTGCAATGGTGTCAGAACATCGCCAGTACGTCCGCTAAGCGGCTGAGAATGTACTAGTACTTTTCCAGTACCTTCGGAGACTGTCGACACTACATGGCTACTACAGCAACACTCGTCAACTCGAAAGCCCAAATGCCCGCTCGAGGCAGGCAGCTATATGTGTCAGTTCGCAAGGTTTTGCAGAAGGGCTGTTGTTGCAGAACTGTTGGGCGAGGTACTTGCTTTTCTTCCTGGTTTTTGCAGTGCTGGTCTCTGGTTCAGCTCTCGTCCACAGCTCAGAAATCCTGCGCTCGTGCCATTGGCTTGCGACAAGTCAGGTGAGCCTCAGGGAATCTTTCCCTTCCATCCTGAGGCAGAAACGTCGAATGGGTCCAGGGGTTGTGCGTGCTACGGGTGCTCAAAGCTGAACGAAGCTCAGCTGCAACTGGTTCGGTTTCTGATTCGCACCTAACGCCTGCATGTTTTGGGGTTGAGGTACAAGTAACATGGATTCTGCCGTGCTGAATTCCTTGAGGCTACGTCGGCGCCTTTGCCTCCATGTTCTCTATTCTCTCCGAGAACGGTGCAATATTGAAAGCCACTGCGGCCTGCCACAATTTTAGCCGCCTCCCTCTGACAGCGAGAGCAGCTTTCCCTGGAATTCCTCTTGGTGTCACGCTGCTGGAAGCTCTTATGGCACTTCAGCAGCGGTAGCCTCGTGCACCCTCAGGCTCTCACGACTTTCTTGCTCTGGCTCTTCGTGTCCAGCATCTTGTGCCCCGGCTTTGTTGAGCTGTGGGGGCGGAGTGTCGCATGCGTGCTGCCCGCGCCTCTCAGCAGAATCTCCACTGTGGGCTCAAGCCTTGAGATGCTGTAGGCTGTAGATCCCCCGTCCCGTGCCCGTGGCTCTTCTTACAGGCATGGCGGAGGCCGGGCCGGCCGCCACGGCTCGAAGCCGGATGGCTCTGGCCCTGGGTGTTGGTCTCGCTCTCGCGACTGCCGGGAGCCTTCAGACTTGCTTCAGCTCTCCGAGTCCTGACCTTGGCCCACTTCGCAAAGGGCACCAGGTCGAAGTTTCCTATCGGACTGAAGCAAAATTGGTCGAGGCGGCCTCAGCCGCCCAGACCGGAACAATGCAGGTGCTTGGCGTGCCCCGAGCCGCCGCATGGGTAGCGGCCGCGGTCCTGGCTGGTGCAGCTTGCGCCGCATCCCGTGGAGTGAGCCACGTTTCGATGCAGGCCAAGCATGACAAGAAGACCTTCCGCGGCAAACTCCATGCCCACAGCTTTGGAAAGTATCGCTTGCGCAAAAACAAGGCTCGCCGCATCCAGGCAATAAAGAACGGCACCTATGATCCAGACACGACAGTCCAGAATGGTCAACCAGAGCCGGAGCACAGTTGGGACTATGACAATTTGGTCGAGAACCCGATCTATTACTGCCCCGACTATCTAAAGGAGGTCATGTCGGATTATTGGGATGATGTAAACGAAGCCATGCGTAAGAAGTGGAAGGAGTACATGGGCGTCAAAGGAAATCAACGCTATTTCAAGAACTGGACTCCGCCGGAAGTGCAGACCCCTTAACTGTCCATGCCCGACCGTGAGGGGGGCAAGAAATCGTGATGTTGTCTTGGAGCGAAAAAGCTTATTGCCGAAGGATGCTCTTCATGCCCCTCTGACGAGACCTTGCACTGCTCGGGAAAATCCGAGCGGTGAGAGCAAGTGATGTAACTCGGACCAGTCCCACATGTCGCACAGCCGGTGAGAAACACTGTGTAGTAAAGGGACAGGACATGCAGGCAGCGCAGCAGACAAGAACACAGTTGCTGTGGGAGGCACTTCACGGAGAAGGACAATCCAGATGAGGAGCTTCAGGCAGGCCTTGCCTCCCTCGGTTGGCGCTTTTTCCTGGAGTCTTCTCGCCTGTTGAAAAGGAGGTTTATGCTTCGGTGCCCAGGGCGCTGTGGACAGAAATTATCAACCTGCACGGGGAGCCCAGGCAGAATTACGAGGAAGGCCTCGCAATCCCAATCTTTGCACCACCGCACTTTCGACTTAGGAGTGGCCCTGGTGCGACTACACCTGGGTGGGGAAAGCAATTGGCACTCTCCTCAACTTCGCCAGCATCGGGTGCAGCTCCCAGTGCTTCTTCTTTCTTACATCCCCAGGCGATGCATGCTTTGTTGGATTCCGTATCATGCAACGAGCCCAGGATCTGCATGATCCCTGTTGTCGTCTTCAGTGATGGCTTCATCGCCAAGGTCGTGTGGCAATGGCTTTCCATGTAGCAAACATATGTTCGAGGGGTCTAGGTTCGATGGCATACATTGACATGATGCCTATGGCCAAGTCCAAGTCTGCCAATATCCAAATAGGTGGCTGCAACTCCGAGCGGCCCGGATGGCGAGACGTTGACGATGAGTGAAATGGCAGAGCACAGATGGCAGTTGGCATACCAGGCGTTTGGGTAGCTGTGCCAGTCCGATCAACTTCACCGAATGCGTGGGTGAAAGCAGGACAGCAACGGCTTCCACCTTCTGTATGCACACCTCCTTCCACCAGAAAAGCTACACCAGCATCCGCCCCTTGGCTCAATGTTGCTGGGGTCGTCTCCGACCGGCACTGCCTTATCTGCCGAGCAGCTCTGGCCTTGAAAGTCCCTGCTGAGGCCGTCGGCCATGTATGGGCTGCTCCGGTGGCTGGTCTGCAGATGGAAAGATGATGGGGACGCCGGTCCGAAGACTGGAGTCAAGAAATCCTAGACTCCTAGACGTCCTAGCCAGCCCAACCACGCTAACATGCCACAACTCGCAGAAGGTTGCCAGGCCAGGCTTTCCGCACAAGCGAATGGAAGCCTGTGTGTGTGTGTGTTTCTTTCTTCCTGCTTCTGTAGCATCATCTCAGTGTCTTCAGGAGAGGGCTAGTATGCCACCCAGAGAAATCTGCCACAGCTCAAGGGTAACAGATAGCATGCGCAGGCCTCGAACGGATGCCATCCTGGAACCCTTACAAAGGTTTGTGTCGATCTCCTTCGTCTTCTTCGCAACCTTCAACACAGTCATGGACTCGCTGCCATCCCTCTCCAAAGAGGCGATCAGGGCAAGGGCACTTGCAAAAGGCATTGCGCAATCCATGTTACTAGTGCCAAGCAAAGGTTTTTGCTCTCTGCAGCCGTTCTGTGAAGAAGGGATGGCCTATTGCAGTGACTGCACTGTCATCACTCTTTCAAAAGTTCTACCACTTGCAGTGTCCTGTGGCCAGGAGGTATATTGTCACAACGTATCACTGAACTGAACTTTTTTGTGACTTTGATTCAAAACTGCAAAGAAGCTTCGTTTCCTTTTGTGCCATGGTCCCGGCCGTTGTTGCCGCTGACGGCGATCACAATCCAGGCGCGAACTTGCATCAGCACATGTTGTCAGCATTGCACTTCACGCCGGGTTACAGCTTCACGATCTGAGCATGGTGCAAGATGAAGAGCAGGCCATGTCCTCCCCCTGCTCCTGGCAGTGACCTTTCTGGTTCTACTGACTGTCACATGGTTGCGCTGCACGCGGCGGAAGCGGAGACATTGCTGCAGTGATTTCGCATGCCCAGATTGTTTGTTGCCGAGTGCTAAATGCTGTGCCCAGGAATGCCACGTTTGAAGAAATGCGCAGCTGGGACTGCAGCCTACATATTGTTGATCCAAGGGCGACGTCCCGTTTCACGGTATCGTTTCCTTCCGAAGCATGTTCAAAGAGCCGTCCGTGACAAGGTGCAGCGCGGGCCAATTTCAAAGAGGATGGAGGCAACTTGCTTGCGCCTTTAAGCATGGAGCTCACCGGCTCTATCGCAGCTGCCGCCACTGGCCTGGAGTTAGCACTTGCAGAGTGCGAGCGCAAAACTAGGCATGCCGTCCTTCACAAATTGGGGTTCTAATTGCAGTGGCCTTGGCTGTAATTCCTGTTCTCGGTCATTGTTTTATTATCATGACCTACTGCATTCATGACCAGGGTTTCACATGGCCGTGGCCTGCCGAGGAGGATGCACTTGTGGAACCTCAGCACGCCTTGGGCCCCTGCAGGCGAGGCGTGGGAGGAATTCTCCCAAAATGCCATGCTGGCCCACATGAATCGTCTCTTGGGTTCTGATCACTGGGTCCTTTGAGCGCGGTTCTGTCACTTGATTCCTTCAGCTCGTCGGTTCCCTCGGGGGTGCGACTTAATTTTTATCTTGTCTCACCACAGCTTGATCAGAAATCTGTCTGCAGGTACATGCTAAAGGTGGACGCCAATGGCTTCGTTTCAGGCAGGATGTTCTTATCCCAGTAGTAGTAGTTGTTGTTGGTGGCTGTGGTGGTGGTGGTGGTGGTGGCGATGTTTTTGTTTAATACTGTTTTTTTTGTTGTTTGTTTGTTCGTTGGTTGGTTTGTTTGTTTGTTTGTGTGTTTGTTTGTGCATTGTGCTCACAAAGTGGGTTTCCAAACTGCGCATCAGCCGATCAGCCCGGCCGATCGGCTGATCGGCTGGTCAGCTTCAGGGTTTAGGTTTAAGGCTTCTGGGTTCAAAAAGGGGTCTAGGGTTTTGACCGAGGCCGACTTCATCGGCTGATCGGCTGATGCACCGTTTTGGGCCACAAAAGCCGCACAAACTGTGCTGGTGTGTTTGCTTGTTTGTTTGTTTGTCTATTTGTTTGTTTGTGTGTATGTGTGTTTTTTTGTGCGGTTGCGGTTGTGGTTGTGGCTCTGGTTCTAGTTCTGGTTGTGGTTGCGGTTGTGGTTGTAGTTGTTGTTGCTGCTTCTGCTTGCAGAGAGCCATGTGATTTCCAGCATGGGCACAGGAACCGACTTGCCTATCCTGCCCAAAGAAGCCACGGCAATCTGGGGACGCTCAGATGTGTACCGGCTCAGCGTTTGCGACATAGTGCATTGATCGTCGCCGCACATTGGTTGTTGATCCTGAAAGCAACTGCCATGGTGGCGTTTGGTTGTTTCGGTTGTTGATTGCTTGTTGTTGGTTGTATTTTTTTTGTTTGTTTGTTGTTTGTTGTTCGTTGTTTGTTGTCGGTCGTGAGTTGTTGGCTGTTGTTGCTGTTGTTGTCGTGGCTACGTTTCATTGGTTACTCCTTTTGTGTTGTTTCTTTACGTTCATGCTACCACAAGGTTTCTCGGATTATGCCTGTAGAGTCCACACTGTAGAGGTCGCGGTCGACGGCCGCACCGGCATGGCCACGGCTTTGCAGAAGTGCAGGTCAGCGGCGCCTCAGCAGATATCCGAGATGTCTTTTCAGCCGGTGTTCGATTCGAGGCTTTCGATACCGGGAGTTTTGAGGCTGTGAAGAGTCTAGCTGTCGGATTGCTCCACCGCCTTCGTGCGTGCTAGGCAAGTTGCGGATGGAGACTCCGCAGCAGGGCGACATGCGATGGAGCGAGCAGAGCGAGGGGAGCGAGCTGGCGGTCTCAGAGGCAGAGACAGGGCAAAGCACTGAGTGTTGAGAGCTGGTGCGCATTTTAAAGGGGAGCGGTTCGGGAGGCTGAGGAACTGCACCGGGCTGCTGTGCTGCAGGTGCAGGGATGGATCTTCATTCAGGGCTTCCTGGTGCAAGTGGCCGCCACGTTTTGTACCTGCGACGGGGAGACCGGGGTGTTCCAACTTCGGGGGTCAATGGAGCACCTCAGTACCGATGCAGACTGCCATGATGGCATCGGGCTCGCTCTGTCCGAGACCCTGGGCACGCAAAGCCTGACAACGGCTGGGACAACAGCTGACCTGGAGCAGGATGTGGAGGCAGCCATTACAGATCCCAGTACCTCGACAGGTCATGCGGCCAAGCTGTGATTCCAAAATGCAGAATTCAGTGTTGCCACAAGAGCTGAGATAGCCAGCCGAACGCAGACCGGCATGACATATGAGGTATTGAACAAGTGTGTGATGCGTAGGCCGTGTCCGCTTGATGCCTGGCTTCTCGCGACACGCAGGAATGACAGCCACGTCAATCCTGATTTTGCGAGCACCTTTCCCTTCCCGAAGTGAAGTTGAAATTAGAGATGCATGCGCAGTACAGTTATCGCTTCTGCGGCATGACGCGGCATGCTGCCGGCGGAAGGTTTTAAGACACTCCTGGGCCCCGCCCCGCTCTGAATTTTAGATGGATAGCCGTCGGCCGACGACTCCGACGGCCATTTCGGTGCCCTGGCGGTGTTCTGCCGGTGCCGGCTCCCGGCTCCAGGAGGTGGCCTTCCGCCGCGGCTGCGGGAGGCCTCCCCGACGAAAAGAGCGGAGCACGCACCGATGCACCGTCTGCCCTCCATGAGCTGCCGATGCTCTGTGTGGATGCGGAAGTGCGCAGTGAATTGCTGCAATGACACAGTGATGAAGCACGACCCTCCCTGCTGAGCCACTTCCGCATCATGAGCTATGGCGATGTAAAGCGATTTCAACGCAAGCTCGGGGTTCTGGTCATCTTGGCACTTACCGCTTGCTAGCAAAATGTGGCTGCTGCCTTCTTCGCCTGCTTCGTTTCCACCCCACCATTTCATCTCAGCGTGCTTCGCAACAGGTGACAGCCGTGACAGAACACACTTGACATTTGACATGGTTACTTCAGCAGCCGCAGCTGCCTAGATGAGTTCGGTTTCGCTGAACGGAGGCCTGCGATGGTGAAGAGCCGTGGCCACACTGCCACCAGCTGAACCAATTCTTCGTTGGGGCGGATGCAATGCTGACCCTCGGCGAAGCCTATGGAAGTCCAGAGCTGGTCTTGGAAGATTTGGAAGCTCCAAATTGCTGTCTTGCCTGGCTTGCAGCGTTCATCTCCACTCCACCGTAGTCTGCAGCCATGACGGCTTGTCAGCAAACACACGCCTTAGCCGCTGCGTCACGAAGCTTGTGTATTTAACACGACCACTCGTGGCCTAAGTTTGATACAGCAGAATGTAGAGTAGCCTGAATAGCCCGAGGCGGAAGGCTTGTCAGATCGGACATCCCCGTCTTTCCCGCCGTAATTTAGCCACCGGCCGGCGTGGAAGCCTCATGGTCAAACCGACCACTGCCTATGCTGCATCCCTCAGAGCATTGAAGCAGCATGGAGCCGCTCGGAGACATCTGAGTGATCAGAGTCCCAGAGGGGTTTTGCATCGGCGGGGTTGCACTTGGGATGTTGGTTAAGGCGAGCTCGCAGCTGCGCCTTCCGGAGCAGCGCCAGCTTGCTTTTGCGCTGATGCAGGACTTCTCTATTCCCAAGGGCAAGCCCTCCAATGTTCTGCTGTCTGAAGCAGCCACCGGAGTTCCATGCCAGCTTATGAGCCCAGACGCGGAGCTTGGGTATGTGATCAGATGCTCCAATGGATAGTAAGTGTGGGAAAGGCCGAGCGGTTTGGCTCGGCAAAGTCTCAGCCATTGCAGTGGCTAGCATTCATAGGGCTGAACCGTTGTGGCCGAGGAGTTTGCTCGCTTTGCAGACGCATGTGGCTGCAAGGCCCCTAACCCTGGTCTGCACGACCATGCCTGCAAGCATGCAGACATGTAGAGAGACAGGTTTTTCAACCTGCCGTAGTCGTGAGTTGAGTGCATTGCGATGCATCAGAAGTTGGTCCCTGCGACGTGCAGTCGATGGGAAACCGAGCGGAAATTCGACGGAGCGTCTTCCACGCCACCGACCGAATTGATTGGAAGGCGCTGTGGGGAAGGGTTGAGGGATGGCCTGGCCTTGTGTCCGTCGTATTGCGCAGCAGCCTCGGCAGGAGTTTGTCGAGCAACGATTGCAGAATGACCTGTCAGCAGTGGAATCGATCGCCAGGCTCAGGGTTTGAAACCTTACTAAGTTACTAAGTTTAATTCTCGAGTCCACCTTGGTGAAGTCCCATCCGAGCCTAACATTGTTGCTGCACAGCCTTGGCAGGATGGAGTGCCCAGCCTCTTGACTGCAGTCGTTGTGCCCGGCGCACGAATGCTTGATGTGAGAGGGCGGTGTTGGGATATGTGATGATATGTGATTGGGCAGATAACCAGCCACAGGTCACTCTGCCGGACAAGACGATGATGGATGCGCAAGTTCCAGAGTCTGCGCCGAAGAGGATCGTTTTTGCTGGCAAGGTCCTCCGCCAACACCTGTCCATGACGGAAACACAGACATGCCGGTCGTGCATCAAGCGCTCTCGCTGCCGCTTCTTCAAAATGCCCCCGGAGGCAGGGGCGACGAGGAATGACACATCGCATCACGTCGCATGAGCCAAGAAGCGCCAAGGCAGGGATGACCGTGGGTGTCAAGCACATCGGGCGTGTGCTGCTTGGGATGTCGCAGTATGCTCGCGCACATGTGCAGCATCCCGAACAATATCCGTGGTACTTCACCTCGGGCAACCTAGCAAGCGCCACCGTTCTCCTCAATGCCCTGAAGGAGTGCCATTGGCCATTGCCTTGCCATTTTTTCTGTCAGAGAATCAAAAAAGAGGAGCAGCTCGCTGCGGCTGAAGGCCCGGGCCTGACTTGGATGCTGGGAAGCACGTATACTGTATGCCCGAGAGTGCCTGTGTAGTTTCGTTTGCAAGGCAGACCTAGCATGACAGCTTCTTGATTGCATGGCAACTTAAGCCATGCGAGGAACGTGCAGCAGCTACCCCGCTCGCCAAGGAACGATGTGGAGCTTGCAGATGATGCTTGGTGACGGAATCGGAATCGGTTGTGACTTTCGTAGCAAAGTACGCGAGCAGAGTTTTGTGATTGCCTTTTTTTCGGTCAACCTCCTTTGCCAGAGTCAGCTAAGGAAGGCACAGCTCGGGAAGTTCTGCTGAGGGAGGCCAAACGCTTCATGGCTCATTGAGAGAAAGTTCTTCCAATGCTGCGACGAAGTCGAAGTGCCGTGGAGCTTCAATGCCCAGGCAGGGAGGACCGGCGACATGCCGCAGCGGAGGAGAGGTGCTCGATGCGTGGTGCTGGGATCATGTCTGGCTGCTTCAGAAGTCTGGTAGACAGTGCCAGTCGCTGGACAAAACGAAAATGACGCCAGACTGGGGTTGAAGCGCATGCAACGAACGATCAGTGAGCAGGTTCTTGTCTCTGCCACAGTGGATGCGAGAGACTCTCCAGCCCATCCCAAGCCGCTTGGCTGCAAGACGTGCGTGGATTTCAATCAACGGTGATGGCGCACTTTCACCATGTTGAGCCAGTGATGGATTCGACTGGATTCTGCAGCCAGGCCGTGGCATGACTGCGCGGCAGCGTGAGCTGTTGGCAGAAAGTGGCATAGACATGGAGACTCGACTGAAGTCGGATAACTCCTGGCTTGGGCTTTTGTCCTTTCGGCTCGCTTGACTTGACTTGTTCTGTGCTTGCAGAAGCAGAATCCCAGATTGCTTTCTCTTGTATTTCTGTTGCATACTAAGTGTCCATGCAGGGAATGTCCGAGCCCCTGAGGGCGACGCCAGTGCCGAAGCGCCCATTGAGTTGGGCGCAAGCGATGAGAAGGACCGCAGCCCGTCGGAGGACAATCGACTGGAGCAGGTTGCGAAGTTCTGATGTTATCTAAGAGTTATCTAATTAGCCACCATGCGCTCCAGCTCATGCTCCGTGATGCAGCCTGGAGATGCCCGCGCCTGCAGGACTGGGTCGAGGAGGGCGCGGTTCCAGGCTCTTGCTTCCGTATTCCGTAGGTCGCCGTAGGTATCGAAAAGACGGTGTGATGACAACTCTTGAACTTGCAGCTAGGTCAGCCAACAGGGCCGATGATTGTGGATCCTGCTCCCGCACCCACGCCGCTACAGGCGCGGATGGGTCCCTCATCCCTCATCTAGCAGGGCTTTGCAAAGACAACTCGCGCATTCGCCTACAGCCGACTGATCCGTGGTGGGTGAGTGTGCATTCTCGCCAAGGGGCGAGTGTGCAAGGCTGCCGCCAGCGACGACTCAGATCGGCCACTTGTGGATGTCGGGGATGCGCAGGAGCAGGGCTAGCTCAGTAGAGGCAGCGAAGGCACGTCCTGCATCAGGCAAGGCTCGCAGGGCTTTGGATTTTCGAATTCCGTGCTGGCAGGAGCTTCCTGTGGTGCAAAGTCTCTTGCCTTCCCAGAAAAATACAAGGTGACGAAGTTTTACAGAGCTAAAGGTATCTCAATGAGACAGATCAGAGCTGCCTTGCCCGAAGAGATAGAGCGCGAGGAGGACAAGAAGAAAAAAGAAGAGTAGCTCCCGAAGGACTGACCCTCAGATCCCTCAGCCACAGAAGCAAAGCCAAGGATTTAAGCACCTGCCCGGCACGCCCTCCGAAGCACCGGTGCGGCAGTTCAACTCGATGACCGGCCTGGGCTCTCAGTGCGAGTCGGCAGCGCAGCGGAGCCACCGCATGTGCTGCAAAAAAGTGCGAAAAAGCCCATGACAAGGCCTGGAAACAACTGGGATCTTCCGCCGTCTCGGCGACTTTGAAGGCCACGAATGTGTGTAGCCGCATGTGCCGCGACCCGCTTGCTTGGACTGTGCAGAGCTGTTGCCTGACTCGTGCAGCCGTGCAGTATGACATGCGCTGCGAATGCTTGGAGGCCACCGCATCGACCTGGATGAAGTGGGGCTGGACGCGGAGGACGAGGGCGCATGCTGTGGGTGGGATGCAGCTTTCCCTTCCCAAGTTTATAATAAACCGCTCATTTAGGGAGAAGCTGTCGCGTTGATTCGCTCTCTTCGTAACTCCGAGCACAAGTCTCACGAAGGAGCCCAGCCGTTGGGAAGAGATCAGACCTGAAGGTGCGAGTGCTGTGCGCCAGACGGATGAGTTCAAGTGACTCTTGAGCCTGCTTGCTAGCATGTGCGCGCACCTGCAGTGTAGTAGGCGACCAACTGTGAAGATTGTCCGAGTTTGATGCCCGAACACTGATTGTGCACACATGCCGCCAGCGTGCTGTGCTGTGGTTTTGCTGTTATGGATTCTACCAGGACGAACGTGCCGCACTTCGGTCGGGTCCTTGTAGAGAGAAGAAGTAAAGTGTCCGGAAACTCAGGGCGAAACGACAACCGGAGAACGGATTTGGCAAAGAACTGGTTACAGTAGGGTTCCGGTTCTTTGAAAAACAAGTTCAGTGCAGGGTTCCCGGCTTTCGGGGCTGGGCTGTCAGCTTTAAATCCGGGGGGGTTTGTTGGGGCGGGACGTTACGGAGCATACAGTGCCTGCAGCTACCAGCACCGCTGCCCCAGGTGGAAACAGCGGCAAGCTTGATGAAGTTGGACTGAAGCTCAAGGGCGGCTATACGATTTCAGAGCTGGTCGGAGCAAACTCGTTCAAGGAGGCACAGCATTTGCTGTCCCTGTCGCCAGCAGGCCTGGAGGGGGTGCACCACTACAATGCGAACATCTCGCCGAAAATCGTAAGCCGAGAGGCGCTGGAAGAGATTTGGGATATGGGTGAAGAAAGGGGAGTCAAAGACGAGCTCCCTTTTCTGCGGAGGGTTGCCTTCGACACACCTGTGCCGCACGGCTCTGGCGGATCTGTCACCCCCGAGCGATTAGCGGCCGAAAAGCTGCTGGCACAGCCTGAGCCTGAGCTGCCGCCCGCAGCTTTGCGAGATCCACATCCGCAAGGCGGTGCCGAACTAGACCTGCATGGGCCCAAAGAGTCTGTCATCGATTTGGATGAGCCACTGGAAGATGACAGCATTTTCGACCTCGATGCGCGCCTGGCATCTGACGCGATGCGCTTACAGCGGACAGCTGCGATGAATACCGTCGATGCAAGCCATCCGCAAGACAGTGAGGAGCCTGCACCACAGGCAGATCCACGTGAAACTGAGGAGAGGCGCTTCCAAGCATGGCAGCACCGCTCCAAGACTCGAGGTGTCGGGGTGTTCGACCCCACAGTGGACTTCAAGTACATGAGTGACCCAAACAGACTGGAGCAAGTTGGCGATCTGGACGCTGAAACCAGTGGCATCTACTTTCGGAGCAGTCGGCCGCTACCACAAGACGAGGACGGGAAATTGGGGCTGCGTCCCATCAACACGTTGATGGTCGCCACCCCCCTAATTGAAGCGCCTTTGCATGTGGAAACAGTCTCGTCGAGATGCACGTGCATCATGCTTTGTGCACAGATCCTCGCGCGGTGCTAGAATGTTGTGGTCCGTATTGCAGTAGCTGGACGGATTTCGAAGGCAGGCATGCAACTTGACGCTGCAGACGGGATCGCAAAGAAGATTGGGCCAGGACTTCGTCTCGACGTTTCGGCGACCCCTCGATGCACAAGAAGCCGACCAGGCACCGCTGGGGCCCAATGCGGCCACAGTGGATGTCCAGGCCCGCGGCCTGCATGTCGGCAGTGGGTGAGCTGCGTGCAAGAGCTCGAGATCTCAAAGCATCTCAGGCGCTCAAGGAAGACACCAGTCCGAAGGCGGCTCTTCCAGACCCCGAGGACTCGGCATACGTGCGTCTACCGAGTCCACTTGCAGCGGCAGCACCGGTCTTTGGCTGGTTCAGTTTGGGTTTCGACTCTGAAAGCTGGTGAGTGACAAGGTGGTAGTGTTAGTCTCATGGTGAGACTTGCAGGACCTGGGTGACATTATCTTCCCGTCACTGCCGGGTGTCGGGCACCGACCGAGCCACAAGGCTACCAGCAAAGAGCACCTCGGCTGAAAGTATCCCACAGATTCCTTCACATGTGCAAGAGGTGCATCTCATGATACAGACGGGCCGAGTCTCAGGAAGGACTTCAGCCGACGCGCAGGCGCGTCCCGCCAAGCGCCGCAGCTCGGCAACGTCCGCCAGGCCGGGTCGGCAAGGTGCGATAGGCGGGAAGCTCCAGCGCTTGAGCTTCTCAGGTGCGATTGAACGACAACTTGGCAGATCTGGTCAAGCCTGGTGCCTGGGATTGCACACATGCGGAGCCATGCGGGTGACACCATCCCTCTCTCCGCTGTGCGACGGGAAAGCGAGCAGGCAGGTAGGAATCCGTTGCCGCAGGTGCGCAGAGCTCGGCCCGTGCAGCATTGCGGCCGCGGCTGGGGGAAGTGTGACTCGGTAGTGTAGAGGCAAAGATGCTTCGACGGCCCTTCAGAACGAGCCACGCACGCAAGGCCTCAGATAGGTCCGCATAGGCCTGCAGTGAAGCAGGAGTATTGAGTATTGCGTGCTCGCTGCAAGTCTTCTGACCTCTGCCATTTGATGCACTGCAGAAGTGCCTTGAGGCAGCAGAAGGATGGTGACGATCCATGGCAGGCCCGAGTTTAAAGCTGGCTGTGCGGGATGTCGAATTCAGGATGCTCAACGCGTCTGGGAGGAGGGAGGTCGGGAATGGAACGCTTCTTGACCTCGCCCTTGCCGTGAAAGGATATGCAGAAGCCCAGCCTCACAGCGAAAGAGATCCAAGACAACCGGAAGCTTTGGCAAGACAACTCTGAAGGAGAGCTTTCGCTTTTTGATAGTAGAGGCCAGGTGGCTAGACACCGAGATGCCATTAGCCACGTCTCCCGCCGTTGTGTGGGAAGTTTTGGAGATACTTTTATTCCCGAAGGCGCTTTCTGGCTGAAACCTTGCAACGAAACGCATGGTGTCTTGTCATCTTGTGCGCAGATGTGTGCGGCTGCTCTCCTTGGAGTTCAGCTCTCAGTCCGCTGGCCCAGGAATGCGGCCATGGCAGCACAGCGCGTGCTGCATCGCCACTTGAAAAGGAGCTCGAAGTTGAACCAACATTAGCTGCTTCTCTGCGCAAAATGTCGACTTTGCGATCCTGCTAGGACCAATCTGCAGAAGTATGGCGCGACCAAAGAGCGAGCGCGATAAAAAAGAATCCGGAATACTGCATAGGTAGAGGGACGTTTTGTACTGCCAGTGTACTGCACTTCAGCGGGTCGACAGGGGAGGTGCTCTTCTGTTGTGCAAATTTACTTCTCGGATATTGGGTTCCCCCCCTCCCCTGCCTGCACTTCCAACTTATTCGATGCCTGCAGACCTTCTGATCCAAGGGCCGCCTTCTTTACCGTGGAGTTTATCTCCCGCGTAGTCGTTCTGAGGCGCAGACCTGTCATCCGGTGCGGCCCCTCTAGTCGTATAGAGAAGCAATCTGCGCGTATAGTAGAACACCGTTAGCAGACATCCTGGCAGGGGAATGTACCTACTTTCCTTCATTGGCATCGTCGATTTGCTCTCCCTGTCCGCGTTCCTCGTCACGCTAGGACCTGCAATGTGGCTGGGCTGCTTGGAGATGTTCGGGGCGGCTCTTGGAGATGTTCGGGGCGGCTCACTAACAAGAAATGGTATCCCTCAAGAATTCTGAGATGTGCAGATCACGCATTCGTTGTACGCAAACCGAGGCACGATGCCGGACTCCATCCAAACTACGAGGCGGCGAGCTGGGGCCTCAGGCGATGTGGTTCCTGGAAGCTGCCTTCTTGCATCTTGTGCAACGAGGTGCGAAAGAGCTATGGAGGGATCTGATTCTTCCACTGCGGCTCATGCGGCTAATGATGTTGGAGCCAGCATCTCAGAGGATGTGTGCTGCATGGTGCAGTCTACGTCAAGCACACGTTGCTTCGCGTCTGAGTCAGGTCCTGGGCACCTGCCATTCAATCACTATGCGATGTCATTTGGATGCAGGCCGCTGTGGCCTGGACTGCATCTGCGTCTCAGTCCGTTTGTCAGGATTGGGTGTGAAGCCTTGAGGGTTCTGGAACTTGCAAAGGCAGCTATACATTTGTACAACGCATTTTTCCGTGGAATGCATGCGCTGTTGTCAGCTTGGGCTTCAAACATGCTTGTCTTCCAAGGCCCTGCGAAAAGCTTGCTATGCCCTGGTCTGTGTCTGGTGCGCCTGTTTCTCCCGCTTCGGCATGAGGAAGCCATGCTATAATCCACAAGCAGAGGCAGTTGTGTTGGACGGCAGGGGTTTCTCAGACCGACCTGCTTCAGGTACATGTTCACCGTGAGTCTCTATGTTTTGGAGAGGGATTCCGCGGACGAGGAGATAAGCGCCCGCTTTGAAAATGTGCTGGTGGGCCTCCCGCATGGCTTGATTCACCTTACTGGCGCACCTCGACCTGACATGTCCTGACCCGGAAAGTCACACGCTTCAGGTGCTTACTTCGCTCACAGGTGAGTGTAATGCTGTCATGCACATGATATCTGAAGACATCCTCTATCTAAGGATTACCCATGCACCAACTACAGCAGCCTTTCGGTGCCCTTCCACCTTGCCGCGAGCTCGGTGTCGACGACGATTTAGCCTGGTGGTGCCAACTGAGCTTATGCTGTTCTGTAGTTTCGGGGACCTCCAGTGCTCCCTGCAGCGAGAGTCGGTCAGCAGTCAACAACCGCCCCGCCTTCAAGTCAAGGTCTTTTTGATTCTCGGGATGTGTTGCACTGGCAACTTGGCTCATCAGATCGTGTGGATCCCTGTCGCGTTGAAGTGTCAGAATGCGGCGCTTATGTGTCGGAGGGGGCACTAGCATCGCAGAAGCCTTCCTTTCCAGCCGTTCGTACGAAACGGTAAATATCCAAAATCTTACCGCGTGCAGCACCAAGAGTTGAGAAGAGTTTCCGAGGCACATTCACCGGCATCTTTGCAGGTGGCTTCGTGGAATACTTGGGTGCGCAGCGCGACATGGAGCGCCGCCAGGTCGATCCAACACGGTGGAGCAGCACATTGAAAGCATGATAAGAAGCCACAACCAGCTGTCAGCCGGCACTGCACTTCCCGGAACCGGAACGGCCTCGCCTTGTACATATCCCGTGAGCCACTGGAGACGTTCGCCTCTGGTGCGAGGCCGCGGAAGAGCGAGTGCGGATCATGGTCGCTGCGGTCACTCGGATATTTGCCCGACCGGTGCATGACCGGTGCTAGATCTCATGCAGCTCACCCCCCAAAAATACAGGAATTCAGGGCGCCTCGGCGTGCTCATAAATAGGGTAGATTGAAGAACAGGGAAACAGCGCGCTGCTTGCCCCCTGCTTGAGGTTTCCGTCCTTCAGCGGCGAGTCCGGGCTCGGCAGCGGCAAGCGAAGCCTGGCTTCTGAGAGTCCCACCTGACCGGAATCACGTAAACGCTAGGAGTCGCAGATGGTATCTTCGCAGCGTTTTGTTTCCGAAGTGGCAGAACATCAAAAGTGGCCCAGCATTTGCCACTGGCTTTCCGAGGCGCGGCTTCTCCGGTGAGCTGCCACGCTACAATCAGGCTCGGGACTCGGCCAAAAACGAGTTGGAGCGGGCTTGATGCTGCACGGAGCCCGGGATTGCTTTGTCCAGGTGACGATGCAAAAGGCCGCGCAGCGCTTCTTGACGGGATTTGGAGACAGAATTCGGACAGCTTGGCGGAGTGCGTCGCAACCAAGGTCTGCTGAAGAGGCAGACAAGCCTGGGCCGTGTTTTCATGAGTTTGGCCCAAGCTGCACTAATGGTCAATATTCTGAACACCATGAGCCTCGGCTTGCAAGTTCGGTCCGATTCAGGGTCGTTTCTGCTTAAAAGTTTGCCAGCCATGGAGCAGACTTTGGTCTTGGCTCTCTAGGCCCCGACCCTGCGCAACAGCAAGTTTTGCTAGGTATGTGTAGACACAGTGTATAATCTCAGCAAGTTTGTTTTCGTCAGATGCTCAAACGCGATGACCTTGCCTACGAAAGCTGTCACAAGTCGCTTGGGCAGTGCAAGGTTGGAGTCTATCCCGGAAGTGGAAGAACTGGGACCAGCAGCCCGCAGAGCATTGACGCTTGTTGAAGTGGCGGCTCAGAGGCATCCAGAAATAGTGGTCGTGGAAATTGAGCGGCCATGACCATCATGTCGCTGTCCATCAGCTCATGATCCATGGTTACATATGAGGTCACCGGGCTTGTCTTTGCCATCGAGTTCTTCCTGCATTTCCTGGCACGTCCGCTTGGCTCGCCACCTAAACGGGTAGAGGGAATGCAGCTCTGTCAATTTGCCGGATGCCATCGTTTGATGTCGAAGCACGGAGTAGTTCTGGATTCAGGCATTTTCACGACTCCAATGCGGATGATCGACTTCGTGTGTTTGCTGCCGACGATTATGAGGCCGGAAAGGGCCAAGGTTTACGATTGAAACACACAGAGACAAGAGATCGCTTCAGCGGATGCAGGGCGCGCGGCCCTTGTCCTGACAAGCAGTTGATGCGCACATGCCACGGATGCGTGAGATGCTGTGGCCATGCTGAGGGTCAAATTCCAGCTCCAGAGCACGGAAGCCCAGGACAATTCTCCAGGACCCGGAAAAGATCCTGGGAGTGGGGTTCTCTTCAACTCAACTTGTGCTTGAGTTCTCCGGACGATCCACTAAAAACTGGAAGGAATGGAGGCGTTCATCGAGAGCGTGGCTGCTTGTCGAATCATTCGGGTGCTGGACTGGCCCGGCATCGCAAGAGTGGCTTGGAATATGAGCCCCCCAAAAGAAAATCTCCCCTGATGACCCTCGACATGCAGTGCTCTATTGCTTCAGGAAGTGAGGGCGGTGAAGTCGACGATAAGGGCGGCGCTTCCGAGCCTCGCCATGCCCGCGGTCATCAGCCTGGAGCTGTGGGTGCTTACAGCAGGCCCGTGGCAAAGAACGGCTCGAACTGAAGGAGGCAGTTCTTTTTCGCTGCCTTCCTCCCGAAGTCGAGGTATCTTCGTCTGGGTGGAGAACTTTTTCTCGAAGGACGACGAGCCTTCGGACCAGGAGACCTGATCCTCTGTTGCCACGCGAGTGCTTCCAAAAGTGAGCAAGGAGCACATGGGCTCTATCCCCGATGCGCTGTACTGGTGCAGCATCTACCTACTCGGTGAATGGGCAGTTTGGGCCGCAGGATAACATGGTATTACAGGGTTGTTTGGAGTTGGCAGCTTCGCAAGACGTATTTGCAGTTTGGGGTGTGCAGGGGCTTGGCGTCACATGCCTTCCCACATGTGGCGGCTTCTGTGGGGATGAGCTCAGGCTAACGATGAGTTCACCGATGGCGCTGGCAGCCGCATGTGCATCTTCTACTGTCTCTGCGGGGTTGCGCTGTTCTCCATTCCGGCGCCTCGGGCTGGCGCAGCTGGCGCTTTCGGCGTGTGGGGGTCGGCTTTGAGAACCCATCCGAGGTGGGAATCATGGTAGAAGCCGGGCAGTCCACCCTGCTGAAGATTGCGGACGTGCCTTGGACTGCGAAGTTCGAGCGAAGCCGTGAAGTCCCAAAACCGCCGAACCGCAGACCGCAGCCGCTCCGCTCTGAGGAGCGCCGTGAGCTGGAGCAGCTTCGCCAAGCGAGCCGCAAGGCCGGAGCCATCGCTCCGAAAGCAACGGGAGGAGACGAGAAGGTCGACATGCCGGCCGTGGCCAAGAAGGTCGCTGCCGGAGTGCTTTATGTGACATATTGATGACATGATAAGAGACAAAGGATGTGGAGTGGTGCAACAGCTCCTTACAGATCCTACGCAGAACTGCTCAGGACACGCCTGAAGAGGCAGAGCCGAAGAAAGTCGACGACTGACAGCCGTCCCGCCCGATCTGCTTCCGAGAACACCGGTGCCTTTTCATGAGTGGAGCTTCCAGGTTTCCAGGAATGCTGAAATCTAGGCGTGTGCGTTCGACCACACATCTTCGTGGCATCGCCAGCAAGACCGAAGTGCCCGTGGGTGACGCCCATGGTTTCAGCCACGGTTTCATTGCAAGCGAGGCAAAACCACGTCACAACGAGTGTTTTTGCACATATCCGGCATGCAGTGCGCAAGATCATCTTGAACCCTTCCGGCAGCAGCGCAGGTTTGAGGAGACTTTGCAGGATGCAGCAGAGGCCTTGACGAAAGACCCGAAGTGCTCCAATGCGAGGGGCCGAGGTTTCTGCTTTTTTGCGCGAGACTGTCGACTGGCATGACTGGCATAACAGACCGCGAAGCTGCAGTTCTGGCTACAATGCATAGCGAGTGGTGCAACACAACAGAAGTGCACTGGCCAAGGCGTCCTACTGGAAGGGCATCGTCCTCCTCACATGCTTGTGGGTTGACAGAGTCTTTAGCAGGGGTTGCTGGCATCAGTTTAAGTTAAGACAAGCTAAGCTTCCAGGGTTTGGCATCGGTTTGTTCGGCAACCGGTCGACTTCAGAACAGGCATGACGACAAGCCGGCAAGTCTGTCCTCCATTCTGCCAGGCACTGTTCTACATGGGAGACTTCGCAGCTGCGAAGGCGACACTTTCATTCGAGGACAGTACTGCTTTGCCTGTCCATTGCCTGTGAGGCTGCGTTTGAGGCCTCGCAGCAAACAGCTGTGAATTCACAGGCGGCCCGGTGTTGCACACCCGTTCGCGGCTTTGCAATGGGCTCTGTCCCGTCCTCGTCTCAGGCTCCCCGGGCCTTGTGGCTCCGCAAGTGCGATGCAGAGCTTAGCGGTTCCACTTTGCCGCTGATAGGCGCCGGGCTCCCAGAGAGCGAGGACTACATGGAGCGACTAGCACTCACGAGCCTCTGCGGAAACATTCTATGCACAGGTCACCGCCGAGATCAGTAAGGCGGGAAAGCAAGTTCACACCGTGACAATCTTGCACAACTCACCCGAGTGATCACTAGCGTTGACACTGCAGCATGCGCAGTCCATCCAGGCTTGCGAACATCGAGCTGGGATTCATGACGGTGTCTGATCGTGCAGGTTAATCTTGCAGCGTGGCTCTGGCAAACTCCACGAGACCCCCACAAGCAGCCCCACAAGCAGCGTAGCCCTCAACCATTCGGACCATATTTTTCGGCAACGTCGCCGGATCGGAGCGGCTTCGTCTAGCGCAAACAACGAAACTAAAGATGCAGAAACGGCAACACCTCGAAAGCTTGTATTACTTACCGAGCTCTTGCGCTACGCCATGCGTTGCTCGCGGGCTGCCTTCGCGGTGCGATGGCGGCTGAGGCAGGCGTAGCACAGAGGACCATCGTTGGGCTGCTGAGTCTGACCTGCCGGAGCAGGTGCTGGAACCAGCATCGCCAGGCACATGCATTGCAACGGAGTAGTTTGGGCAGGGAAGCCCATGTGCAGATTTTGACCCTTGAAGATTACATTAACTCACCATCCGGATGCTTGCAGCGATGATGCTTCGAGCTGCTGAGTCTGTGCAGCAATGCTTCTACGTCCCATCTCACATGCTAGAATAGTTAGAAGCTGCTTCTGTGATTCTGTACGGTTCTTTACAAGTGACACACTCCCGCAGCAAGACGAAGCAGTTGAAGACTTGTGCAACCAAGCTCCACCCCCGCACTGCAAACTTGCAAAAGAACCCATCAGTCAGCCTTAGCTTGCGATTTCGCGTCGGGGCCGCCTGATGCAATGGCACTGCAGCAAGAACCAGATTCAGAAGGCAGATGCTGATCTCGGGGCATGGACAGGGCATGCTAGGCCGCATCCATTGCTGCACTGCAGCATTTTGTAGGCCCTGGCCTGTGTGTGTATTACAGTTTGTACAAACCCTGAACTGACATTGCTGCTTGCAGTGCTGGCGTTGCTTGGCGAGGCAACCACTTTGTTACATGCAGGGATGGCACATCGAAGCTTGCCGAAAGGAAGCATGATTCCACGAGCAATGACGAGAATGAGATTGGAGCAGTAGTTGTGATCCGAGGATTCGCTGCCGGCTACTTCTCGGCGGACCGGCAGGTGATGACCGCCTGGATCCCAAAGCCCGCACGGCCATCTGCTTGCACGGCATCGGCGAGGATTTGAGCTTTTGGGAAGAGGCGCGAGGCTTTGCCTGCAGGGAAATGAGGCGGAGCGGTGGTTTGCTCTCATCCTGTCAGGGAGTCTTCCGAACAGAGGAACTTCCGGAGAACTTCTCAGGCGGACATCTGATTTTGTGGGAGATCTCGGGGAAGTGTCAGCTCTGAACTGCATCTGGCCAGGCTTCGATGCCTCAATGCCGTCCACGGAAGGAACCGGGCCTGTAGACCCCAGTGACAAGGCACGAGGACAAAATCACTGCCACATGGGTGGTTGTCCCCTTTTTGGATACCCTAAATAATAGGTGCCGTAGTATAATCGGGACCCACAGAGGGACCATAATTTTGACAACCACCCATATATGCTGGTTGGAAGATGTCAAGTCGTCCGCCTTGCTCCGCCTGAGCGCAGCCAGCTTGAGGTGCGAAGAGCAAAGTTCTCTCGGGCTCTGGCAAGGCGAGTGAATGTCCGGTGCTCGGTTGAGACACAACTGTGGTCACATGTGCACCGCGGGCCATGCGAGGTCCTGCTAGTGGATCAGCGTGGCTTTGGGCGGTCCGACCGGCCAAGGAGCAGCAGAGCCATGCATTGTGACAGGGGCTGGTGGGCGGTTACTGTGGGGGCTCCTACAGGCCAGCAGCTGCTTGCCTGGCACGTTGCGTCTTGCTTATCGTCCAGGACGCTGGCCCCGCTCCAGGACGAAAACATCGTACTCCTAACCACCTGGAAAGTGCGAGATGTTGCTAGCTTCACAGCTGCGGCAACTCGGATGAGAACTACTTGTACCGGTTTAGCCTTCAACGCACAGCCATGCAGAGTTGTTTCCTGCGTTTTTTCCTCCGTTTTTTCAGGCCAAAGCGGAGCTGAACTGCGCACGCAAGGCTGGGGCTGCAGCGCACAGCATTTCCCTTTGTGGTGGCACCTTGGCCCAAATATTGCAAAGTGCTCTGTGACACGAGCAATGGCTGTTGAGAGACACCGTGGCTGCGTTTGGTGAAGCGAGCGACACCAGGTAAAGCCCTGGTCCGCAGCGTGTTTCGAGACACTGGCGTTCTTGTGTCCTGGACCGGACAGCTTTGAAAGCTTCAACAGTGCATCATGGGGCCTCGAGGCATGTGTGAAGGTCTCCAAACCTGCCGTCGCAAGTCTCACATGGTACGTGCTACCGTGAAACGCAGATTCAAGCATGAGCAAACTGAATCCAGGCCTGATCAAACCTGGAGCCCTGGGCCCTGGATCCTCGCTTTCAGAGTCCTTCCGACTTCATTGACTTCATCCTGAAGTCCCCAAGGCCCAGAGTCTAGACCCAAACGTTTCGATTCGGTTGAGACTGCTTCGGCCTGACGGCCTCACAGGGTTCCGGCCGAGTGTGCGTGCACGTGCTACTAATCCTCGCATTTTGTAACTTGACGTTGATCAAGTCGCCCAGTAGTTTAGGAGTTGAAAGCATCATCAACAAAATCAAAGACAGCTTTGGCAAACGCACTAAGGGGATGCACATGCACGCCTTGGGTTCCTTGGCCGCCGAGCTGCGCCTCGAGGCCTCGTTCAGCTTTTGCTCTGGGAGTCTTGCGAAGGTGACGCGAAGCTGTGCGCACAAAAGGACTACCACAAAGAAGCCATGCAATAGTTCTTCTGATCAATCCAACACATTCATCTAAAGCTGATCTAAAGCCTGTCTTTGCTGCGTGTCGTGCGTCTGATCAACAGATCATGCCCGGATTTGGCCGCTCTATGTGGCTGAGCAGACAAAAGTATCTTTCCTCTTGGTTACGGCGTCGGCATTCGCGCCGCATTCACTTTGAGTTGTCGCGGAATCAAAAGCCGACAATTTCCTGTCCGGACACCGTTTTCAGGATCCGCCGAACTGCACTCATTCAGCCGCGAAGCGGACGCCGACTTCCAAATGCCGTTTTCGAGCTGTGTTTCGTCCCACCGAGCCAGGCATGCAGCACCATCGAGTCGTGCACTGTTGCGGCGCCGCAAGGAAGACTAACAGTGTCTCAGCAAGTCTGGCGGGATTCGTTTGTGGTTGGACATCTTCCAAAAGAACTGGGAGCGAGGAGACCATGCCTAACCTATTATTTCTTACAAGTTCTAACTTTTTTCGGCGCAACGAGGAACTTGCCTACATCCAGCAAACCGTGCTCGACAAGGCAAGCTGTGTTCCGATGAGCGTTTCGTTCGCGATCACTTTGAATGCTCTGACGTGCCTGAACAAGGGCAGTGGGGTCCCTCAACCGAGTTTCTGGAAAATTTAGCGCCAGAGTTGCTAGTGACGAATTGGTGACTGCCTCTCGTACACGGAACAATGACGTGCTACGGAACTAAGAAGAATGGGTCGAATTCGGAGATGCCTGATTGATCCTGCTAGTAGCAACGACCCAAAGAGCCAAGAAGTTGCCGTGCCTTTCATCCTCACTAGATTTCGTAACCACCTCTCAAGCGTGATTTCAATGGTGCTGGCATTGAAGTCATACACCGAAAAAGAGCAACTAGTCGGGATGAGTTCTGCACCGAGCGGTTTGCTGCAAGGCAGAAAAGCTGCGCAAGAGCAGGGCATCGTTCTTCAACGAATCCCCGTCAGTCATTCATGATTTCTTCTGCCATCTTGACATGTCTGCACATGTCTGTGATTGCAAGTTGGGTGGCGTAGACACCTTGATGTCTGGTTGCTCGACGAGCTTGGCACATGTGGAGGGCACCCGCCGCATACAGTCCTCAGGATCTGGCTTCCCCGCCAAAGGCCTTCGTCTGCCACCGGCTCCATGGTGGTGGCGTGGCATCCCTGGAGGAGTGGCTTGGTGCTGAATTTGAGCAGCTTGGTCAAGCCTCACAAGACATGGGCGAAGCCAGTCATCCGGAATTCAGGCGGAATTATGGCGTGCATTGACCAACTTGGAAGTTCGGGCTAGCGGCTAGGGCATTGAAGTTGGGATTGATCCAAGTTCCCCTGAGCTTCGTCAGGTTTGTGCAAGAAGTGCGTGACAACGATGGTGCTTGTGCCTTGACAAGCATCCTGTGGCAGGAGCATGCAGGAGTTGTCCTGGCCGCTCGCATCTTATGTCCTGCCGAGGCATTGCCCTGAGCATCTCGGTTAGCCCGGATGGCCAAAATGCACTGGCTCTAGGCAAGGCTGGCAAGGGTTGGGAGAATCGACTTGCCAAACAAGCGCTAGACGTGGACGAGTAAGCTTCCCTTGGTTGAAAGCCAAGTCAATAGTTGCTTTCCAGAGCGGCTCATTGCAGCAGGGCAGTTTACTGACCTCACTGGGGCGGTGACATACATGCAGCAGTTGACGAGCTGGGCGGACAGCAATGCTGCCTGGCTTGAGCTTGTCGCACTGTATGCCCATTTGTTCCTGCATGATTTGGTGTGTGTGTGTGTGTGTGAGTTGTGGGCGTGCCTCCTTCGTGATCTCAGGGTGGCGAAGGTGCCTGGCAGGTGGTCTCGGTTCAAATCCATGCGCGAAGCGCAGTGCTGAAGACGCTTTCCACACATACCTCGCTGCCAAAGAAGCTGGAGGTCTGTCAGATGTATCCTTTGTCCTTCGAAGACTCTGACGCAACAGATCGGACGGCAACCATGGAGGACTTCGTCTCGGATGTGGAGCAAGTGCGATTGTATGCTGGAGCATCCAAAGCGACGATTGTTGGCCATTCCATGGGGGCGGCGATTGCACTGCAATACGCCATAAGTGGCTCGGTGGCAGATGTTTGCCTTGTGAGGCCGCCATCTTGATGTGTGCATGTCTCCAGAAGCCCTCAGGCTCTTGCAAGAAAATCTCACGAGAGACCAGTGCAGGCCATCCCCATCGTGTGGAGCGTCTTTGCCTCTCGGCCGCCGCGCCCCGTGTGGGCCCGGCTGCCTACGAAAACTGGATGAGGAGATTTGGGAGTTTTTCTTAAGAAGTGTCCGAAGACCAGACATTTTCACACAGCATGGCTTGTGTGTTAGAGCTTGCTCTTCCGTTCCGGCGTGTGTCTGCTGCATTGGAGGATTGCCAGCACCTACCAAGCCTGGAACCCGAATGTGATCCGCAGTACAGTCGCGGTCGTAAATGTGGCGGACGAAGCCATTCGGGCACTGGCTGCACCTACGCTTTTGATCAATGCCAAAGACGACCAACTAACACCCTTGATAGGGTCTGAGATGATCAAGGCCAACCTACAGACTGCACTTCTGCACGTGCCAGAGTTTGGAGGGCACAGCAATTTGGCCAAGAACGATGCCTCCATGGAGCGCCTAACCCATTTCATGATCTCTGACGAGGCTATGATGTTTCTTACTGATGTGCTCCTGGAGGAGCAGCTTCTGAGCAAATGGAACCTACCCAACGACAAAGCTTTTGTTCGCTACTACAACTGCGGTCGCGGCCTGGCAGAGATCGAGCGCCTCGAACGCAGCCTGCGTCTTCTTCGATGGTCGTCCGGCGATCATCAGCAGGAGAAAGCTGCCCTAGGAGCAGACATGGCGAAGGTGTTGAGAAACTTGGGACTCCCCACTGACACGGACGAAACACCGCGTGATCGGCTGATGGCAGAGATGATGAGCATGCTGGGTCGGATGTCTGCCCCGGCCAGGCAAGCTATCGACAATTCTGGAGTGTGGTGGAGGGACGACGGAGCTGCAATGGGACTTCCCGACAAGCGAAAGTACAGCGTAGCCCCTGAGCAGGAAGCTTTTGTTCTCTTGTAGGCTTTGGCGCAGGTGTTGGCTTTGGAAGTGACTGCTTAGTGTCCTATTCCTGTCGTCGTTTGTGTGAGTTCACAAAGCTGTACTCCCAACAGTATGGTTTGTCTTGAGGACTTGATGTGTGCACTGAGGATGCATGGGGCCGGCGCAGAGGTGGTTGCAAGCAAGGCAACTGCTTCGTCTACCGTTGGGACCTCTCTGTAATGCCACAGCTGCTGCAGCGTGGGTGGCTGTCAGCTGGGCAGGCAGGCAATTGCATGGTAGCGGTACTTGTGTCGTGACATCTATGGCGACATTCTGTCAACGTGCTGCAGCAGGCTTCCTCGCTTGGCTCCGACTTTTTTGCATGCTGGTGGTGCGGGGGCCCGCCTGCGGCCCACGAGGATCTTGGGCCAGCCAGCAAGGCGCGCACCAAAAAGTCAGGGGAAGCACCTGGAAACGACCCGCAGAGCCGCAGCAGCAGTCCTCCGCCAGGAGGAGTTGGCGGCGCACTGGCATCTCCAGGAGCCCGAGAAGGCAGGCTGCACTCCAGAGATCTCAGCATTGGCATGTCTCTTAAAGTGTTGTCTTGAAGGGGTAGGTGAACCTGGAGCCTAGTTGCCGAGCCGTGCAGTCGCTTGATGCCGGTGAGCGTGCGCGAGGAGGCAGGAGGAGCAGAGCAGTGGAAGCACATCGGCTATCCGCTGCATTACGAGCGCATCCTGATCCCTATTGAGTTCTTCTACACTAGGACTTCCGGGTAGGCCCAAGGAGCCTTTGAAAGCAGGACTGTTGTGGTCTTTCCTGGCAGGGTGCCATGACTCTTCTTGAACGGTGGTTGAGTGCCTCAAAACTTCAGGCATGGAAGCCACGACGCCCCAGCCGCTTTCGGCAGCCTGAGTTTAGATGACGACCCGCAGCATCAAAAGGGTTCTTGCCTTGCTTATTTTTGGGGAATCTCTGAGTCGGTTGCTCCTGTGTCAGGGTAGCTTCGTTCAGAAAGACTGTCCCTGGATCGAGCCGCTGAAGGCCAGGTGTGCGACGCTGTTGCTGGACGGTAGGACCAGTAGGACAGGATAACATGGGCAGGGTGGGTGGCACGGCTTGCCTAAAGCGAGAGGCAAGTCCGAGTGTGAGTGCTGAAAGCGAGAGGCTTTCTTGGGCTTTGTGCTGGGGCGTGCCTTGATTGGCTGACCCCTGGAGGCACTTGGCGCCTCGCGGCCAGAGCCGCGAAGCTGCACTCATGAGGGTTACCGCGGATTCTGGTCATAGCATCAGAATAGGGAAGAAGGGTCGCAAGAGCCTCCATCCTGACTCTGACTTACTCAGACCAGCTTCACATGCAGCACAGGCGGGACGATCTGCTAAGCAGTCTTCGCTTGAAGTACGAGGTCGCAGAAATCTCGTCGTAGCCTCAATGCAGTCCAGGATTCTAGTCTGGACTGTCCTCCCTTTGGGCGTTCGCGATTGCTGAGGCAGTGGGCCCAGAACTGCGACCTGGTGGCTTTGCAGGCTCGCTCTTGAACATGAGCTGCGGCCTCTCCTTCATAGCTACGGCTCCAGGAAGTGGATGCGGCACTGCGCTCCACTCTCTGCCCGAACTCCGACAGCCGGGAACTCGGAGAGCTCAGCCTGCGTGCAGCATCAACTTCCAGCCATGCACCGCCGGGTGATTTCGATTTTGCAACTTCGACTTACGCGCTTGCTGTCAAGCCACCGCCATACTGTAGCTGCAGCATGCGCCATCAAGATCGACTTGGTGCTCACGGTGTGTGAGACCTGCTCGCGTTTCCGAAGGGTCTGTTTCTCCGATCGTTTCGCTTTTTGCTGCAGCATCCTCAGGCAGCGGATGCTGGGTGGCGAGCTTACACCTTTAGAACTGACGTGTGACGACGCTTCGGAGATACTGTTCATGATTTGGATTGCAGCCGGCAGGCTTTCTATATCAAGATCTTAGGTCTGATAGTACTGTCATGAGCACCCTAAAAGAGCGATGAGCAGACTTCTTTAGTTAGCACAACTAGGTTGACTGCGTTCGAGGTGGAGAGCGCCTGGCACGTTGATGGCCGCGGGGTGCGTGTGGATTCCACTGTGGCGATGTTTCTCCCGCCCGGTTCGCAGTTCGAGGTGGTTCGATGCCTTGCTGCATCTAAAGTTTTCACGATGAAGGCTTGCTGCGGCCGCGGTTCTGCGCCATTTAAGGCTAGCAGCGGAGGCAAGAATAGGTCCACCGGAATACTGTGGCTTCGTTAGGCGACCGGTGTTTCACTTAGGAACCGACCACTGCGAGCTGAGGGTTCAACTTGAAAGTGGGTGCCTCGAGCCGACAAGACTTGGGCAGAAGGCTTCGGCACATCTGCTTCAGGGTCCTAGATTCAGGTCCTAGATGCTACGCTTGTGCTGTCGACTCCGTATGTCACGGCCCTTGCAAGATGTTGCTGCGGTCATCGCTCGCACTGGGCTCAGGCGCTGCGCTGCACGGGATCATGTGGCGGCAGTCGTTTCCGGAGGTGGTCAGCATCTTGCAACAAGGATGCAGCGGCTGCATGTGGACCTTCGGTGTTCCTCTACGCCGGCTGAAACGTGCAGTTGAGGTAGTGTGCTCGGTGCATCTGCACCAACCCGGATGCAAGAGCAAGGCGACTTGGCACAGCATGATCAGGCAGAGCTCGGTTTGGACGGTTGGTCAGACACGTCGCGACAGGCGGATATGTGAACCGGTGCATGAGCGTGGCGGACATCCTTTCAAGGGGACTATATAATTTCCAAGGCGACTTACCTGGAGTACCTGGCCCCTTTGAAAGAGATGTTGCTCTTTGGCTGCATGTGTTTTAATGAGGCCTACCCAGACTTGGTTTTCGGCGTAAGATCTGTGACTCGCCCAGGATACGTCTTGCCGAGGGGCCGCTGCCTGTAAACCTCCTTGGGGACGGTCGGTTGCACTTTTACGGCACTTACATGATGTGGCGATGTCGCTCCAAGTGGGACTTATTATGGAGGGTGCACATGGCACATGTGATGTCACCCTTCTCGGAACTCTGGTAGAAGCATGTAGAAGCCCTGCTCGGATAGTGTCTGGAGGACTTCAACATGTCTCCGGCAGAGTTTGCTGCTATGACGGAGGAGGACCCGTAGCGCTATTGACAGGCTGGGTGGGCTTTGCGGATTCTGGTTCGGGTGGCGGCTGGACGTCTTGTTGGATGTAGCCGGGCTGTTGCAGGATGCTTTCTGGAGCGACTTCGTGGCCGTGGCTCCGGTCGACGGTGCAAAGACGGCAGCTTCAAGCAACCCTTGCGGCTCGAACCGGCCTATACAGCTTGTAGCGCTCTGCCTTCTGGACTCGAAGCTTGTCGTTTCAGTCGAGGCGAGATTGGCGACTTCATGCTTCACCGTGCTGCGGCGAGCTTGGCAGGCACCTTTGTGCGAATGGACACGTGTCGGTGCGCTGCGAGTTTGCCTCCGCGGCAGTGTCGCTTGAACCCAAGAGGCGAACCGACATTCCACCATTCAACCTGCCAGCATCCAGTCTCTTGCGTCCTTCAGGTCCGTGGCAGTGCTACGCCGAGGGTGATGGCTTCTCCGGATTTGACCGGTTTGGCCTCGCAGTGACTTGCCCTGGTTCTGTATGCTTTGCGGCCCCTTGACACTGACACGACATCAGATTCGGCCTGCAGGTCATCGCCGATGCACACCGCCGACTCCCATGGCTGCGAGCACAGCGAGCAGTGAAGGGCGCTGCAGAGGGTGTCGGGCGGTCGCTTCGGGAATTGCAGGAGCTGGTAATTTAATGCTTGGTAGCAGGCTCTCTTCCTGATCTCCCTGAGTTCCCGAATCGACTGAGACTTGCAAGGAGCTCAGCGTGGACCACTTGCGGCCAGGGCGTCACACGCTCGCAGCGGCGTTTAGCGCAGTGGCCCGAGCTCGCCCAGCAGCTTTGCGACCTGCTCGGACACGGCTTTATCCAGGCCCCCGCGCCAGCTGCCGCGCCCGCTGCCGCGGCTGCACCGCGGATGTCTCGACCAGAGCAGCGCTGGCGGCCGGCGGCGCCTCCGCGCAAGGAGACATTGGGATGGTATCGCACGAGCACTCCTTCCTTCACTCCGCTGTGAGGATGCCATGCTCTTGCGGATCGAGTCCATGAGTCGACTACGCTCAAGCCTGGACCGGGTCTCAAGCTTCGCATGTCCAGTCTGCAGGGTACAGGGCCTGCGCGGATAAAAACTCTATATACAACACCCGTTATCCGGTTCAGGAAGCTGAGAGCGATCAACTCCTGGCCATGTGGCGGCACGGGAAGGAAGGCGCTGCAATTGACATCATCTCAACTTTTGCATGGCCCGCTGTCGGCTTGGAACCGCAAGCGTTCCGCACAACTACTCAATCAGCAACATTCCAAGCCCGAGCATTCTGAACCTGTGTCCAAGGTGTGGGGAGAGAGCTGCCAAAGGGTTTGGACACCTCGGACCACAGGTGAGATACTGTGCGGTTTGTTGAGCTTTTGGATGTGGGTGTCTCGCCCGTCCGTGCATCAGACATCCTTGCGCTAAAACTTTGTCGGGCTAGCTGTCATGATTTGCGGAGATGCTGCAGGCCACTCTTGTTCGAGTCTGCCGACAGCGAGAATCAACCTGCAGCAAGACCACAAACAAAAAGTCAGAAGCGGGTATTTGACGGAGACTTTGATTTGCCGATAGCTGATGCCCTGGCGCTTTCATCATTCCGAGGCTTACTTCATTTCAGGGGCTTGATCGAGAGTCTAGGTCTGAGTCTAGGTGTCATCTTGCTGGTGCTTGGCTGAGTGCATGAGTCGCATCATGCAAGATGTGAGACCAGAAGGGCAATGCAATTCGGCACGTCCAGTGTTCACGTATTGAGTTTGGCCCGCCCGCCCGAAACCTCGAAGCCTGTTTTCCTGCACAGC